CTATTTACTAATGATGTAGAGATGGTTGACCGTTGATATAATATGAGAAGGAGTTAGTCGAGGGTGCGGTCAAATAAATAATAAATTAAAATATATTAATTATTTTAATTTTTGCCGACGTTTCGACCCACTTTGCAGGTCGTCTTCAGGGCGTAGGATGTAGCACTGCGGGAGGCAGTTGAAACACTCAAATATACTATTTACTATTCATATATTTCTTTCAGTAATTTAGAACAATTTAATGCTGTATTATCTCGTTATTCGAAATTTATCCATACATTTTAATGAAAGCAGAACTAATTTAATCTATGTAAGAAGAGGAGTTGGTTGGGGTGTTCAGTACAAAAAAAAAAATTAAAAATCTTTTTCTTTTTACTTTCTTTTCTATATTCCTGTCTCTATTTTGTTTATATTGATACATTTCCTTATTACAACTTATTTACATAATTTTAACTTTTTATTTCTCTTCTATGTAGTCATTATGTTTTGATAGACTTTACAATATCGTAATTTTTCTATTTAAATTTATTATTTTCTTTATATGACTTCATAATTCTTTTCTCTGTTTTGTATTTTATTCTTTGAGTATCTCACTATATAATATTCCATTACAATTCTTTGTTAATTAATTTTTTTATTCCTTTTGCTACCCAATTTCATTATGTTTATTACTTACTTCCCATCTTAGTTTTTTTAAACGAGTTTATTTTATCAGTCTCCAACTCTGTTGCCGCTAGTCAACCATCAATCCACTATTATAATCTATGTATGATTTTTTTTTCAATATTGAATACTTTATTTTCTTCATTAATGATGAGCAACTGTAGTTTACGTGCTCTCATCGAACCTCCACTGACATTATTAATATCAAGCCGCGAATGAGATAGAAGCGATGTTACTCAAGTAGTCTTAATGGTTGGCCCACAAAGGCCTTGCTATCGAATCTGAAAAACACCACTTTTCAGGAAACGAAAAAAACACTTGTAATGTCATTATCAATTCAGCCCAAACAATGAGGATGTGTTAATTTACACAATTATATGTGCTTTTATGAATGTTTGAAGATTTTGTATTCTAGGTTTAAAAATATTTAAACTACAATTAATTAAATACTCTTTCGATACATTGCATTCATGGTTTGAATTATGAATTCTTCGCGTTTTGCAATGCAAACTGATGAATATGGTATATTCGTTAATTTGCATTGCATAATTTAAGACAACTCAGTTAATAATTGCCAATGAAAAGTAAAGAATATGTCACATTCAAGAGTTTGCTACAAAATTGCATTATAGAGCTAAAAAAAATAAAACCACGTCAAACAATCGAAAATGATGTATTCTACATTTTGCAATGAAAAAAACGATATTTTGTGCAGATACAGAGCAGATCAAATTAATGAACGTGGAACATTCAATATTTTGCAACATTTTGATTAAAAAATATTTTAGAAACTTTAATTACAGAATCGTGAAAATTGTATTTAATACATTGCAAAATAACTTCAATAAACAAATACATTTTCAATACATTAGAGTTGCTTTTCTGTACTTTACAAAGGTAATTAAGGTCCGAGACTTTGCCACTGTATGCATCGTTTCTGAATTGATCGCTAGAGTGCTTGTTTGAATATAGCAATTTTTCATATTCCCTAGCATTTGTATCGACTATATGTTCGTTTTCCAGTTTTATTTTTGTATAAGAATTTTGTTTATTTATCCTTTTTTTTTTTAATTTGATATTTTGGATTCATGAGTAAATTATCAATTCAACGATGTTGAGCAGCAGAAATTCATGATTAGTTTTATTACAGCAGCGATCATTTTTATTTTGTCTATCCTTTTTCTTCATTGTTATTGCGAGTTGAGGAAATGAGCATAATATTTAGATAGCGTTCTTTATTTTATTTGTTCCATTTTCTCTGTATTTGAAACTAGAGTTAATTACATAACGAAGGAAAAACATGAAGCAAATAAGTTTTTTTTTAAATTAAATTAATAAAAAATTTCGCTTACTGGATTACTGATATTAATTAATAATGTTAAATAATTATATATTTTAAAATAAATTTATCTTACAAATAAAAGTTATTATTGTACACGCTTTACTATCATTCGCTGAGGCTATCGATGTATTCTGCATGATAACAACGTCATGACCGCGAACTAACCATCCTTGGTTTGTTTTATTTTAGAATGGAAAACATAATTATTCATGGATGTGGTTTATATTCTAACTTGCTCTGTAATTAAAGATTAATTTCATATCAAGCATCTGGGGATTACGTCTTTAGTGAATCTGAAGTGGATGTGAGTCAGTCTTGAATGTCCAATCTTGAGACTTGAAGAACCACTTCACTACGGCTGCTGTAACTGGAGTATTTCCAGGATTTTACCTTATCTTTTTCTTCATTTGAAGTTTCATTGGGGTCTGGTGTCCTTTTATTTGTTATGAATATTCTCTTTCAGTAATACTATTACGGTGTAAAATGAGCATACCATTATAGATTTAGTATAAGAAAACAGAAAGATTTAATCAATGCCATTCGTTTTATTGAACGAATAAAAAACAATATAAATACCTTTTATTAATAACAATAAGATGGAATATCAACTAAAATTTACCTAATAGCCATGACTTATTTTATTGATTCGTAACAAGGGTAGTGTTGCTCAAAATCGGTCTTAGCCTTGCATATTGCAAATTGTTTTAATACCAAGACGAAGACTGGTAATAAAAATTATAATTTAGTTACTTTATGTAAAGAATTGGTAGAACCAATATACATTTCCATTTAACTCTTCAAATTTTTCATTCGGGGTTTAGTTAAGTTTTACCATTCTGAAAAACGACATTAATATCTCTATTGTGTGTAGTGGTAATATTTTTTTAAATGTTATTAAATTTTCGACAAAAAAATCGTCTTAATCGGACCAGTTTTAGTAACATTATTGTATAGAATTTTATACATTGATTTTAATAACTATTCAGTTACCCATTTACATCGCTTTGGTTCATCAAAGAAATCGTACTCTTATGATTCCTCTGATCGGTTATCAGGAAAATTAGTCAAATTAAATTATGTTATTTTTAATGGACATATTTAAAATTGAAAACATTATTTAAAATCTGTAGTAAAATCATGTGAGAGAGCACATTAGATTTTTTTATTTAAATAATCTGTGACAGTGTATAGATTGTCTTTACAACTCTTCCATTCCAAGGGGGGGGGGCTATCACATCCTTTCTTGGATTTACTGTGTTTATGTCAGTTGAACATCTAAATGTAACTATTCTGTAGTGTTTTTTTCAGATCTAAAATAACATGTTTAATAAATAGAAAAAAAATATATAAAAAAAATAAAAAATAAATAAATAAAAAAAAATAAATAGCAATAAGCAAACAGGTAACTGTAAAATTCTTGCGAGACTCTTCCGCAAGACCAAGACTTAGTCCGCAAGACCAAGATTCGTCTTGGTCTCGCATTTGGGCAACACTAACCAAGAGTCTTGTTCACTCAAGTTATCAAGTTTGTTTGGACTGATTATTTTCTAACTGAAACTCTTTTCTTCTATGATCTATTCGAAAGATTAACTTTTTGCATGAGTTTCTAAACAGAATTATAATAAGAATCAGTTAGCCTGAAACTTCATTCGAGACAAGAAATAATTATCCATGGTTTATTGCTGCTGTTATTTTAGTTTTTTCATTGTTAAGAGTTAGTTTTAAAAGAGAGATAAGCCCGGCTGTGACAGAGGTAGGGAATGAATGTTGAACGGAGATAGAGATGAAGAAGGAATGATGATTGTGATGAAGTGGGGGCGATCACGCAGGGGTGTAGCCCAGTGGGCGGTGCATAACTCAACTCCCGCTCACGTGAGCTCCACTCGATTTACTGCTCACCCTTTTCTCTCCTGGCTCTCTTCATACTCAGAACTTTACTCTTCACCAACTTCTTTTCCTCATAAATCTTTTTGATACTCTTTAAAAAAAAATAAATCGACTAGGGAAAAAACCCATCTCCTTCATGGCTTAACGTTGTTTTTTTTTGTTTTTTTGGCTCTCTGTAAGTTTATTTCCTCATATGAACTCGGTGTTGAAGTGAAAACTATCACTCAATGGATACATCTGCACAGAGTTTTTGATAGTATAATAATAATCAAACAACTGTGTAGTTGTCTCTTCGACAAATTACTGTCCCCCGTTAACGAATTATTATTAAAAAGATAGTACCAATACAGCATAATTGTCTTATAAGAATTGATTTCTCATTGTATTCGAATATATGAATATATATATATAAGCAATTATAATTGTATATATTTCAATCCAAACTATAAAGTCATTAGTCTCTAACATACAGTTAACTTGTCAAAGTTTCGCCAATTCAGGCATGATCAGGGCCGGAAAAAAAACAGATCACATGTAAATTATATTGTAAATATTATTATTTCTTGAATGTCGAACAAAAAAAAATAGTTTATAGAAAATTATAATTGAATACATTGTAAATGTTACTTTTTAGAGAATACAGAAGAAATAAAATAATTTCATATTAATCCCGCCTTGTTGACGTTTTCAATTCATCTTGGGGACTAAAGCGCAAACCATAGTTTTTTTTTTACTTCATTTTTTTGGTATTTGCGTGTTTTTTTTTCTAGAACCTATGTCCGAAAATATGCCTTAGATTTTTTTAATGATGCGCCCTTACCAACCCAAAAGGTGTATTTTTATAATTAAATAAAAACTATTGTATATTGCGAATTAATAGCGCTCATGATGACTTTTTTTTAATCAGATGATTATGTTACATCCTTAAAAAAAAAAAATATTTATTATTAGAGTCCTCAAAACTATATCTACCCCAGACCCCACGACGGGTGTCTTTTTTATTATTTTATTGGAATTACTTTTTAACTTTGTAAATAATGTAAAATTATTTATATGTATATAAAAATATGTTTGTGTATATGAAATTATTTATCTATGTTGTTTTTTACATAGGAGGAGCGTGGGACCTCCGCCGCCTTCGCCATCACCCTCGCCACCTTCCCAGACCAACTCCAGCACCCCGCCCAGGTAATTGCAATAAACTAAGCATTTTAAAATAGATAATGGTTTATGTGTATATTTGTATATAGATAATATATATTTCTGTGGGGGAGGGTAGAAACAGGGGGCGCGCGCGCGTATAAATTTATACACTTTGGCACCAATATCAAAAAATGCTAAATTATTGTACTGCTAAAATAAATAATTATTTATGTTATTATTTCTTTCGTTAGTTATTCTTATTTTTTATCTTAGTTTTATTTTAATCGGTTCTTGCTTAATTTAGGACCAGTTGTACAATTGGAGTCCATGTCAAGTTCAAGCTTGAACTATAATCAATCATTCATAATTGTCATGGTTGACTGTAGTTCAAACTTTAATTCCAATTGTACAACTGGCCCTCAGTAAAACATTTTGAAAAAAAAAAAACCAACGATATGTTAGTTTAGTAAATAAAGATTAGAGCCATAGTTAAAGAAAATTATACGAAAAAAGTATCAACAGTTTGCCAGATGACATTTTTGGTTACGTTTTAACTTCTTCAACTCAGCAACAAAATTTTGTATGTGTGTGCGTGTGCGTGCGTGCTTGTGCGTTCGCATGTGTGTGTGTGTGCGTGCGTGTGTGTGTGTGTGTGTGTGTGCGTGGGTGCGCGCGTGCGTGCGTGTGTGTCTATTATGTTATGCTTCACAGTAAAGTAGATAAAGTTTATTTCAAATGAAATTAGGGTTTGTCATTGTTAAAACCATTTAAAGAGGACTATTGAGCGCCTAAGCTAAGTTATGTTTTTAAAAAGATCATGAATTATTCGCAATTGTTTTTTCAATCTTTAATTTTACTACAGTTACTGCACTATTGAAAATCTTCCTTGTTTAATGAGCTTTTAGGTTGAGGGTTTCTTACGAAATACGTTGAGATTCACCACAAGTTATTTTAAAAAATGAGTTGATTTGATACTCTGTCACCAAGAAGCATTCTTGTTTTCAGAAAAAAATGGTTACTGTACAATATTGGGGTGACCGGTACGCGCTAAATGACTGAGAGCCCTTTTCTTGTAAAATAAAAAAAAGTATTAGGAGAAATAATTGTGAATGATAGGACTTTTATATTATCTTTAATTAATCTTCCTGAAGGGGCAATTATTTTTAGTTTGTTAGTGTGTTAACTATTATTTCACATACAATTGTTTGTGAGGGGCCGGTCTTAGTTCCGTAGTGGCCTCTCTCCTGTCGTCCTCGCTACCTTCGGTTGTGTAGCCGAAAGGGCTGTGTCTTCTCCATGGTTAGCTGTGAGCTGTTCCTCGGCAAACTCGACAGAGCAAGTAAAGAGTTCGGGGAAGCCGTTGGCTGTTTCTTATGAAGTCGGCTGAGCAAGTGAGGACGAGGCCGTGTACTTAGTGAAGCACCGAACTTTGCTCGTTGATAAGGCACTCCGTCCTCGAGAGGCGGTAGGTAGGACAGGTTGAGACCGGGATGCCCCCGTGTAATTTATACAAAGCAACTTATAATATAGTACTATATATTATAAACAATAAAAATTATGGATGTAAATCCCACAGTTACAATAAATTATTACGAAGCTTTAATATATATATTTTTTTTTCTATTGTTTACTTAGAAAAAGACAAAACCTAAATTTCCTAACTTTTCTGCGGAAAATCCAGACCATTGTTTATCTAAACTTTTTTGTAATTCTTGAGGTCTGCTGTCACCAATTTAAATACTCCCTCTACTTAGGGGACACTCTGTATAAACATCACTGGAAATCACGGGCGGATCTACGGAGCGGGGGAGCTTTGGGGCTGAAGCCTCCCCCCCTGCCCGCCAAAATGGTAAAATATAACCATGTTTTATGGAAAAAAATATTTTAAAAATATCTCTTAAAGTATTATTGTCCGTTTAATTACATTTAAAAGGACTTTAGGAATCACTTAAACACCATTTCATACAGGTAGTTAGTTTCTTTCTTTTTTTCCAATGTAATTATCGTTATTTCTATGAAAAAAAGCCTTCGGGCTGAAGCACCCCTCTCCCCCAAAATTAAATCCTGGATCCACTAGTGCTGGAAGTGAGTGACAAAGGTTGTTAAACAGACCCATATCTTTTATAAAATTTAGTACATTATCATTTAGACAATGGTGCAAAGTTCAGCAGAATAGTAGGAAATTTTACAAAATGATCGAAGATGATTTGGAACAAGAACAAGCTGCTTTCCGTCCCTAAACACAGACCGTGAGAAGAATGTGTATTTTGCCTTTTAAAGGAAGCATTTGATTCGGTTCCCCGCAAAGAGATTTGGGAAGCGCTCAGGAGAACGAAGATTCCTCCAAATCGAATGGATGCAATAACATCAGCTTATCAATCTTAAACATTAGTGCGTCTCAATAGACAAGAATCCAAACCGTTCTACTTTGAAAAGTAGTCAAACAAGGTGACAACCTAAGCTCCCTTCTCTTTATTATGTTCCTAAATGAAATATTGAAGACTTGCAAGAGAAGGATACCCCGGACAGCAAACGGCAACGGGATATAATAAATTTGATTTTCTTTTAGTTCAGCTTATTTTAAATAACATAATCACTAATCCATAAACTACTATAGTAATGGGGTATCTTGAATTATACATAAATTTGAAGATGATAAATTGTTAAAATATTTTTGTTACATTAATACTTTATCTGTTTGTAAAATGGTATTATAAATACTCATTCATGATTTATTGTGTTTTGCAGTACAATGGACAGCGGAGTGTACTCCCGGTCAGGACCGAGCAGCTCGGAGACGCCTTCGTCGTGCTCGAGCCTGCCAACGGGTCCGGTGGCCCGGACTCAGAGCGAGGGCACGGAGCAACATCATCCTCCCAGGCCGCAGTTCTTGAAGCAGCAGAGCACGCCCGTCACACCGGCCGAGAGGATTCGTGCTGTTTCCAGAAGCGATCTCATCAAGGAGTCAGTATTCGAGAGCCAGCTATTTTATTTTATTAGATCCTTAGCCAATTTAGATTCATAAAATTTCATTTTATTAATTCAATTCATTTCAGGAAAAATAAACCAAGAAATATTGCCATACTTTTACCAACAAACTATACTCTAATATCCATAAGATTATGGATTTTAGAGACACTTATTAAGTTTAGAGACATTGAACAGTAACGTGCATCACTACGTTTACATATTTATCAACAAAAAAAAAAAAAACTATCAGCCGCAGATCTTCTTCATTAAGGTTCTATTTGCACTTATTTTTAATTTAAAAAAAAAAGAAAGGGATTAAATTATTTCATTGGCATTAAATAGAGAAATGAAAGCTTTATGAATTATTAACCAATGGTTTACTGAAATAGTTATAAGTTCTATATTTATAGCTAATGACTTTAACTACCATATTGGAAAATAATAATACACAAAGATATGGACGTTTAAAAATATTTATTTAATAGTATATCTTTTTAGTAAACTATGTATATAATTATAAAAATTGGCATACCAGAATGGTAATACAGGACTCTACGGACAGGATTGAGATATAAATAAAAAAATTAAAAAACCGATGCAGCACCTAAACCGATAAATTGATTTTAATGAAAGATTGCCTAATTCTTCTCCTCGAAAAACTTTAAATTTACAACTATTATAAACTTCACCCAAAAGAAGCCGGCAAAAATAATTATGATGTTAACATTGGATATCCGAAAAACACAAAAAATATTAACGTTTTTATTGATAATGTAAATGGTCATTTGAAAGTATGCTAAATTGCCTCGGATGATAAAGTATACTAAAAATCGGATGATTTGGTAAAAAGATATGTTGTTCCAAATATTTACCAAATGTTCTAAATCTGACCATTGTTTTTTCTTAAAAAAACTGTATGACGGATTTCGATGAAAGTTTTTATATCATTTGGAAATTTAAATGTCTTCAAAATATGTTCTGACCCAAAAAGAGGAAACAGTGCACCCTTTTTGAGTTATTCGCAAATGTAATTTCGAATTCATCAAAACTTCTTTTCAGGTCCTTTTTCGAGGAACGGTGTTATATAAATAAATTTATAGTATTTCATAGGAAATACTTTAGGAAAGTTTTTATAAATACCGTTACAGCCGTTTTAGTGCTGTAGTCTATAGAGAAACGGGTTTTCCCCCGTCATCTTGAAACAAAATGGCGGCTGGTGATGAGACCTCTCAAAGGCTCTAACACCAACTTAATATAGATACAAAATTCCAACCTTCCAACTCTGTTAGGAGAAGCTATGCGCAATACTTTTTAAACAGGGGAAAACGTGAAAAACGTTCTTACATGCGGAAAGTTTGACGACATTTTTCCAAAGTTTAATAGTATTGTTCCGCCTGGAAACCAACTCTATATACCAAATTTCTAATATATAGCTGTGAGAACAGAACACTAATAGTCTGTGGGCCAGACCCCCTTACCGTGCACCCCCCCCCACATCCCTATAAATTGCATATCGTTGTGTTCCTTGTAACAATTTATTAAAAAAAAGCCAATGTTCCCACAAAAAAAAGTGAACGCACTGCCCCAAAATGGCGTCCAAAGATGGCGGATTGACGACTTTGACTTTAGTTAGTTTTTTGGTCACTGAGAATCAGCATTAAGCTTAATTTCCTCATATTTGGTCTTTTATTAAAGCTGAATAGTTATAGAATAATAAAACATGAAGAAATATTAAAAAATAATTGGCTAAAGCTATGAAAAACACCAGTAAAGTCAATTTTTTTAACAAAAAAATTTTCAAGTTACAAATCAAGCGTCGTTTGTAATTAAACGGCCTACAATAACGCAAAACGTGCTGAAATAAACCATCTGGAGAATATATTTCTCTTTCTGAAACGCTGATTATTTTTTACAAATGTTTAAGTAGTTCCGTAAAAAATGCACTTATGCGGCAGAAAAGCGGTACTGGCGTGGGTGCCTACAGGCCTCTACCACACCATTCAGTGCCCATAAATGGCTTAGTTATAGTGATATAATAACATTTTTGGTACATTATATTGGTTTTATTAACGAACAAATATTAATGCAATAATTTAATAGTAAAAAAAAAAAATTAAAATTACAAAAAAAAATTTATTATTATTTTTTTAAATTTTAACCTCCTTTATTCTATACGTAGGTCGTTTAAGAATACCTCAATTGTAAAAATGATATAATTATAATAATAAAACTTAATTAAAAAATATTTTGCTAAATATCTTGATTTTTTTTTATTTAACGTTTGCAATTTAACACTGTGTTTTGAATATTTACTGATTCTTAGAAGTAATTAAAATTTTTATATACTTCCCAGGAAATGAGTCATATTCATACCTTTTTTATAAACTAAAATAATATATACCTAATCTGAACTATATATAATGAATAGCTACCGGGTTGTTTGGTAAAACTCATATATCACTAATTAAAAAATTAATTTTTATTTCCTTTATTTTGTGCAGAAGTTGGACTATATCATAAATAAATAGGAAATTTTAATATTGAATGAATTATTCTCTATGCACAAAGAAAGATATAAAGGGTGACCCTATAAGTTCTTCTATAAACCAAAACTGATTGTTTGGATTTGATCTCAAAATGAGGAAAAACGTGAACTTAAACGAGAAAATTGGAAAAATACATTAAGCGAACGAGAAAGGAAGTGCCAAAACCTCGGAATAGATAAAAAGGACCAGTTATATCCATTATATAGCTAAATGAATGTATAGTAGATAGATGAACAGAATATTTCAAGATGCTGCTAAAACGGGATCAATTGCAGTTTGGATGATATTAAGTGGACGATGTAGGTTTATTATGGTGAAAACCACTTTATTTTCGATTGCTGAAGGTGCACATCGGGACTATATTAACTTTGAAGCAGGAATATAGAGATGTATATCGAGAAAGTTATAGCTCATAGCTTTCCTTCTGTTTAGTGGATTTTCAAAAGATTTTTTAAGGTATCTTATATTAGTTGTAGCTCGTTATTCTTGAATTGTTCGGAATTCGTACCATATCATAAAAGAATAGGAAATTTTAATATTGAATGTATTATTCTCTCTGCACAAAGAAAGATGGAAAGGGCGAAACCGAACTGCTTTGACAGTTTTGCGCGTACATAGGCAACAAGCATATTAGAAAATAATATGAAAGGACTGTGGTTTTTACCTTTACAAGAAAGGAGGATACTAGGAAATGTAATACCCATCAAGACCCATTCCTGTTTAGTGTACCAAACAAATTATACACAAGAATCGTAGAAGCTGGAATAAGAAATATTGTCGATTGCCAGGGTGATATGGATTGAGAAACTCAAGTTGCACATTGGAAGAGAAGTTGAAAATTGGGATGTGCACCTTCAGCAATCGAAAATAAAGTGGTTTTCACCATAATAAATCTACATCGTCCACTTAATATCATCCAAACTGCAATTGATCCCGTTTTAGCAGCATCTTGAAATATTCTGTTCATCTATCTACTATACATTCATTTAGCTATATAATGGATATAACTGGTCCTTTTTATCTATTCCGAGGTTTTGGCACTTCCTTTCTCGTTCGCTTAATGTATTTTTCCAATTTTCTCGTTTAAGTTCACGTTTTTCCTCATTTTGTGATCAAATCCAAACAATCAGTTTTGGTTTATAGAAGAACTTATAGGGTCACCCTTTATATCTTTCTTTGTGCATAGAGAATAATTCATTCAATATTAAAATTTCCTATTTATTTATGATATAGTCCAACTTCTGCACAAAATAAAGGAAATAAAAATTAATTTTTTAATTAGTGATATATGAGTTTTACCAAACAACCCGGTAGCTATTCATTATATATAGTTCAGATTATGTATATATTATTTTAGTTTATAAAAAAGGTATGAATATGACTCATTTCCTGGGAAGTATATAAAAATTTTAATTACTTCTAAGAATCAGTAAATATTCAAAACACAGTGTTAAATTGCAAACGTTAAATAAAAAAAAAATCAAGATATTTAGCAAAATATTTTTTAATTAAGTTTTATTATTATAATTATATCATTTTTACAATTGAGGTATTCTTAAACGACCTACGTATAGAATAAAGGAGGTTAAAATTTAAAAAAATAATAATAAATTTTTTTTTTTAATTTTAATTTTTTTTTTTACTATTAAATTATTGCATTAATATTTGTTCGTTAATAAAACCAATATAATGTACCAAAAATGTTATTATATCACTATAACTAAGCCATTTATGGGCACTGAATGGTGTGGTAGAGGCCTGTAGGCACCCACGCCAGTACCGCTTTTCTGCCGCATAAGTGCATTTTTTACGGAACTACTTAAACATTTGTAAAAAATAATCAGCGTTTCAGAAAGAGAAATATATTCTCCAGATGGTTTATTTCAGCACGTTTTGCGTTATTGTAGGCCGTTTAATTACAAACGACGCTTGATTTGTAACTTGAAAATTTTTTTGTTAAAAAAATTGACTTTACTGGTGTTTTTCATAGCCTTAGCCAATTATTTTTTAATATTTCTTCATGTTTTATTATTCTATAACTATTCAGCTTTAATAAAAGACCAAATATGAGGAAATTAAGCTTAATGCTGATTCTCAGTGACCAAAAAACTAACTAAAGTCAAAGTCGTCAATCCGCCATCTTTGGACGCCATTTTGGGGCAGTGCGTTCACTTTTTTTTGTGGGAACATTGGCTTTTTTTTAATAAATTGTTACAAGGAACACAACGATATGCAATTTATAGGGATGTGGGGGGGGTGCACGGTAAGGGGGTCTGGCCCACCGTGTATAACCAGCGCCCTAGAAAACAGTGTTGAAAGATTTGAGAGGAAAATCCTCCGCACGATAACCGGAGCGATCTGGGATCAGAGTACTAACACATCGAGAAGAAAGACGAACAAAGAACTGCATACAGAACCTGGTCAATCAATATCCTATGATATGAAGGCACGGAGATTAAGATGGGTAGGTAGCTTGTAGCTCATAGTAATCCATCTGGAAGCCTCTACATAACAATGAATGCCTCAATAGAAGGCAAAATACCACGTGGAAAGCCAAAAAGCAGATAGATTGATAGAATCAACAAAGATGCAACAGAGCTGCGTGCATATAAATGGAAATAAATAGTCCAAGACAGGCAGAGAGGAGTAGGCTTCATAAGGCAGCAATAGATATACATGGCCTGTAATGCCAACAGAAAAGAAAAAAACAAACATATATATATATATATATATATATATATATATATATATATATATATATATATATATATATATATATATATATATATATATAACGGACATCTCTACAAATTGTAGAATCGTGATCTAGGAGTTCCCAAAACGGATAGAAACTACAACCCCGCTTTCCACTGACGATTCTCGATACTGTGCAAATAGTCTATTATTTCCAAAGGAATATAGACAAAAAAAAAGCATTGGAATTGAAAATTGGTTAGGTCTCCAGGAATGAGCTTAAAGTTTAAACAGTTTAGTCCAAGATATTTATACATATATAAATGTCGGGGATGACCAATATAGCTGGATGACCGCAATAGTTAATCCAAGTTAAAAAAAAATCGAGCGTACATCCCTACATGGATGGGTGACCGTTCACACCAAGAAAACCACACAATACAAGATCCCCTGGGATATGTATGGCCCATCAGCCTACTGCAGACAACACACAGACCAGGCATAGGAGATAATCCTACTCCCAGTACTTCAATCAGAGATCTCGATGTTGTTTTCCAGGATGTTTAGGATGAGATTCTTGTAAAAGAATATGGATATATTATTTATTAGTTGATAGATGACCAGAATATATAATTAAGGATGGAAACTTTTTTTTTTACCATCAGTGTAGTTTTGTTTTTTCATGTCATTCCTCATCAATAATTTGCAGCTGAGGTTTTCTTATGTACAATAATAAACTTTAAATCTTACAAAGTGAGATATTCTTACCTTTATTTATTTGTTGTTGGTTTTTTTTTTTTCAGAAAACTGAAAACTAATACAGCCATATTCTTTGGTGTACATGAGAGAAGTGAAGAGACAGAGAAGAAAGTTTGGATGCGGCGTAGGATGAGGTTGGCCACAAGGTGTTATGGAGAACTTAAGGCTGAATGTCAACCAACTGCTTATTCTGTTAGTATTTCTTTCTTTTTCTGTTAGTAAGATTATTTTTTTTAAACTATAGATATATTGTAGAAGTTAAGAATGTAATTGTTGACGCGTGTAAGAAATTTACCCTTATTGCAAGAGATATGGGCAAAAATATCGGAGAAGAGATAGGAATTAAATTATTGAGATCTAAGTTTGACAAATTTTGCCTATAATTATTTAAATAGTAATAGGTTTGATTCTCTAATGGTTCACAATTAGGATCTTATAGGGTTTATAAAAAAAAAGTGACCGTTTTTCAACTAAATATTTGTATTATTATTTATTTGATATAAAATACAATTAATACTCAAAGTATAGTCCATTGTTATCTACCGTCATTAGCCAATTGCTTGATCCCACGCTGATACCATTCTTCGGGATGGCTGTGAAAGAACTCTTAGACAGCAATTTCAATTTCCTCAAAATTATCAAATTTTTTCCTTGAAGAAAATGGCCCATGGATCTAAATAAGTAGTAATCCAATGGTGCGAGTTCTGGACTATATGGTGGATGAGACAGGAGTTCGAACTCATGAAGTTCTTTAAACTTTTAGGGAAGTATGAGGACAAGCGTTATCTTATTGGAATAAAATTCCTTTTCGGTTGATCAAAGCAGGATAATGCTCTAACAACTTTGCATACAATCTTTCCAGTTGTTTCCAGTAGAGTTCAGAATTCATAGAGATTCTATCAGGAATGAATTTGTGATGAATAACACCTTCAAAATTCAAAAAACCGCCAAGTATGGATTTTAATTAATTGCCTCAAATTGCCCTCTTGTGGCAACCGGAAAAAAAGTTTGACCACGATCTAGCCGTTGCTCACAGGTATTTGAATTTCACCAGTAAACCCACTTTTCATTGCAGGTGACAAGCTTCCAGTAAAATCTCATATCAGAAGGGTTTTTCACAAATTTCTAACCTCTTAGCTGATTGCTGAGGAGTAAGTTAGTGAGGGACCAATCTACTGCTCTTTTTCACCTTCCCCATGGAGATTAGATGGTGACTAACAGTATCTTTCGACACACCACACTCCCTGGCAAGTTTGTGAGTACTTGTCGATGGATTTGACTCAACAGCTTCCTGGAGAACCTCATCAATATACATCAATGGTCCTCTGGAGCCCTTCTTCCTTTCCAAAATCGTATCTCTACTGCTAAATTTTTCAAACCATTGCCGCACAGTGCAAGTGAATTTGAAAAAAATAACTAAACTGAGGCTTTTTTTGAAGAAGCTGAATGGAATTAAACAAACTTAGAGAATACTCTAAAGGGGTTATTTGGTATTGGTAAGTATTAAATATGATTAAAATATTTACAGTCCTTTGAAATCTTCAATTTGATAAAACGGTCGTTTTTTTTTTTTTTATACACCCTATTAGATTGATGCTTGATCAAAATGAGTTACATAACCAGAATATACAATCCTATGAAGAAATATGTTGTTAATTTAAAACCAAATTAATTTATTCTGAACTATCAAATTTTTTATACAGCAAATCAAAACTATTTTTATTTAAATACATCATGAGTTAGTTATTAAATATGTTTTTTGTATCTGTTTAAGGTATGATTTTAAGATTGACTTAATCTATAGCTTGAAAATTTATACCCTTAATTTGAACAGGCACCAGGTACTGACACGGGTATGAAGGATGAGACTGACTTGAGGTGGGATGGTACAATAGAACCCTCGCCACTACGTCAAAAGCCTTCTGTCGCAAGCATGACATTCAAGGGTGTTGCTATACTAGCTGCTGTATGTGTTTGTATCTTAAATAAATGATAATTTAATTTTTTTTTTAATGGAAATATAAGTCTCTTCATAATATCTTTACAAATTGCACTCGATTTATTTTTATACCTATTGTAATACCAATCATTATTATAATATCAATAATTCCTACATATTTCTTATAATTTATTTGACTAAAAACATATATATATATATATATACATATATATATATATATATATATATATATATATAAACATTAATGGTAATTTTCAGATTTAAAAACAGAAATAAAAATATAAAAATTCACAAATGTTTTTAGTCAAATAAATTATAAGAAATATGTAGGAATTATTGATATTATAATAATTATTGGTATTACAATAGGTATAAAAATAAATATATATATATATATATATATATAGATAGATAGATAGATAGAAAAAAAACTTTATTCTGGGACTAAGTCCCTTCAGAATAACAATAATGTACAAAATAATAGAATATTACTGGCCTGAACGTTGAAACAATAAATAAAATTGATAAAATAAAATAAAAAGTAAAGAAAACCTTAGGTGCACAAGCTATATACAATACAGATAAAACTATGTACAGAGCATTTAAAATTATGAATAAAACAATTAAAACTATGAACGAATCATTTGAACTATGAACAAAATTATATTTAAGGGTTGAACAACATAAACATACACTTTGAGCAATGAAGAACGAAAAAGAGATACAATGAGTTCATTTCATAAAAAAAAAAAAACTTTACTTGAATATATATATGAAAATAAATAGTTACTTATAATTGAATAAAAAAAAAATACAAAAAAATGTATGTATTGAAATTCCTACGTCGATAGTAGGAAATGCATGTACTATCTCTTACCAAGTGTTATGATTATATGATTGCTACACAATACATATATAATATTAATCGTTAGCTGGTATCTGACTGTTTTTGGAACAGGAATTGGAATAGGAGGTTTTTGAATGTGTACAGGGAAGGGGCATGTCGAATTTTGATCGGGAGGGAATTCCAAAAGTTGACAGAGCGGGCTATAAAGGAATTTTGGAATGAGGCAGATCTATGAGAAGGGATGTATAGGTCGGAGGGTCGGGATCTTGTAGTGAGTGAATGGATTGAGGACTTAAATTGGAGAAGGTTGTAGGCATAAGAAGGACGATGATCGGTAATGATTTGATAAAGGAAAGTGCCAAGGAAATATTGTCTTCTTAAGGAGGGGAAGAGCCACCCTAACTCAGTGTAGTGGTGGGAGACACGGGAGCGTCTCGGGGTTCCGATTACAAATCTTACGAAGCAATTCATAAGTCTTTTGAGTCTATCACGCAGTTCCACCGAGAGGCCATCGTACACCACACAGCTGTAGTCAAAGTGGGGAAAGATGAGAGAGGAAACTAGGAGTCTACGGGTATTTTGGGGTAGAAGATGGCGGAAGTGATGGAATAGTTTGAGGGTAGAAATTGCGCGGCGGGATATATGAGAGATATGGTGATTCCAGGAAAGGGTTTGATCTATGAGAAAGCCTAAGTTTTTAACAAAGGGATAGAAGGTGATGGGGTGGTTGTTTAGATAGAGTGAGGGAAAGTTGGTGTGGGATCTAAGAAGGGGCTTAGAACCAATGAGAATGGCCTGAGTTTTGGCAGCATTTAGCCTTAATCCATTTAAGTTGGCCCAGGCATTAATTCGATCTAAATCTTCTTGAATTTTGGCAAATGCCACCAATAACTCAGCGGGAGAAAAGGATAAATAGATTTGAGAATCGTCGGCATAAAGGTGGTGGGAACAATGGATAATTGTATCATTTAGGTCATTAATATAAGAACTGAAAAGAAGAGGAGACATGCTTGAACCCTGTGCAACTCCTGAGGATAAAGGAAGGTAGGCAGATAGAGGTTGATTAGGTATGGAAACTGCTTGGGTTCGTTGTGAGAGGAAAGACTGGAACCAAGAGATGGAACTCTTGGAGAAGGATAATGATTTTAGTTTGTTGAAAAGGATGGAATGGATAATGGAATCGAAAGCTTTAGAGAAATCAAGAAGTATAAGTATGGTTAGTTTTTTGTCATCTATTGCAGTCTGGATATCACTAGTAATTTTAATCAGAGCAGATTGTGTAGAGTAGCCAGGACGGAAGCCAGATTGGAGAGGATCGAGTTGGTTGGATTGTTCAAGGAAGTTGGAAACTTGGGATTGCACTAACTATTCTAGGGGTTTAGAAAGATTGGAAAGGATTGATATTGGGCGGAAATCTTCGGGAGAGGATGGATTAGGCTTTTTGTTTAAAGGAAGGACAATGGCTTTTTTCCAAGAGGTCGGGAATATTGAATTCTGCAGGGAGAAATTGTAGATGAAAAGGAGTGCTGGGAGGATTTCAGGGAGACATAATTTTATTAGTTTGATAGGAATGCCATCTGGGCCTACGGAATTGGAACGGGATTTCATTATAACGGTAATAAGGTCTGTGGGAGAAATGTCGGAAAAATAAAAATTATTGTCGTTAAAAGGTACCTCTGGAGAAAAGCCGGAAGGGGATGGTAACGAAGAGGTGGAAACCGATATAAAGTGGGAGTTTAGGTCATCAGGTGATATTGGGAAAACTGAGGAAGGGGATCTAGAAGGTTCACAGAGGGAAAGCTTACGAAGTAGAAGCCATTTTGATTTGATATCAGGAGCTGAGGAAAGGGCTTCGTGAAAGTAGTTCGCTTTCGCTTGTCGGATCCTTGTCTGTGTCGTGTTGCGAAGCACTCTGAATATTTGATAATCCTCTGCAAGCCTAGTCCGTCTGAAGCGTCTGCGTGCAGCGTCGCGTCTCTTCTGCAGATCCTTAATTTCCTGACACATCCAAGGAGCAGGACGATGACGGAAAGTGGAGGTTTTGAGAGGAGCGTGGGTATTGAGTATATTGAGAAGATTGGTGGTGAGAATATCAACCATGGTGTCGACAGAGGAGCACTGATATATTCCATTTAAATCCAATGTTACTAGATCAGGTAATATTTTTTCTCGAGTAAGGGTATCCAGTTGGCGGAAAGTGATAGTTCGAGGATGGATTGGAGGAGTGCAGATATTATACGTTATTTGTATCAGATCATGAGATGAAAGAAAGGATACTGGCACTTGAGAGGCGGAGAGGAGGTTTTGTGCTGAGTCGATGATGTAGAAGTCTAGCCAAGTGTCAGATCTGCTGGTGTGGTGGGTGGAGGAAAAAGGAACGATGAATAGGTGAAGTGAGAAAAACAGATTTTCTAAATAGGATTTGTCATTGGATTTTGAGAGGAAATTGGTATTGAGGTCACCGGAGATAATTATTCTGGGATAGAGGGGAACGAAGTTGAATAGAGTTGATTCGAAGGACGGGTCAAATGGCACGAGAGGAGGGCGATATACCACGGCGTAAAGGATAGGAGAAATATTACTGAGAATTTCTACTAAGAGATATTCTACATGAGGATGATCGGAAGATGGGGAGCAATCGAGGATTCGGGTCTTTAGGCTATTGTGGACAAACATGGCTACTCCACCGCCAGTCCGGTTTACCCGGTCATGACGGAGCAGGATGTAATTCGGCAAGGATACTGAAGATGATGGAATATAAGGTATATATATATATATATATAATTTCCATATATATGAAAATGTAATTTATATACTATAGTTATGAAGTATTAAAAATTAATACAGTCCCATTATATATTATATAAATTATATAGTCCCATTTTCAAAGATTTATAGGTGCACCAGAGTAACTGTATTTGATAATAAAAAGATAATTTAAATTTCACACTGTTCAATGCTGCTATTAATATTATATATATATATATATATATATATATATATATCAGGGAATGGAAGGCCCCCGGGACTTGCCCTGAGGGATGTCCTCGATTGATTTATAAGAAATTTATTCATAATATTATTACTTATCTTATTTTATTAATTGAATGTTCAAAGGCCCTCAACAAACAAAGAGGAGATATCGGTAGACAGCGGCAAACTTCTAGAAGTTATTCACCATCGACACTTGGTGGTTCAACAATCCCTCAATCTCCAATTGATGATGAGGTACATTATGCATTTAATTTTAAGTATTATTTTTCATCACCAAATAGTGTAGTTGGATCTTTCTACATTTTCTTCCTTGCTCCAAATTTATAGTTAAAATTATTTTTCTGTGTATGTATATTATGTAATGAAAAATTTCTTATATGTGAATCAGCACCAATTGTATGTCTTGAAATATTTTTAAGATTTAAATTAAACATGGGCAAAATACTTACAATTGATTTGTAACAGTTGATCCTTAGATAATTTCGATCAAAATTGTTATGGTGCTTCTGTTTTGAAAACAATTAATCCCTGGGTATCTGTTTCGTCCAATGGGCATTTGGAACAGAAAAAATAAATAAAACAAGCTGAAATTGCTTTATTTTATATCTTGAGTTCGGAAAAGGATATGGATGTGGTTCTTCCACAAAAAATAAGATTTTTAGAATAAATCAAAAGAAATATATAAACATTATAAACCTATTGCTTTTTGGTCAAATCAATTTTAAAACATGTTTAATCCATTAACTAAACTCTTTTCATATAAAAAACGATAATATGTTTTGATTCAGCATCCTAATAAAGTTTTAAGTTTAAAATATCATTGAATAAAAAATATGTTAGTTCCATGGTTCTTCATTTTCTTCTTCCTCCTTGTATGCCTTTCAGCATGGAGAAGCCTCCAGCCAGTTCCACCATACATCATTGTCTTTCGCCAATTCCAGTTCCAAGGTTCATAATTTTTAATTCCACAAAGTTAAGTTACGCTTTGAAACTCTACATCTCATCTTCAATTTATCGGATTTAGAGATTCATGCACCCATTAAAAAGATGACTGTTTCTTATTTCTAACAACATAAATATTTGTGGGATTACAAAATATATAAAAAAATTGAGATTTTGAGGAGAATAATATTAGCTCTAAAATGACAGGAAAGAATCTGGTTTAGGCAAACCATTTAGATTAAGTACTTTTACCATCCTTTAAATTTGGTTTGATTTGTTGAATGATTCATGAAATATGTGTGATGATTATGATTATTCATGAATTAATTTATTTTTATTCAATTATTTTTTATTCAAACAGCACTTTCTTATCATTTGTTTTATTTAAATACTGATTGAAAAAGTATGAATAAATTTATTCATTGAATAACATAATAAAGAATAGAAGAATTATTTATTATCCATGAATTAGACAAAATCTTTATTTATTATTCTATTTTCTGAACTAAATTTTCCCAACTCTGCTTCTTCATAACTATAAACATATTTTAATGTCAGCAATCATGATGTTTCTATTTTAAGTAGTGAAAATTGTTGAAATATTAGTTTTAAAAAAGGAAGATTGGTTTAATAATTGATTTACTTTTTGTTTAGGTATTTTTTGAAAACGGAAATGTTGAAGATACAAGATTAACAGCAGCAGCTCCAGCTGATTTTGTTGATACTACTGCTGATCTATTTAGATCAATCCACCATCCAGCTGGGAGCAGTGGGGAAAGGTACTAACTGAAAAAATAAATGTTTGTTAAGAAAACGCACATTGTTAAGGAAACTATTATACAACTTTGTAATCTAATTATTATTTCCCTGCCATTATGTGTCATACAAATCTAAATGTAATTGCTATTGTTCATTTTTATTATTCTTAAGAGACTAAATGTCCCATAATAAAATTTACTATCTTCCTCTTCTTCTTTTTAAAAACAGAATACCAAGAGTACCGCTGTATTATTTTATTCAAAACAATGTTTAAATTTTAATAAATTCACATTTATTAGATTGGAAAACTCTTTCAATAGCATATCTTTTTTTTTTTCCCACAACACAATCTTCCAACAGAAGTTTCAATTACATACTACCACTCTATACAATATGCAAACACACTAAAATAATGCCTTCTCATTTACAATGATGAGCTACAAAAAAAAAAAAAAAAAAAAAAAAAATATATATATATATATATATATATATTATATATATATATATATATATATATATATATATATATATATATATATATATATATGTATGTAAGGTAAAACCCCCAGTTGTCAACATCCCTCCCTCAGTTTTTGCCAACCATTGGCAGTTTGTTTAGAATATTAAGTTTTTGGAATGCCCTAGAACTGTCCAAAAGGCTCTTTTCAAGCTTGAATCCTTTCTGCGCAGGGATATCATTACATATTTTACTGTCTTTTTAATATCAAAAAAATCTCTGAATGTAAGGTTTCCAATAGGTGGAACCCAAAATAGACGTACCTTATGTTTTTGAAAACTGGACCATCCTTAATCAATTTTAATCACCCCTGTTAGCTCTAATTTCAAGACAGGATATCTTAGTTTTGACTGGCTAAAAACTAGTTCATAGTTCTATTTCGTTAATTGTAATAATTTTATTTCTTTATTTTTGTCACTTTTATTTTATGAGGATTTTTTAGTCAGTTAATGCATAATCTGGCATACTTCCAAAGTAAAATAACATATTGCAGATATTTACTTGAAAGGCAAATTCAGTATGGTGAAACAACAGCTAAAAATGAAAACAACAAAATAAAAAGCTAGACTGAAAAAAAATGTGTAATAAGTTATCAAACGCACCAGAAGTAGTTCTTTGACAATAATATTGCCAGCACGGTCTATGGTGTCCCTAAAAAATACTCCAATATTGAATGGGAAATCATTTACAAAACTTCAAACAGGCTTCCGATTCCTCACTGTGGAAGAAGAAAGATAGGTTTCCGAATGGTCTAGGTTGGTTGAAAAATACAGAGGAGCTTTTAAAAGCTGCGAAAGATAGAGAAAACCACTTTCACAGGTGAGGGAGACCTGGTGAATTTTGGTTGATGGGATTTTTTAAGAACAATCCGTACTTATTAGCCAATGTTATTTATCTCATTGCCTCAGATTAAAACCTCATTATTTGAATTAATCTTTGAAGTTAGCTACACAAACCTATTTGCATTAATCTTTGATCCCTGTTACACAAACTGATCGATCAATTCATTAAAATGAATAAGCCTCAAACTTATTACAAAAAATCTTTGTTAGCTAGATATTAATAACAAATCTTTCTGGCAGCATCCTTGAAGACTTCTTCTACTGCCACTTTTGATTTACTAACAATGTTGGTGTCATCAGTGTAGACTAGAATGGATATTAAATGAATAATAGAATTTATTAATATTGATTGTCTGTAGGCTTGATGAAAATTTAATCTTAATAATAAATCATTTTATTCTATTTTAGTTATTTAAATTTAATACAATAATTTTCCTGTTATATACCACTTAACTACAATATAAAAGCAACTAATGATTAGTTGCAAATAATTATAGGCACGGCTCATGGAGGAGGTCAATGGAAGGAAGGAGAGAAGGCAGTTCCCAAGTAGGATTGAGTCGAATACATGGAATAGACCTTGATCAAGCTCATGATAATTCAGATAGACGACAACATGGTCAGGGTATATTTCAGAGACTGTTTGGGTAAGTTTGATTACTTTATATCATTTTTTAAAATTTTATATTACAACAGGAATTTACAGCGACCACATTTAAAGTTTTTAAATGTTTATACTTTTTTAACATTTCAGAACAACTTTTTCATTTTCAAACATACATTATTTTATACATGGCTACACACATATTATACTTTTCACAAATGCGGTCTATTATTTTCATTTTTGTATGTATTGTAATAGATATTCATAATTAGCTTTAAAATACTGTAGTTTAGTTTTTGTTTTATTATTTAACATGATTATTGTTTTAATAAACTATAATAAGATTAAAAAGTGTTGACATTCATACAAATGAATAATCCAGTAAGTGTAAACTGTTTGTTATATAGAGGGGTATTTTAAAGAAAACTCAAAATCCTGCATTATTTTCCGGAAACTCAATAATTTGCTTAAAAAGGTTGGGTTAATACAATTTTGTGTAGTTATAATTTTCGTGTGATTCGGTGGAGACATTCTGAAGTTTTCACAATTTTCATGGTTGGTGGAAAATTTTAGTTCAAGGGTCCAGATCCATTTCTTTTCATAGACAAAAATTTTAATGTTTCGATTGCTATGAGAATTTGTATTTTAGAGTTTTTTGAGATGTGGAAAACAAATATCAAATTTTTTTGTTCCTAAAAAGATATTTTTCCCAACATTTTTATGTTGGTTGGTGAAATTTGTTCCCATTTGGATAGCTATCTGCCAAATATAATATATTTTCTAAACTGGGGCAGTATCTAAAGTAAAGCATTAAGGGAGAAACAAAGTTGATATTCAATTTCCACCCCTAAAAAAATCTAAAATATGAATTTTCATAGCAATCGAAACATTAAAATTTTTGTCTAGGATTGATCCTTTACAATTTTGTCATCATACACAAATATTGTGATAACTTCACAAAGACTCCACCTAATCACAAAAAAATTATGAGGGACTTCTGTGTGCTACAAAAGAATTGTATAAACCTAACCTTCCTAAACAAATTAGAGTCAAAGATATATAATAAAAAATTTTGACAATTTTTTAAAAATTTCTAGCTTAAAAAGGACTGAAATTTAAAACTTATTTATGTGGTTTAGAAGAGCAGTAAGGCAGTTATGATTACATAAAATAAACATGTAATACTAGCCTTCAAAATAAATTATAAATTTTAATGTGTCATTGTCTACTCTAAACTAAACTCTCCCATATCTTTTATATAATATGTTATTTCAACTTAATTTTTTATCTTTTTTGGTTTTCATTTAATTTATCTCTAACAATCTTTTTTTTTTTTTAGACGGTCATTAAAGAGATCTGTTCTTAACAATGAGCCAGTAAAGGAACAATTGGAAGATCTTGAGGATCATAGGCCATACTTTACATATTGGCTCTCTACAGTTCAAATCCTCATATTAGTTATATCTCTTATTTCTTATGGCTTTGGGCCATTTGGAATGGATCTCAGTCATCAGTCCGGGCTGGTAAGTTTGAGTTCACTAAAAACAATACTTTTTTTTCTTTCAGCAGCTTTAAATAATTACATTATAATGTCTATATTTGACAGAATCTATAACATTTTCATTTTTTTTTTTATTTAATGTTTTTAAATTTAACTATTTTATTATTTAACTATTTTTTAAATACTTAAATATAATCTATAGTTAACTCCCAAATAGTTAGAAAACATATATAACATGAAATAAAATTTAAAGAAAAACAATGAACAGAGATGTTTGATGAACTTTAGGCTACTTCTTATTTACAAAACAAAAATTCTCTGCATGTGAGGATGAAAAAATGGTTCAGCATAATTTACAAGCATAGGTTTCTTTAATATATAATTTTCATCACAAGAAAAATATTTCTGATATAAATCTCTACCTTACAGGTTAATTTTCATATTCACAATTTTTTGCAGAGCAGATTACATATGACTTTGCCCACAATAATTTTATCATTTTTTTACCTCTCATTATCTAAAAAATTATGCATTTTTGAAATTTAAGTTTTGTATGACTCAAAACAGAATGTAAAATTACATTAAGATCAGTAACTCATTTTCAATAAAAAGTGGGCAGTTGTCTTTTTCCTCTGAGAAACAAAAATACTATTGTTATTGTATTTTAAACTATCATTATTAAAAGATAAATTGGGGAAAAAGCTGATACAAATTATTTATGTCCATAGGTTCTGGTCACCAGTCTTTCACTGCAGCAAGTTGACTACACTGAACCTGCCAACTTCTGGCTTGGACCGAGAGCTGTAAGAAAAGCATAAATTTAAACAAATTATATGTTAAATCTTTAATGAAATAATTTAATCAATATATATAAAAGAAGGTAACATGTAACTGGAAGAAATAGCAGAATATACATGATCTGACTTTTCTTCTTAGTCCAAATTAGCAGACCAAATGATTAGCAGATCCTGTTATGTCAATTATTGCCTTATTTCCTCAACTAGTTGAGCTGTGTAAGAAAAAATACCAGATCTGATCTGGCCAACTTTGGTCTCCTTTATTACATAATACAGTCCTTCATATTTGTATAAGTCACCATGTCACCATCTCTTCAGAATTGTGGACCAAACCATCTAAGTTGGTATTCCTTCAGGACCCTGATGGTTACATCCCTCATCCTATGAATTAATAATTGTGATTTATACTTTTTATTAGGTTAATCTTCATTTAATTGACATATTAGAATGTTTTAATAATTAATTAAACTGCGATTAATAAAAAGGACCATTGTTTATTCCCGTCCCAGAAAAAAAACTTCAATAATAAATAAAGAAAAATTTTCAATATCATCTTCATAAATCTAGTTTTAATACAGATTTATACCAAATTTTTGTGAAAACTGATATATCTTTCTATAAATAAAATATTAAATATTTAAAACAATTTTTAGAAAAGTACATGAACCAAACTATCATAGATCATACAGAAAAGTTGCAATAGAAAGGAGAAAAAGTTGGAAAATTTGAGAACTGACTTCAAAGTATAAAAATGGTGGCAAAACATTCTATGAATTAATATTAATCATGAATGATTTGAAAGTCTTCCTTTGTACTCTCACTTACGTATATATGTAATGTATGGTAAGGGTAAGTATTGCAATCGAGAAAATGTTTGAATCTGAGTTTTCAACGGAAATACACGTTTTGGGGTACCCTGAGTCCAAATAACCAAGTCCTAAAAAATGGTCTGTGGTCTGTGTGTGTGTATATGTTAGCAGTCTATCTCAAAAACGAAAAGTCCTACGAAACTGATATTACGTATTTAAGGTAGATATATGCCTTAGATGTGACAGCAACTTTTTCCTTAAAATTGGCTAATCGGAAGTGCCACTTTATATTAACGCTGAAACAAATTTTTCACAATTTTCTCAAAAACGACTCTAACGATTTTGATTAAACTCGTTGTATCACAGTATAATTAAGTGGTTTTTAATATCAATTAGGTCTTATCCCCATTGATGTCACTTTACTGGCCATAAATGCCCAATGTTCATACACGTCTTCCTCTAAAGTACCTTTAATATGGTTTATTTTAAAAAGTTAATTATTTCACATTATTCAGAGTTATGAAAAAATGCTTAATATCACTTTTGAAAGAATTTGATAAATTAACAAAGGAGAAAAAAATAAAAATGCTTATCCAGGTCGAAAATGAATCTCCAGAAATACTAGTCAGAAGGTATATGTATAATATATCGTTGGAAAGCGAAGAATTTTAGAAAAAAACAATATCTAATATAGAAAGTTGTAGAAGATAAAGGAGAGTGGCGAAAACATTATAAATAATAATGTCATAAAACTAACATTATTTAAAGTAAATCACATGTTTTTAAGGAAATTAAATGAAATTTTCTTACTTTATGTAAACTTTTAAATGTTTTTCTAAGATTGATTTAAAATCCAGCAATCAAGCCAATGCCATTGTTTAAAATACTATTTCATAGTACTTGTGTGAAAGAAGAAGTGAAATATTAAAATATTTCATGGATATGTTTATAACCTCAAATATATTTACTATAGAGTATTAACGATAGATAAGATATTATATTTAAATAATTAGGTATCTATCGGCCGTTTATTCCAAAAAATCATCAAGTAACCTTTTAGAAAATTAAATTAGTGAATAATTTGATGAATTTTCCATTTGTGAAATCCCATTATCCACTTACAATTAGTGAGACAACTTTTGACCTATCCATGGCAAGATAATGAAAATCTTGTAATTTTGTTTTAGCAAACTTTACAATGAAAAATAACAGCTTAATAACTAATAGTTACTGTTGCCCAAATGCAAGACCGAGACGAGTTTTGGTCTAGCAAACTCAGTCTTGGTCTTACTCAAGACTCTCGTAACAGACTTGCAGTTGCCCATCAGCTTATTACTCGAGAGATATTAATGTAATTTTTTAGATATGAGAAACCTAAGTCTGAATGAAAAATTAGAAGAGTTAAATGAAAAAGTATATTGGTTACTCCAATTCCTTACATATAGCAACTAAAATTGTCAAGTATTAGTGAGTATTTTGCCTCAATTTTTACTCAAAAAATCGATTTTTTTTACCAGTCTTGATCTTAGTCTTGCAACAAATAGATGAAGACCGATTTTGGACAACACTACTAATAGTCCTACGATCCATAATCATTTAAAGGTTAAATATTCAGATATACTTTCAAACCTCTCTAGGTAAGCATGTATGAGCCTTTTGGTTGACAGAATGACAACTCCAATTTCAACATTCTTTATTATTAATTTTAGTAATGTTTCTAGTGAAAAAATGTATACCTTTGTTCACAGTTCTATATTTCAACACTGCAATCACCTACTCTGTAATCAACTTACTTGCTGTCTGTATAGATAACTTTTTCAACTAAAAATATCACTAAAATGACATTACTCAAAAATATTGAAATTGGAGTTAGTCATTCTGTCAACTGAAAGGCTCAGAGACCGAAGTTGTGTGATTATAAAAGCAGATGGATAAATCTAAACTAGATTTTTATTGCCTACCGTTGATACAATAGATTTCTTAGATATAATAGATTTAGTTTTGTAATTATGATGGTCTCAATGACTTGCTATCTGTAAGCTTTAAGCTTTAGCTCTGTTTAAAATATACTTCAAAAATTTCATAATAGCCCAGCATTGCCATAAAATAAATTCTATTCAAAGTAGAACGGTAAGTGAAAGTTGTGTGTTGCGTGCACCAGATTTTGTTTGTTCCATTGCTTAGTATATAATATTGTCAATGAAGAATTTTCCTTTAACAGAAGATCCATCATGAAAAAAAACAAGTGGATAGAAGAGATCATGAGTAATGAAAAAAAAAAAAATGGAATATAGGGAGTGCTTGCACTATCACTCCACTATCTAGAATGGAATGGAAACTATCGATACCATTTATGATGTAATAATAAATATATTTGGCTAGGTAGATGATTTAAACAATTATTATATGTATTCAAAGGTTGTTAAGGAATGCAACACAGCACTTAACAAACTGACTGAGCACAATAGAGTTGCAGTGGATTGGGTGCCCTGTCACTAGGGCATACTAGGCAACGAAGAGGCTGATAAACTAGCCAGATTGGACTCAGATACCATTCCCGTAACTACTGAACCTGTTTGTGGAATCAGCCTTAGTACTGCCAAAAGTATGATTAGGGGGATTTATGAGAACATATTAAAAAAATACTGGACTGAGAAGAAACAGCGACATTCGAAGCTGTTCCTTAAAGGTCCACATGAAAAAACAAGCAAACTGCTACTGAGTATGGGCAGAGCAGCTCTTAAAAAGCTTACAGCGATCTACACAGGCCACTGTAAGCTAAATTATCATATGTTCAATCACCGAGTATCAACGAATCCGCTATGCAGATTATGTCAAGAGGAGAATGAAACAGCCTTTCACATTGTGTGTCGATGTGATAGATTCGCATGGCTGAGACTGGAACTATTTGTGGAGAAACGAATGGATCTCCCCAATAGATATGAGACGGGTCAATTCAACCAGCCTTCTAAGATACACGGAGGCGGCAAAGTTTTGATAATAAACAAATAATTTCATTGGCGCACAATAGATTCTTCAGGGGTTGACGTGCCCTGAGCCAACATATAATAAAAAAAAGGGTAGATGATTTAGATATTGCAGCTATATATCTTAGCGCCTTAATGGATGCTTTTCTGAGTTTGATGAAACAAGCTGTAGATGTATACTTCTTAGGTGAGAACGGACCCTCACTAATTTAGAAGGGAAAGAGTTTTTTATAAATTGGAAAGAAAGATTTTTAACCCATTAAGGAAAATAAAGGAAATTAGTTGAGGAAATATTACAGAGGTATTAATTACAGGGAGATATATTAACTCTTTAGGAAAATGAACGTCATATGTTTTATAAAGTATAGTCCACTGAGGCAGGTCATATAGCAAGGATGAAAGAGGAAGAAACTACTAATGGGCCAAGAAACTGGATTGGTTGAGAGGAAGAGGAAGACTAAAGCTGAGGTGGTAAGATGCTGTCATCAAGGATACTTAGGCTCTTTGAGGCGTATATAACAGGAGAGTGATTGCACAAGACCTGGCGAAGGCTCCTTGAGCCAACAAGGCCCACATCTTGCTGCAGTGGTAATGAAAGAAATATGAAAGTATGAGTCTGCATATAGCCCCTTCGACCTTTTGACAGTCACACCCTAGTTACTAAGGTATTTATATGGGGCCTGACACTCTGGATGAAAGTAGAACTGGTAACTAAAACAGCATAGTCTGTTGGCCAATTTGTGCAGGGACGACAGCTTTTTGATTTCCTTAAAGCCTACCATTAACACTGTGCTGCAATTTTGTGGATTGGATTGTTTTCCTCTCATCACTCGAAACATTATTATTTTTCTTTGTTACACTGTACAATTCTTCTTGTTCCTTTAATAAACTTATGTATAAGCCTGAAGTTCATCTTTTAGTGTGGTAATATATTACTTAAGATCTTAGTCATTATGGGATGGCAGAACCAGGTCATCAGCAAAAACCAATATTTACAGCTCATTGTATGAGAATCAAGAAAGGCTAGAAATTACAATATTGCCCTCTACTTATTGTATCTGAGTATATTCTGTTTGATTCATGTACAAGATATTATGGTTGAAATAAATTGTAAATAACTACTATTTTACAAAATTTTGAATTTTATAAAGTATGATTTAATTAATTAAAAACATTGATATCATTTTCAGGCTGATCTCATTCATCTTGGAGCAAAGTTTGCACCATGTATGAGAAGGGATGCAAAAATTATAAAAGAAATCGAAAAAGGTCGAGAAAGAGAACGTGAGACTGCTTGTTGTATTCGTAATGATGACTCTGGTTGTGTTCAATTATCAAAAACTGATTGTTCTGTAAGTACTTTTTAAATTTTATATAAAAAACAAGTTTAACCATATTTTCTAGTCATATCATTCAGGTTCAGTGCCATTTTCTCATACATTTTTTATAAAATATTAGGCCAAGGTCACCAAATTTAACCATATTATTTGGGACTTCACACATTAAGTAAACAAAAAAAATTTTTTCTATGATTGGAGGAGGTTATAAATTATTACTAAAATGTAAAAGTGACATTGACATTTCCTAACAATATTTATAAAATAATACTTAATTATGTCTGTGAAGTATTTCTGTTTTATTATATGGGTTGGTAATTAATTAAATCATATTGTTGAGTTTCATATTTTATTGCATTTCCAATGTGAACCAAGCAATGATAGAACTTGGTTTTTAGTTATTTTAAAAACTGCTTATTTTGGTTCCAAATGTTTTTAAATAATAGATATATCATAAGTATGTAACATCAATTTCATTATATCAAATTATAATTATCATTTAATTCAATACGTTGGTTTATTGTGTAAAGTCACTAAATTACATTTCATTAAATTCAATCACTAAGTAATTTAATAAATTTTCACATTGTGAAATCAGAAAATTAAGCACTTCATGATTTTTTTTAAACAAATTTAAAAGGGTTTACTTAATGGGTTGAAACTTACAATAAGTATGTACATCAAGATTAAATCCAACAAAAATATATCTGCTTAATAATTTTTTGCACTAAAATGAGGATATGGAAACAATATTTGAAAAGCCAAGGACAAACTAATTTACCAATAAAAACAAGAGAGAACCAAATCAGCAACATTTCAGGACCACAAAAGAAAGATCTTAGAGAATCCTGTAATCTGTCACAGATTTGAATTCTCAACGAGAAGTTTAAAATTAATTTTGTGGAAACCCTAAGAATGAACTAGTTCTCATATTTTCTGGCTTGAATAGATTAATAACCTACAGATAATCTGCAATTCCTACTCTAGTTGATGCAGATAAAAGTGCTTTAACTGACAAACATCAGTAACCTCAATTAGAGACATTTCTTTTCTCAAAACTTGTTCAGATATTTATAGCATTCAGAATTTAGCCGTCAATGATTTAGAATTGTTCTCATAAAAAATCAATGTGAGTGACAAGTAACGAGCATTCTTTTGGAAACAAGAAAAAAATGTTCATTATCATTTTGGTTTTATATTTATTTAAACTAATCTTGAAATAAATGTATTGATAAAAATAAACTGTGTCATTTTTAGAAAACATACTATGACAGTTAATTTACTTTGTTGACTTAATTACAATCTTAAGCTAAAATAATTTGATGTAGTAACAATCTTATATTAACTTAGAAAAGAAATAAGCATATCATAGATGTGGTTCATTTACATTTTAAGAACAACCATAACAGGAATGGAAAGGAAATAGAGATCATCACTAGATTCATTTCTGAATGTGTTATTTAAATTAAACTTATTTATTTATTTACCAAATTTATATCATATTTAATAAATCAATCAATCATTTGAAATGTTATATAATCCTCTTGTTTGATTTTCTATTTATTAAAAATGTTTGTTAATGCTGGTCTCCTCACGGAATCACATTGCGAAGGGGTTGTCACCAGGGGTATGTATTTGTTCAGAACAAACAAATGCACGATAAATGTTTTTTTTTTGCTTTATTGTTACAGGTTTGAGTTAGTTAATTAAACTAGTGATCACTTGTCAATGTTGTGATTTTTCTATTATTATTCTGCATCATAATTGAATGCATGACTTTGAAATTTCATTTTTTTTTTTTAACTTGATTTTCTTTGTTGTGATAGAGCATATAAAAATCCAATATATATAAATTATATATGAAAAATTACCAAATTTACATTCATATATCATATGAATAATATGTCTTGGCATGTAATATTATTTATTAATGTATTATTGGTTAAACTAATACTAGTCATGGACACTCAGACATTATGAACAATACAAATTTCAGCTAAAATATGTTATCACTATTTTATTTCTGCTTATTTTATCCTCTTTTTGCTAATAATGTGCCAGGACATTAATTAATAAGGTTATGATGTATTTATTTTGAACTTATTTTACTTTCAATGGCTGTACAGTCTGATATGGACCTTACCTCATCATAGACCTCCCATCCTTTCTCTATTCTGCACTGTCAATACCACCTGTACGTCGACAATCTCCAAATATACCTCTCCTTCAATCCAACCGAATCCTCTGATGCCATCCTAAAACTCCTGGAAGACATCAACAGAATATGTGTTTGGACAAACCTCAACAGGCTCACATTAAACGCCGAGAAGACGAAAACCATCTTGATCGGATTCCCCTCACTTCTCAAATCATTCCCGGTAACCCCAATCTTCTCCTGAACAACTCACCTATTTCATTCCATACTTCTGGAAAAAACCTTGGTGTTACCACACATCTCCCAAATTTTCCGTCATACTATCTCTACCCTGAGTTCATCAATTCATCCGTCTATGCTATCTCCTTCCATTATAAGTCCCGTCAACTCCTAGTTTCCTCTCTTATATACCCTCACTTTGACTATGATTGTATGGCATTCAGTGGATTCTCAGAAGAATTTGAAACCAAATTTAAAAGTCTAATGAATTGCTCAATACATTTTATTTTCGCAATCTCAAGAGCATTTCGCATCACACATTATGCAATATTACACCGAGTCTAAGTGTCTCTGCCCATCCTACCATCGTCAGTACTTCCTAACTACATTTCTGTACCAGGTCATTAGATCTCAGCGACCCTCCTAGATTTTTCATAGCTTACAATTTAAATACTCCATTGAATCACATCCCATTAGATCTCTCACTTCCGACCTCTATCTTCCTCTCCACCAAATTTTCCTGTTATAGTGTCTCCTCAACTGATTCCCTTTATTTCCCTTGATGGATCCAAATACATGGCACAAATTCTTTCTTTCCAATTTATAAATAGCTCTTTTTCTTCTGAACTGACCATGATCCTTTCACACCTATGAAGCATACATTTGTATTATATAGTTTGTATAAGTGCTTTATAAAGATGGCACTTGGTCTGATAAGACAGAACAAGATATTTTCTCTGTCCAAATTAGCAGCAATTGACCTTCCATACTTATTGGTTAGTCTCAAGAGATATTCTATTTGTACAATTATTTTTTGAGCTTTTATAAATAGGCCCATATTTTCAAAGTTGAAGATGATTGTGACTGGTTACTTGATAGAATCATCTGTTCCTGGGCTAGCCCTCATACACTTTACTTTTTTCTTGATACAACGAAGTTCTGAGGTAGTTGATTAACAGTGAAATGTTGGTCATATTTGGGGATTTTAATGGAAATTAATGATAAAATAAAGACTAATAAACACAGTCTTGCTCCCAATTTTGAATAATTGTTCCTTCTCTTCTGTTTGGACCTATGCCCTAGCTCCATCCACTAACATAAGAAGAGTATTTTATATGGCATTTAAAAATCTAGCAACTATATCTAAATAGTTCATGTAACCAAACACTGTCCTAAGATAAATGGCACTAGTAGCTTATATTCCAGATCTTGAAAACCTCTTTGGGGTAAAATTAAAGAAAAATAATAAGCCAGCAAGGGCATCACCCTATTTCCATCCTCCCTTTGTCATGAATTCAGGTGATGAATCCAGTTGTACCAGACTGCACTCTTAAACATCATCTTGATTGGAGTTGAATGTATGAGATTTGATGGGCTCCCAAAATTACATCATAGAGCTTTAGCTCTTAATGCTATCATATACACTTCACAAATCTTCAAAAAGATTATGGGTGACCATTTTATCTTCTGTAAATTTTCCCAGAATCATGCAGAACTTGAATATTTGATATACCATTGATTTTCCACTTTTAAATCCAGAATGATATTTGCCAATTATTCTGATATTTGATAAAAAAAGATTTTAATTTTTCCAACTATACCAAATTTTTTTTTTAACTTTTTACTTATATGTTGAAACTTGACAATATTTTTTTTTTCTATTCAAAAGAACATTTTATCGATAAAATCTCAATTCTTAACTTAAAATGTATTGGTATAAGTTTTAAATTTTATTCTTTGAATGTTTTTCTACAATTTTCACAATTTGAAGTAGATTCTCAAATCACTAACTTCCAACTTGTTGGATTTTCAAATTATGGGAGGAAAGGGAATGACAACCCTCAATAGTTTCTCCTCCTCCCTCCACGATAACATCCCTGCCTAACCCACTTGCTATTTTCTTTAAATATTGCAATCTTTCCTACGACTACTTGTTTTAATCACTCATTCATAGTTTTTCTGAACATCTTTTCCATTCTTATGAGCAAAGTGAAAAATGGTTTAATTCTTAGATTACCTCTAAGACGATTTTGTTCTTTGCAGAATTCCTATGCTGCACATGGTAAATATTAGTGTTTAGTGATGAATAATACTTTGAGTATTCAATTTATAATTTTACACAATTAACAATACCTAACAATTTTTTTAAAATCTTAGATGTATTTGTGGTATATAAATATATTGCAATCCTATCCATAATGGTTTATCAAGCACCATTAAACAGTGAGCAAATATGACTCATGATTTAAAACCAAGAAATAGCTTCTTACACATCAGCTGAAGCGCAATTTTGAAAATTCATTATAAATTTTTATACCTTCAGTGCTCGAAACACTTCCTGATGACCCACATGTTTGGGTTGAAACATCGGTAATAACTAATAAAAACCTTAAAAATGACTGCATCCTGACTACTTGTCACCTATGACATTATTTTTATAAATTCATGATTTTACACCTTAGTTTTATTATTAAAATTATCAAATCTTTTTTTTTTTCTCTTTTTTTTCATACACACACACACATATATATATTTTAGGTATTTATGTTTAGCATAGCGTTGTGTATATCTTTAAAATTAATAAAAGAACCAAACCTGTGGCTTCCATAGGGAACTAATTGTTGTTCCATCATAAATATGTTGTTTTTTATTGTATTATATGTTTTCATTTTTTATTTTATTTATAACTGAAAATAAATTAAGTGTATATTATTTTCTTAACAAGATTGTGGACATATCTTTTACTATCTAATTTATTACGTTTTAAATCAGGTATAATTAATAGAAAGATCTTTTATTTGGACATTTTGGGGATACTTTGTGCCCCTCTTCACCATCTATAATAACATACATCATACGTTCTACATTGGACCATTTACATTTAATAACATTTTTACTGTAATTTCCTATTAAAACATTTAAAAAATAAAACAATAAAATTTACTTGCATAATTTGCCTTAGTATTGGAATGGTCCTATAGCAAGTTTGGTCAGTGATCAAACATTATATCTACAAAAAGAACGAAGTACATTTAAGAATGGGGGCAGTACAATGATTAGCGATGGTGCAATCAATAAATAGTAAATTTATTATGTTTGTGATTTATTTATTGTTTTATTTGTAATCAAATGAATAATAAATAATCAATATATGTGTAAACAAAATTAAAATATGTCTTTAAACCTATGCCCTATTTTATTTTTTTAGAGCACGATATCAACATGGAAAAAATGGACAAAGCCCCCTGATTCTAATTCAGGTGGACGGATATCAGGATCTGTTTGTGGCTTAGATCCAAAGTATGTTAATAATGTTTAGCTATGCTGTCATTTTTCATCAATAAATTACATTAAAAAATAATCCTAAACAAAATTCTGTTTATCATATCTATATTTTTCATTATTTAAAAATAGGTACTGTGAGGCTCCAGCTTCTGTAGCCCCATATGAATGGCCAGATGACATAACTAAGTGGCCTATTTGTAGAAAGACATCATCCCCCGTTCAAAGGTTAAGGACCAAGGATAAATTAGCTGCTGAACACATGGTGTGCGAAGTAAGCATTTGTATATACACTTTTTTTGTGATTGTTTTTATTGTATAATTTTATACATTTAATACTTGTTTTTAGTAAGTATAAATTAAATTAGGAAAAAAATAGTGAACAAATATAAGAGAGATTTATAAAGAAGAGAAAGGGAAATAGGATGTTTAAAAAACAAAAAAGAATGAAAAAAAATATATGAACAAGAAAGAAAGAAAAAAAAATATATGTATATAGATATATAGGGTGTTTCAGGGTTAAGTGGTCAAACTGCAAAAATTAACCAAGGACCTCAAAACAGGAAAAAATTTCCACTGAAGGTATGTCCGCAAACGCTTTGTTAAGGAGATATTCACACCTAAAGATTTTCGTTGTTATGAATTATTTACGTTATATGAACATATTCCACTACAACTGAGAACGGACATGTGGCTTCAATGTCCTGCACATTACGGAAGAGGTCCAAGGCAATGGTTAAATGATAATTATCCCAATCAATGGATTGGCCGTGCGGGACCAGTGGCTTGGTCTGCATGCTCTCCAGACCTGACACCACTGGATTTTTTTGTTTGGGGTGACATTAAACAAAAAGTCTATGCAAGTCTTAATTCCTTATGAAGAAGAATAATTGGGTCTTGTAAAACAATAACACATATCCAGTGCCATTCTGCCACTGCTACTGTTGAAGAAAGATACCGAGCCAGTCTTAATGCTCAAGGAAATCATTTTAAGCAACATTTAATATGAATTTAATGTTTACATTTAATTAATATAGTAGTTGGAACAAATAAATAAGTTTTATTTACTTAATATAATGTAAATAATTCATAACAATGAAAATCTTTAGGTGTGAATATCTCCTAAATAAAGCATGCCTTCATAGGATTTTGTTTTTCTTGTTTTGAGGTCCTTAATGCATATTTTCAGTTTGGTCACTAAACCCTGAAACACACTATGTATATACTCATAGTACTGTATATTTATATATAAGTTTTATTGGTTGTCCACAGTGATTAACTAACATGTTGTGTATTTAGTAACCTAATATAATTGGGCAACACTCTTTTATATGAAAATATAGTGTTTCTTTGTATTTGCAATATACCATCGCAACCTTGAATTGAATTATAATGTTATGAACCATAAAGAGCATTTGATCTAGACCAGGACTGCAACTAGAGGTGGAAGAGAGCCGAGGGAATATTTGTTACAGGTGACAGTATTTAGAGGACAGCGAATTTCAAGAGTTTTTCTTTTTAGTCTAAGTAAAAATTAATTTTTTTCTATTTGTTTTTATTTTGCTTTAATTCAGTTGACAAAATGAATTAAATTTATGAGATAGTGACCTTTATTACAAAATATAATATTAAAAAATAATTTTTATTGGGAATTGGCAGGATGAGATAGAAGGGATACCAAAATTAAGCTTACCCTTCCAGGCAATAATCCTAGTCCCTGCACTAGTCATGATTTCACCTTTAAAAAACTCTAATAGTCAACATTATGGATAAATATACAAGGTCTTTTGTTATCATGAAACCTTATATGATTATATGATAACCTAAGTTTTCTGTTATATCACAAAAAGACATAAACTTATTATAAATCATGAAATAATCACAGTTTATTTTATTTGCAATGAGGTTAAAAGAAAACTTACATTTTATTTCTATTAACCAAGAATATTTTTTCAGGTTATTGGGCATCCATGCTGTATAGGTATTCATGCAACTTGCAAAATTACCACAAAAGAGTATTGTGACTTTGTTCATGGGACTTTCCATGATGAAGCCTCTCTTTGTTCCCAGGTAAAAACATTGATCATTTAAAATAAAATGTGTAAGTATAAAGTAGTTCATACACAGCAAATTCCCTCTAATCTGGCACACTCAATAATCTAGTTTGATTTTCAAAATAGAAAAAATACATACCTATTGGAAAACATCATTCATGCCTTAATGAATTATTGAAGTTTGTTTGGAAGTGGAAAGCGTGAGAGTAAAATAGTCTGTGAAAATGTGTATCACCATATGTGGAGTGGATATCAGTCACCAAATATAATAAAACACTAGCGGATTCAGGATTTAATTTTGGAGAGGACTTCAGCCCAAAAGTTTTTTTTTCATATATATATAATAATAATTATTTTGAAAAAAAAAAAGAAAGATACTAACTACCTATATGAAATGGTGTTTAAATGATTCTTGAGGTCCCATTAAATGTAATTATACAAACAATAATACTTTAACAGATATTTTTTGCCATAAAGGAAGGTTCCATTTTACCATTTCGGGAGGGCTGCAGCCCGAAAGCTCCTCCATAGAGCCACCTGTGTATTAAGGTGTACATCTTTTGCCAATTTCAAATCATATTTTTTATTAGTCTATAGTGCACTTCTAATTAGGTGTTTTACATTTCTAAGTATTTTTTTCAATCTAATAAGGCTATTTAAACATGTTTTACTATAACTTTTTGTTTATTTTACGTTATTCCCAAAATTCATCTTGTAATCAAGGATACTTCTTAATTCAGCATAACTCAAGTCCCAAACATGCTAGATTAGTTGAAGTTTGCTATAATAACTGTTGTTTAATTATTATTATTATTAAAATTAAACCATCAATAATGGTAGGCATATTGCTCAACTTTTTATGTCTTCAGACAATTACGTTATGATTCACTTGATCAAAATATAGTTTTATAATATTATAAAATAAAAGCATCACATATTTCTAAAACAGAGTATCTTTTCGTTTTTTTAAAGATATAAACTTTAGTAACCAAAATTTAATGGTTTGCTTATTCACATTTTGATCCATATTACTTTTCAGGTGTCATGTCTGGATGATGTGTGTGGAATGCTCCCATTTTTGAATTCTGAAGTACCAGATCAGTTTTACAGACTTCTTACATCAATATTTCTGCATGCTGGGTTAGTCAATTTTTTTATTGGTTTAATATTTATGTTTATTATTAGTTTTCAATTATTTAGGATAACCATAAATCAATTTTGCAAATATTTATTTTGTTTTTAGCATCATACAGCTTGCTATTTCATTACTGATCCAATGGTTCCTCATGAGGGACTTAGAAAAATTGACTGGAACAGCTAGATTGATGATCATATACATTGGATCTGGAGTTGCTGGTAACCTCGCATCTGCTATTTTCATACCTTACAGAGCTGATGTAAGTTATTTAAATCTGTAATAAATCAGTATCACTCATAACAGTTAAAGCAATCAAAATTGATTTTTTTATTCTCGATATAAACCAAGTTTGGACCACGAATATATCATTTATTTTTTTTTTTTTTTTTGTCGCTTATTTTCTCCTCCTCCACACTTCCTTCATCCTCATGGAGTGCTGTGCCTTCCTCTCATCCAAACTTCTTCCTTACACTCCTCTTTTCTGCTGCAAGGACTCGCATTTGGTCAACACATTTCCGCAATTCGACTATCTATACAAACCTTGCTTGTTATATTTAGTTTGGCTATTTCCTTCTTCATCTATTCCAGATTATCCTTTATATTCTTATTCCCTGCACATTATCAACAATTTTCTTATTCAATATATCTGTCCATCCTGACCATATGCCCGTAAAATCTCATTCTTCTTTTTCTCATTGATGTCTTCATATCCTCTACTCTATTGTACAATTCATGATTATCCATCGTTCTGTACTCCTCTATTTTCTTAGGTCTATATATATTCCATAGGATTTCCCTTTCCGTTTTTAACAATCCATCTATATTTGTGAACCCCATTGTTTCCGCACTGTACAATAATACTGGTTTCACAACAGTTCTGTAGTGCCTAAGTTTTGCCCCCCAAGATAAATTCTTTTTGTTGTAAACATATTTTGTCGCAAATCTATCTAATTTCTCTTCCCTAATCCTCATTAATTGTCTATCTCCTCCATTTTAATTTATACATTCCCGCAAATACTTAAATTGTTTTACAGTCTTTATTTCCTATTTGATTTTTACCATTCTCCCTATCATTTTTATCATTAGTTCAGTCTTCGTGAATGATGTATTTAAATCCATTTTTCTGGCTATTTCCTGTAATTCTTTTATTTGTCTTATTGCTTCTTGTTTACTTTTTGACATGAGAGCCAAGTCATCCGCGAACGCCCAACATCTGACCTCTCCCCCATTCTTACCAATTAATTTCACCCTTTTTTTTTCCCAAAACATTTTAAAAACTTTGTCCAATACATCATTAAATAGAATCGGTGACAACCCATCACCTTGTCGTAATATTATTTTTATTTGAAATGGTTTGCTTATTTTCCCTGAACTTAACTTTTGAGGTATGTGTCAGTTAAAGTCAATTTATTCAAATTCCACATTTTCCGATCCAGCCAGTATTCTTCCAGAATTTTGAACAGAATCTCCCTATTCACCAAATTATGTTCCTTTTGGAAATCCATATAATGATACATAAATCTTCTTCGAATTAGCCGCTTGTTATTTAAGAATTAATTTCAAACTTAAAATCTTTTCTGGACATGATCTCTTTTTTCTGAACCCTTCTTGATATTCCCCTAGTTTATGATTCACCTATAGTTTGAACATATTTAATAATGTTTTAGACATAATCTTGTATGTTACTGATAACAAGGATAGTCCCCTGTAGTTATTAACTTATCTGTTTTGGGTCCTTTTTTATGCAATGGATGGATCAACGCCACTTTCCAATGTTTTGGTATTTCTTATTTTTCCCATACTTCACTTAATAATTCTGTCGTCTTCTTGAAAAATCTTTCATCTACCTGTTTCCACATTTATGCTATCACACCATCTTCTCCAGGTGCCTTATCTCTCAACAAAAATATTACTTCTTTAACTTCTTCTGTAGTCGGTGTTTCACTGTCCTGAATTTGTATCATATCCCTCATTTCCAATTTTTCCTTCGTTTCTTCACAGTTTAGCAGTTCTCTAAAATATTTTGCTTAAATTTTGCAGTTTTCTGTTTGCTATCTTTCCGTCCTTATCCCTAAAATTCAAGTTTGACTCCGAATATCCTTTGACTCGATTTTTAAATGTCCTGTTGAATCTTTCCATTTCACCAGTCTTCATTGCTTCTTCACAACTCTGGTCCCACAAATGTATGTCTAACCCTCTTTTCTAGAGGTTCTATTATACCTGCTGTTTCTCTTAAACTTTTCTTCACAATTTCTTGGATTTTTTTTATAAAGTCTCCTCAAACTCCTTCCCTTTCTTTTTAAGTGTCTCTCTTTTTACCTTAAGTTCTTTAATTTTCATTTTGATTGAATCATATTGGATGATTTTCTTATCTTAACATTTTGGATCTCGCTTTGATGGTTTTTCGAGATCTCTATATGATCTGACTTCAACTCTTCTAACATTGGATTAGATGATATCCAAGTTATTTTCTTTCAATGTAATAAGCTTTTTTCTAAAGTTTGTAAACATAATTTTTAACCCGAATTTTTGTTGGGTCTTTATTAATCTTTCTGATTAGTGCTTTTGTGTGCAGGATAATTCCCTTACTATTTTCCTGAATTTTTTCCCCTCCTTTATTGAGTGTTAAAATTCCTCATTAAAATCTTTATATTTGTCCTTGGTATTCAGGCATCCCAAAAATTCTTCTGCTCTACTTCTGTTGTTTTTATTATACAAAATTGGAATATCATATTAAATTGTTTATTCTTATACAAATCACAATATTTTGTTTTATATTTCATAATATTCATTATTAATAATATAATAATATTATAATTTCATTAGTATTTTATGTTATTAAAACAATTATTAATTTTTTGAAGAAGTACTTCTTGGATCAAACCTCCATATTTATAAATAATAAAGTAAATAAAACTAAAAACTCTTTGATGTCTAATTAATCCATATTTATATGCAATATCTAGATATTTAGAAATGATTTCTTTGTTATTATTTCATGTCTTCTTGATTTATTAATATATTATGTAATTATTTAGATATCTTCAATTTTTTTTTTTTGAGTCCTCCCCTTTCTCGCCGTTAAGGCTATACGGGGTTTTCCTGGGCTAGGGGATATGGGTGGGGATTTAAAAGACTCCCTCGGCACCGGGACGCGAACTCGTGACTAATTTTTATATCATTTGAGTCATATATCAGGTTGCTGGGCAACGGTGGTACTGTGCACACGCAGTAGCCCATTCGGCCACCCCGCTCTCTAGATATCTTCTTGCATAACTTGTCTCACTATTATCTTATTCACTATTTTTTGCCCAACTAAGTGAAGCGAAACAAGATTTATGTGTTTGGGTCGTCCCCCAAAAGCTATGTAATGCTTTTTCAAGCAAACCGCTGGATTTTTTTATTAAGTTTGATGGCTCAAATTATTCAGTGAGATCCCCTAAGTGTTTTGATACAATTTGAGCTAAAATTACTGACCCATTATTACATAAGATGTGTTTAATGAATTTACAAAAAGGTTTGTAATGCTGTTTTGAGAGAATGGCTGAATCGATTTTTAAGTTTGATATATTATATTATTCAGCGAGGTCCTGTGAGTGTTTTGAAACAATTTGACCAAAAATACAGACCTGTTATTAACTAAGATTTGTTTTATCAATTTGCAAAAAGTTTCGTAACACTGTGTTGAGCAAACGACTGGATTGATTTTTAAGTTTGATACATTATTTTATTTGGTGAGGTCCCATGAGCGTTTAGAAAGTGTAACAATATAAGGTTAATGTGTTAGAGGTGTCCGCTAAAAGATATGTAACTCTGTTTTGAGCAGATCATATGATCAATTTTTAATTTTGGTGGCTGTAATTACTCTGTTAGATCCCATGAATGTTTTGAAACAATTAGAACTCGAAATTCTGAAAAAAAAATATTATTGTTTAAATATCTCGATTATTAATTGATTTGAAATTATATCATGTGATCATATTTATGAAAATTGATTGTAAATATTTTAAAAACTAAAAATGTAAAAAAAAATGTTAAGTTAAAAAAAACTGACTACAGAAGTTGGAAAATTGTATTCACTCTGAGGGAATATACTTCCATATCTAATAAAACATGTTGGCAGATTGGTAGGGAAATTGACATCTGCGAATATTTAAACTTTGTATAGCCTGTCCACCCTTTCTTCAGAGGAAATAAAAATATTCGGAAGACGAGTTGTCCCAAGGATACAGGACTTCCATCGCTGGGCTAATAGGTTATTACTACTCACATGGTAGTAAACTTTATTCAAAGTAAAAATACTATGTGGAGTCTAAGCTAAGCCTCGGATGTGGATAGACCTTGCAGAAACAACCTGGTGCTCATAAGAATAATTGCAGCAGATTTTTCTTTGGCCTTTGGTAAGGTTACTTTGGTGCAATCATATGCACCAAGAGAGGATGCAGGAATTGTGGACAAAGAAGCTTTCTACTCAGATTTGCAAGGAATAATGAAAAAAATAAAGGATATAGAACGATTCGCAATACTGATTGGAAACTTTAATGCAAGAATGGGATGTGATCTAACTGTTGCTTACGGTACTCTTGGAATCCATGGAGGGGAGAGAGAGTAATGAATGGAAATAGACAATGCCTTATTGATTTCTTTTTGGATAATGACATGCTTGTGGGCAAATCTTTCTTTCCCCACAAAAGTATACACAAAATAACCTTCTCGAGCTTGTAAAAAAACAGTATTATTGACTATTTCATACATGATCATGATATAAGACAGTATTTTACTGACATTAAAGTGATAGGAGGTGTAGATATCGGCAGAGGTCATCTGTTATTAATAGCCCTGAACATTAAATATACGAGTTCCAGACGATCCTGTAAAGAGAACCTCCTACACCACAAAACTTGAAAGTAATCTAAGGGCATTGAGTCTAAAGGGTGATGTGGAACATCAGTGATGCCGTTTTAAGACCTGTATCTTGGAATTGGCAAGAGAAGTTTGTGGTTTGCACAAAAATTCAAGCAAATAGGAGTACACCGAATGGTGGAATGAAGAAGTCCGCCACCTTGTCCAATTAAAGAAGAAAGCATGGAAAGACTACTTCAAGAAAGGATGGCCGAAAAACGGAACTAATACCATTTGGCCAGAAATCAATGTAAAGGAGTGATCTGTCAAGCAAAAAGAGGTGCATGAAAGAAGTTTGGAAAAAGCCTTAATGAAGACCATCATGAGACTATTAAAAAATTCTGGCGCAAAGTAAAGATCTTGAGATGGAAAAGAAGTAAGCCAGTGAAAAATATTAAAGACTCAACGGCAAAATGACAAAAGAAATTGTAAAAATTCTTGATCGGTGGAGGGAGTTTTATCAAGGAGACTTTCCTGAAGGGAGGTGTTGATAGCCATTCCATTGCGGAAGAGCTCTTCCTGCCACTCCACAAGGGCCTGTTGCAACTTGTCTCTCATATCTACTATCAGTACGATGTCATCGGCATACAATAAGCTTTGAACCATAACATCCTCATGTTCCATTTTCCGATGACCGTCCAAGCAGCACGAGAACATGCTGCAGAAAATTATATTCTGGAGAATTCTGATGCCATTGAGGAAGATGAGATTAAGTATGCCATCGAAAAAATTAAAATAGGTAAAGCAGCAAGAAGGGACGGTATAGCTCCAGAATTACTGAAATTTGGAGGTCGAAAATTTAAATAGGAGAAGAACAAATAGGCTTTCATCCAGGGAGGCAGACTCCAGACAAACATATAAATGGCATTCCTGGATCTCAAAGTAACATTTGACTCCATCCCCAGAAAAGAAATATGTGATGCTTTGAAAGCAAAAAATGTTCCAGGAGATCTTATCACAGCTATTACATTGGTTTTTCAGGAAGCGAAAGGAGTTGTGAGTATCAATGGAAGACAGTCCAAACCTTTACCCATAGAGAAGAGATGTCGGACAGTCTCACTTCCCTCTTATTAATTATATTTATGGATGAAATCCATGAAATTTATAAGCGCCATATTGCTTGGACGGTCATCGGAAAATGGAACATGAGGATGTTATGGTTCAAAGCTTATTGTATGCCGATGACATCGTACTGATAGTAGATATGAGAGACAAGTTGCAACAGGCCCTTGTGGAGTGGCAGGAAGAGCTCTTCCGCAATGGAATGGCTATCGACACCTCTAAAAGCAAGATTGTTGTTCTTTCAAGAGAGGAATAAGAAGATGTCCAGCTGATATATAATGGTGAGGTACTCCAGGTTGTACAGGAATTTACTGACAGTCATTAGCAATACAGGAAAAATTGACCCTGAAGAAGCAAATATGATTTGATAAGCCAACCAGGCTTGCATATTTATTACCCTATCTACAACACCATAGTGGACACAGAGAAATTAGTAATGAAACGAAAAAGACTGTATACTCAATATATTCAAGACTGTATACCCACCAATCCTGATGTATGTAAGTGAAAGTTGGTTTATGCTGGATAAGCAGGTCAGCTGGGTGACAAGTGCTGAGATGTACCTGTGGAGAGCCATTGGTAAGACCAGAAGGGACTGTTGTAGAAATGAACGGATACGGCAGAAGCTGGAGTTGGTGGATCTTAAGATTATGCTTAAAAATCGACAACTGAAATGGTTTGACCACGTTTGCTGGATGGATGATGAAAGAGAACCTCAAAAAGCGATGTAAGCTTGACCCACTGGGAGGAGACCGCGAGGCCATCCCAGAATTTCTTATCAGGAGTACTTACAGCGGATTTGAGCGAAGAGAGGGAAAACTCTCAAAGAGATGAGGCTGCTGGGCCCTAATCAATATGCATGACTGTGTTGGATCGAGGCTCCTTGAAGCTTGGACTGGCATCAGAGGTAGATAAAGAAGAAGAAGAAACTGCTTTAGGCGAGCTTTGTACTTTTTTGTGGGTAGTGAATTAGATTGAGCCGTCATGCTGTAATGCTGTAATGTGTGTAATGCTCATTCAGGTAAAGTTGGCTTGAGTTGACTAATTGAATTGTGTTTGCATATGGATTAAAATATCTCACAAACTAAAAATCGGACCTGTGTCCTTTAAGTGAGGGAAATGCTCAGCATTTTATCCTATTTGTAATGATCTATTTTATGATAAAATTTCCCAATATCTGTTGTCGATTTTTTTTTTTTTTCATACCACTTTTTTAATTATATCCATTAATTTTATACTAATGATTTATGAGATTTTTTAAAATTTATGAATCATGATTTCTGATATTCTATTTGATTATAATAAATTTTCTTATTTATTATAAGGATAAAATAGTTGTTTTATGTTTTTATATTTTTATGTACTATTTATTTGTTATTTATTTCAACAGGTGGGTCCTGCTGGATCGCAGAGTGGACTACTAGCCTGCTTAATAGTGGAAATATTAAACATCTGGCCAATGTTGCGCCACCCATATCGAGCACTTTTTAAGCACCTAGCAATTGCTGGAATGCTATTTGTAGTTGGTCTTCTCCCTTGGTTTGACAACTTTTCATCATTTTTCGGTTTTCTATTTGGATTTCTTCTTTCATATGCTATTCTTCCTTTTGTTTCTTTGGGAGAATATGACCGGCAGAAAAAAATCTTTATGATATGGGTCTGCCTTATAACAACCGTGTTTCTTTTTCTTCTTTTAGTCCTTTTTTTCTATGTAATTCCTGTCTATGACTGTGAATTCTGCGGCTATTTCAATTGCCTTCCTTTGACAAGGGATTTCTGTTCAGCCCAGAATATCAACTTTAAAAGAACAGATTCTCCAGTATGACACAAGGGTGCGAGGCGGAGGGCTTCCCCCTTGAACAGAATACCGACAAGTATTCTTTCAAGGTTTGAACCCCGGTACCTCCTCACAACCCCGCTTTGAGTCGACCTCTAAAATATGCTCACTTAAGCTTCAGTTACATGACCAAAAAGATATAAGCGTAAAATGCCTTTCTAAATAAATTGGCTTTTCTGTTATTTTTCTAATTTGATGTTCAATTTAGTTGGCATTATAATTGTAACTGTGGTTAACTGAGAAATTGAGAGAGACAGAGACTCAAGCATTTCATTCTTACTGTGATTAAACATGATAGATGAAAGTATAAATGATTTAAAGAATATATTTTCTAACATTTTTTATTGGTTTTGGTGGAGAATTGGCAAGTTAATGCTAATAGATATGTGTGCAATATGTGTGCTTCAGATATTTCATGAAGTAACAGTTTGGACTCATTATATATAATAATCGTTATAAGTGATATATATAGTCACAAACTGTATGAAATTTTGATTCAATGTTTTTTTAAATGTAAAACATGTATTATAAATTTATGTAATTTTAGGGTTAAAGTAATTTTATGGGGAACCAAATTGATGAATCTGGATGCATTGTATAATAATATATAATCATGTGTGAATGGTTATCTTTGTAAATTGTATTGAGGGTATAACATTTTGAAATTCAAAATGGGGGATATAAAAAGTTAATAGGTCTTTCAAAAGCTGCTTGGCAGTTTAAAAATTAAAAAAAAAAAAATTCAAATGATGTTTCACTCCACAATCCCTTACATAATAAATTTCACTTTGATTAAAAGGAATTTTTCACAAGGGATAAAGAAACCAGTTTTTATCTTTTCTTATAAGACTGGCAGTTGAGACTTGTATATACACATATACAAAATCATATTTAAAAATCTTTTAGATGCTAAGTTATAAATTTCTATTTCCTTGCATATTTTTTTCTAATTTAGTTTTCAAGGAAATAAAAATTTTAACTGCAACATATTTTGTACATATTTAGGTCATGCAAGAGAACAAGAGAGTGTTTATGTGCTATGTATAATGATGAAGTTTTTCTTCCCATTCCCTCTTTGACCTCATTCATCAATATAAATATACATATATACATATATATGGTATAAATATATACATACGAAAATTATATATATAAAAATCGTTCTATAGTGTTTTCATCAATGAAAGGTTTGGGACACTTTCTTATTAATCGGTGTACAAGGTATCTTGGTAATGTGTTGCTGGAGTTTGAGCAATTTTAATTCAGTTTTTATAAACAAGAACAGTATTTTCATACTTGTAAAATTTGTGTTCATAATTTTTAAGATGGTTGTAATCACTTTTAAATCCTATAGATTGTGCAGTTCCTTTTAAATTAGAAGAAAATTATGAATAAATGTAAACGATGCATGGATATTTTCATTGCTGTAACATCTTATTTTATATTTTTTAAACATTAACTACAATTTTTAATACATTTATTTATTTATTTAATACAATTTAAAATATATTTATATAATTATTTTATTTTTTATGTGTTATACTTAATCAAATCTTAGAAAAAAATCTTTTGAAAATATATCTACAGAACTGAAACATAATATAGGCATTAAGTCAACTTTTTAAATTTTATTCTATTAGAAAAATTTAAAATTTATAGATTAATATAAATCAAAAAGTTTGTGTTCTATTTCTATGATTAATTATTTCATTACTTTAGTCCTTGGCAATCAGGAATAATTTACTGATGTTACAGCACTGTAATATTCACGTTTTTATACTTAATTTTTTATATTGAATTTAATTTATGGTTTTTAAGCTCATTCTTCATTGCAATAATTCAGCATCTGTATTTACATAGTTTTGAATCTATGTTATTGTGCAAATTTGTTTTGTATTTTAATCCATTTTCTGATTTAATCAATGACACATCCAAGATAAATGTATTATTTTAACAAGCAATTGTTCAAAACAAATATGCCTATACAGGGTTGATATTGTAATTATAGCTTCAGAAGGCATAAAATGACTTTGTTAAAATTTGTTTTTTAAGTCAGTATTTTGTTTTATTATATTAGGATTAATCTGGTGATTGATTTTTAATGTATTCTGTTCAATGTTACCCTTTCTTAAATGTTGCATTATTCTATTAAATTCTTTATATAGTTATTTAACTGTAAATAAGTAATATATTTAAACTTTGCAAGTTTATCAATCTTAATTATTTTTTTGATTCTTTAGAGTTCACCAGTCACTGATGTTCTGTATAAATTATTGTACATTATTTATTGTATTATAAATGGGAAAATTTAATGTATTATGATCGTTTTGTAAAATAAATAGCCAAGTAGATATTTTCCTTGATTATTTAACCTTAAGTTTTTGTACTTATTTTCATTATAATATATTTTATAGTAACTAATTTCTTAAAATTGAAAAGCAATTTTTAATTTTGGGCAGTTGACTTTTTGATGTAATTTATTTATTTATTTATTGTTTTTAACCAGGTTTAGATTTTTTGGAGTGTTGTTCAATCCTGTTGTAGTTTATACTTGTATCATACAAAGTTGAACTCCCTTAAAGTCAGACATGCATGTACATAAAGATAAGTGGTGCATTGATTGCAACAATTGCTTGTATTCTCATCAAATGACTACAGTGTAATACATCTGATTTCCACTACAATTGTCCTAATTTCAATTATTGATGTTAATATTTTTGGATGGTTTGTTTATCTACTGCTATATATTTAATACTCCTTAATTTATATCATTTATAGCTTTGTTGTCAAACATTTGATATAAGGTTGTCATAATAATACTAATTGGTGCAATCAATGTATGTAATCTTGCACGGTTTTATCATTTTTTGTAGTTATGACATAATTAAGACTTTTGCCATGGAAGGTAAATGCGTGTTTAAATTTATTAAGCTGGCCTATGTTGTATAAAAATATTATCTTGAAGAATGTAGTAATTTTATCATCTTTTCAAAACAAGACAACTAAAAGATTACAATGAAAAAATATTTAATTTTGTTAATTTCATTTTTAACATCTATGGAAAGACCAAAGCCTTAATATTGAAATATATCTATTGTAACTAATTATTTGTTTCATTTAAATTCCCTTAATGCTAACAAATATTAGAAACAATCACTGCTGGTGTAGACGAATGATAACATCAAGTGGATATTTATACACTGGATTGAAGAAATAATTATATTCTTTGGGTGTTTTTATATTTTATTGCTGTTATTTCCCATCATCATTTTTATAATCTATAACTACTGGGGAATTGAGTGAAAGGTTACCACATTTGTAATGGGTAATTACTGATAAGCACAAACTAGATGATTTATTAATTTCATGAGTCTGACCATTTTTGTCAGAATATCAAGTTGCATTATTTCTATTTTACAATAAAAATTCTACAAGGAAGCTAGAATTTATAAATTGTTTATTTGAGTATAAAGTATTTATGAACTCCAACTAGGGTGGGAAGGATAGAATTTATATTGAAAAAATGGTTTATATTATGTAAAATGTTTCTAATAACACTTGGTTTGGTAATAAGTAAATAAAATTATCTTACTTATAATGTTTATATCTTTATTGTGCTTGACCAATAAACCGAAAAGTCTGAGGTCTTAGAATAAAAATGCAAAGAATAATTTTATTTTATGTTTGAAATTCAAATCAGTTATTAACATTTAGTAGAAGGGTATTTCATAGAAATAATATGCAGATGAGTAAAAAGGAAGATAAAGTTAAACATAAATATATGTCAATAGCTAATAAAATAGCAAGCAGATTAAGCATCCGCATAAGGCCCTGATAAGCAAAACTTTCTGAGATCTTAAAATGTCTTTAGGTAGAGATTTTGAAAATGACCAAAAAAGGTTTTGAAAAACAGTCCTTAAAATGATTTAAAAAATCCAAAAAGAAATTGTTAAATTCAAAGAAGTAGAAATTTTTTTTTAGGAGATTGCCAAATTTTTCCTGTTTAAAAGAAGCTGATAAAATGGTAAGCAGACTAAGCGGCCTTTTAGGGTCACCTCTTGTCAGAATCCACCCTATAATATGGGACTAAAATGGGGGAAATAGAAGAAATAACAAGTGAAAATTTCATTGTCAAAAAAAACAAAAAACGTTCATACCAATACAGCGATTAAATGTAGTAATGACATATTTCTTAGTAAGAAAAATACATTCTCGAGAGTTAATCATCACTTTAAAAGAATTTTGTATTCTTTCGACACAAATCAAACTACCTACTTAGTTTTAATGAACAAGAACCAGTCCATTCACAAAAAGTCAAGAATCTAGAATCTCCTGATTTAAAATCTTACTTAATTCATAAGCCAGTATATTAAAATTCTAGAACACACCTTATAATAAATATATTCTGATTACTTTATTAAGTTTTGAGATAAAATGATCATAAAAATATAAAATTAAAATTGAACTAATAATATTAACAAATTTCAAAATATTTTAATATCAATAGTCATTAAACAATTGTTAAGCTTGCAGTGTAATTCATAAACATTTATTATTCTAACATACAATTCCAACTTTTTTGTAATAAAATTGTATGGGTAAATAATTAATTTATTTAGATAAAATCAATATTAGAAATTACTTTAATCAACTAAATTACTAAATAAAACATTAAACAAATAATAATCATTATTTTATGTAGTGGGACCATTCATCTGCTACTAAATACTCTAGATTCTGGGGCATTATGACCTTTGGTCATCAATGGTATCTAGCGATTATTCAGTTAGTTTGTTTATGAATAATGAGTTCAGATATCTTCAAAGTTCCAGCAGATACCTGGTAATTGATATTATCAATGATACTTTATCTTATTAATTGTTTGATATAAATATAATTCAACACAGATATTACTATTATGTAGCTGTATATATATATATATATAATTTTTATTTGTATTTAACAGAATGCTTTTTTTTTTTTTTTTTGGCAAAACATTGTAATTCGTGGTTGCTAAAATACACTGCATTAAATATTAAAATTAAAATATTTAGTATATTAAAATAAGAATTAAAATTATTTTTGTCCAGGTATGTTTTATGGCAGCCAGGCAAATGGTAATCCTTTTAAATTAAAACAAATTACACCTCAAGATGTGTAATGAACCCTATAAAAACTTAAAACTATTTTATTTTTTTAAAAATAATTATCATGTTAAAGAAATAGAAAACTTCTATTTGCAAGTTTAGAATAATATTTACATTTTTAATATATTAATTTAAAGCTGATGTGGTCCATTTTGATCCAAAAGCTAAACTGTAAACATCGATAGTAATATCGATTTTTCACCGCACTGGTGGTCTAGTTTTGACTGAAATGTTGACACAATCTGTATGCTATGTTTAGGTTTGTTGCTCATTCAGTGGGTCATTCTGAAATTAGCTGAGAGCTGTTTGTTGTTCAAGTTGTTTCATACTTTGAACGGATTATTCTACTGTGTTTTTTTTTATTTTGGATTATTAGCGGTGTCAACTTGAACGTTTTAAGGTGTTAAAGGCGTGTCTTGTTTGTTTGTGAATGTAACAGTTCGTAGTATCAAGTGAAATGTGTGTTACTTATTAAAATATTTTGATACATATACATTAAGAACCATTTGTAATATCATCACGTTCTTAATTTTAATATTGACGTAACATTTTAACTTTTTTTTTATAATGTTTGACGATGATTGATTCTAAAAGTCACAAAATTAAATCAGTCAAACTAAGGAAAAATAAAAGTACCTTTAATGGTGATATTTCTCCTATAGTTAATGGACAAAAGTTACCAAATGGGAAAATTGTACATGAAAGAGAAAAAACTAACAAATCATGGAATGTGATGAGTTTTAGTGAATATGCAGACTATAGGTATGTTGTTTACAATCCTTATTTTCTTTAGTATGTACTGTCCCAGTATAATTTAATGCTAATCTATCTCATCAGGTTTGTTGTCAAACCTTGATTAAACTTTTTACCTCTCATTCCTTATCTTTTATCAGTAAATCTCTGTATGCCAGTAGATAGTGGCCTTAGTTTTTTTTTTATATTTACATTAAAGAAGTTAATATAAATTTAGACCAAGCGTAAGTTTTTACAGCTCTATCGGTATTATTCAATGTACCCATTTCTAAGCTAGTTGAGTTATTTCGAAACGTACTTCTCCCCTATATTTTCTTCACTCGATGAATCATCATTGTTTGTTTTTCAGTTAAATGTAAATATATTATTACTAGAGCTTAGGTTAGTTTTTTTTAAATGTTCTGTAATTAGTCATTATTTGCATAGAATACTGTTTAAAATCAATAACAAATATCAGACCATAATTGTTAACTGATCTTAAACTGAATTATAATTATATAACTAGAGCATTTATTTCTCTTGAGATTATTTAAAGGGTGTTAAGAAATTACAATGAATCTACTAGATTTGGATCTGTCAAATTTCTGAATATTTAATAGTATCAGGTATACTATGTAATTTTAATATTCAATGGATTCTCTTCTTTTTAGTTCATCAAAATTCTTGTATCCTTTTATTCATTTCCATATCTTAGATAGTATGGACAATCAAGAATAATTACTTTTTAAGGATGCTAGTAACTAGGCACAAGGGGTTCAATTTTTTAAAATAAATAATTTTAAAAGATTTTATGAATTGTGCTAATATATGCCTGTAAAGCATTCTAATAATGTCATCTATAATGGTACATATGTCTGGATAGGAGTGTAATTTTATTTGTGTATTATTTCATCTATGACTGCTCCGCTTTCCTTCTGTAAGGAATTATAATTCATGTTATAGTCAATTATATCTGTATAATTATGGTACATGTATTGTTTCTAAATTAACCAATAAAATTATGCTATTAATTGCTACTCCTTGTTCCTGATTATGTTTCCCCATGTCTTAAAGCACCAAGAATCATTACATAGAGACATTTATGTTTCAATGTATGATAGCAAATGAAATTTAAAGATGAAGAATTAGGCAGTGTAAGTAATAGTGTTTGTTAAAAAATAAAGTAATATAATTGACATGTTTCCAAAATCAATAATGGTTTGATTTACATGAATTTTTATTTTATGTTAGTAATTTTGCAACAATATTTTTCTAGTGCTTTGCTCTATAGGATCTTTCGTTAATTTCATTTGTTTATGCATTATCATTACTTTGCATATTAATATTATTTCTTCAACTTAAACTGGTTGCCAACCTTCATTTAGTTGGGGAGATGACGCGATAATTATATGGTTGCCATAGGAAACATTAATTTCTGTTTATAATTTACTCACATAGCTTGTTCTCAACAATAATATAAATGTAATGTGTTGTTTTGCTAGATTATTAAAAAACTAATAGATCAATTATGTTACCACAACAACATATGTTCTCAACTAGACAAGATTTTTGAAGTTTGTTATGACAATTAGCACTGATTTTTATTATGTTGTGCAACATATTAAAATATCCTCCACTGTATTCATTTATTATATAAATGACAACACTTTTCTAATACAATGTGCTTGTATTATCGATTAATTAGTACTAAGGAGAATTCCGATATTGGTAGTAATGACAATTTTAGTATTCTTTATTTTCTGGTCGTTATAGATTATTAATTTGAAAGTTTCTTTTCTTTTGGTTCATGTGGATATGATTATCTTATTTAGTTTATCTCATTTAAAATGAAAGGGCATGTCTTTACCTCTTTCTGAATGCTCATTGTTAGGATTTATTTTTTGATTGGCATTGAAATTCATCAAGTAATAAAATTCTTGAAAATGCATTTGTCACCAATTTTTCTTTCAAGTCGGAGTTATTATTTGTGAAACAAAAATCTTAAAACTTATTTGTGGAAATTAATTGTTTATTTAGCTATTCTGTATTACTTTTTGTGTTGTCGAATTATTATCATGGCGAATACAATGTGAGCTTGTGTTACTTATGCCAATCTAATAATATTAATTTTAAATCTCTTTCCTAAATAAAAACTAACTCATAGCTCTTTATCTAACTTAGAATTGTATCTATGTATACAAGAATGTAAAATTATAGGAAGACCTCATATTATAAAAGATTTTGTGGACTTCATTAATCATAAGGAATAAGATAGTTGTTTTTAAATTTTAGAATATAAGAAGTTACTTAAATTGAATTATTGATAATAAATAGCTAGGATTATTGGACATTGATTTAAAACTACTTTGTTTTCTTGAAATAATTATTGAAAATTGCCTTCACTGATGGTTATACTCTGTAAGATTAGTTTGAGTTTGTTATATGAGCTAGATTATTTTTACTTGAAATCAAACTTTTTCCATTTTTATTATTCTTAAAATTTATAATAGTGTATGTGTTATTCATCTCCTTTCCTAATTATAAATGAAACTGCATTAACTTTTGTTGTATGATTAATAAAATTAAGCTAATAAGGTTAAATAATATAATATTTATTTTGTATACATGTGCGTGAGCATACGCATGTGTACAATTGAAAGATTTTTTTTTCATAGATATTGGATTAAATGTCTTCTTTTTTACTTAACATCATTAATGTTTAACTAGAGAATTATGCAGTTTTGATCTTTGACTTAACAGGTCCAATGAAGAGAAGTCGTTGAGTCATTCATTATTTGGAAACTCTTTATATGACTTTGCTTGGGACCTCATCGCTGAAATCCAGTGAGTCAAATATTCTAAAGGGACACCGTTATTTAAAAAATGTCTGATTTTGATGGATGCCTTGCTTCTGTGTTTTTCTCCCTTTCTGTTGCACTGCTTTATTATTTCCTTTCTTACAATGGCCAAGTATTACATTATTGTGATTTTATTAAACTTAATGTAAAGACGGATTATTATAATTGATAGGTCAATTTTGTTAATTGTCATTATCAGTTTTATTAATAAATCATGGCTTTATTGATTATTTTATAAATAGATATTTGTACTTCAGTTTCTATATTTTTCTTAGTTCTTCAATAAATCTTGTTCTTCTTTTATAATTTGGCCATTGTTTTGAACTTGTGTTTGTACAAAATTCTTTACTTTAACTGTTTGTTTGTGGTGATTGGTTATATGGCTGAATGGTTCCATTTAAAGGTTTTTGATCTGCATATTTGTGTATATTCAATTGTCAGGTTATGATAAATTAATTTATTAACATTACTTTTCTAGAGCTTTTATCATTATTGTGTTTATGTTTTTGTTTTTAATATTTTCTGTTTGCAACCTTATTTCAGTTTACAAAATTGTATTTAGCACTTTTGAATCTTTTAGTATATTTTTTATAAAGTAGATATTTATTATACCAACTATTCAGGGTCAAGTGGCCAAACTTCAAAAATGAACTTAGGGCCTCAAAACTAGAAAAACAATTCCTCTGAAGGTATGTCCGTAAACACTTTGTTTACGAGGTATTCACATCTTATGATTTTTGTTGCTATGAATTATTTATGTTATATGAAATAAATAAAATCTATTTATTTGTTCTAACTACTTTATTAATTAATGTAAACATTAACATTCATATTAAATGTTGTTCAAAGTGATTTCCTTGAGAATTAAGACGGGCTCAGCATCTTTCTTCAACAGGAGCAGTGGCAGAACGGCGCTGGATGTGTTATTACTTCACAAGATTCAATTATCCTTCTTCATAAGAAATTAAGTTCATTGACCGGACTTGCATAGACTTTTTGTTTAATGTCACCCCAAACAAAAAAATCCAGTGGTGTCAGGTCTGGAGAGCGTGCAGACCAAGCCACTTAGTCCTGGAGCCAGGGCCCAAAAATCCACCTGATCGCAGGCAAAGGTTTGATTGTAAATTACGAAAGTATATGTTATTCTGAGTAAAAAAAACCTTGTCTGCCGTTCCAGAGCCGCTGCTTTCAAAAATGGTGGCTGATTTAAAGAATATTAGGCCAATAATTTTAGGATCGAAACGAGAAATACATTGCGAAAAATGTAAGAAAATCTTTTATTTTTTTAACTTTTATATATGGGTTAGACATGTAAAAAACAAAATTGCTAACGCAGGCCACCAAGGGAAAACTTTTTACAGCCAAAAAAGTCAGATTTTTTCGATATTTTTTGGGTTTTTCGCCTATAACTCACTCGTAAGCAATGCATCAAAGCGAAAAATATATTCTTTAATAAATTAAATAACTAAATTTTGCGTCAAACGAGTACATAAAATTTAAAATTTGATTACGCGGTAAGGTATAAAACCACGGTCAACCAACGCTGAGCTTTACCAAATTTGTCAAAAACTGAGATAAATTACAATAAATGGTCCTGTAACATGGAAATAAGTTCCCTAAGAGGAAAAATTTATTGAATCAAATTTTTGCTTCCAGTGAGTACTGACATTTTTATTGCAGACCAATTATATATCTCGAATTGGGATTCGTTAGTCCTTCATAAAATTCGGAATCTTTCGGCACATCGTTTACCAAAATCTTTTGCTGTTGAGAGGTGAAAAAGAGGCTTATACCGCATGTAACAGACTTTAAACAAAACTAACGCAGTTGAAAAGACACACATACTGTTGAAATATTGAAAATCAGATTTACCTTCATTACTAATTTCGAACCATCGGGAGATTACCGATTTTGTTCGCAGCAAGTGACCTGCATTAAATTAGTTTGTACTGAGTATATGCAAAATTTGATGCTCCACAACTTTAATTCTATGGGTTTTTCCACTTAGGGAACTCATTTCCAAGTTACAGGGCCATTTATAGTAATTTGTCTCAGTTTATAACAAATTTGGTAAAACTCAGCGTTGGTTGACCATGGTCTTATACCTTACAGCGTAACCAAATTTTAAATTTTATGTACTCGTTTTACGCAAAATTTAACATTCTTTAGTTTATTAAAGAATACATTTCGATGCATCGTTTAGGAGTTATAGTTGAAAAACCCAAAAAATATCGAAAAAATCTCACTTTTTTGGCTGTAAAAAGTTTTCACTTGGTGGCCTGGGTTAGCAATTTTCTTTTTTACATGTCTAAACCCATATATACAAGTCAAAAAAATAAAAACTTTTTTAACATTTTTCGCAATGGATTTCCCGTTTAAATTCTCAAATTACTGGCCTAATATTCTTTAAATCAGCCGCCATTTTTGAAAGCAGCGGCTCTGGAATGGCAGATAAGGTTTTTTTTTACTCAGAATAACGTACACTTTCTTAATTTACAATCAAACCTTCCCCTGCGATCAGGTCGATTTTTGGGTCGTGGCTTCAGGGCTAACTGGCCCTGCACAGTCAATCCATTAATTGGGATGATTAGCATTTAGCTATTGTCATGGACCTGCCTTCACTTTGAACAATATTTAATATGAATTTAATGTTTACGTTTAATTAGTAAAGTAGTTGGAACAAATAAATAAGTTTTATTTACTTAATATAATGTAAATAATTCATAACAATGTAAATCTTTAGGTGTGAATATCTCCTAAAAAAAAGTGTTTGAGGTCCTTAATTCATATTTTCAGTTTGGCCACTTAACCCTGAAACACCTTCCTATTTACTATATTTTATATATGCATGGTGGTTTAGTAATATAGGTAGTATACTATTTTCGGACTTTTATTTATATTTAATCATGTTTTTATCTAGCAACAGAAGACACTCTACCTCTTCAGGGAATATTGGGGCTACAAAATTAAGTTCTCCCTTGGAAAAGGTTGGTTTTATTCTCATTAGATATAATTGTGTTAATTAGTTCTTTCTTGCTTTTAACTCCTTAGAGTTTGATGACACCCATCAAATAAACAAATCAAATTGCTTGTTTCCAAAAAAATTATTGTTGAATTTTTTTTTTTGTTATTTTAAATTTCTGAATTAATTTTGTACAAATTTATATATTTATTTATTCCTTTTCTTCAATTAAAATAATGTAACTGTATATGTTTTCAGAAAGCTTTATTAAAAATATTATTATTATTGACTAATCATAGCCTTAGTTTTAAAAGGTTCCAACTGCATTTACTTTAATTTTGAAAAATGGAACTTTTAAAGTTACAATTAACTGTAATATGAATATTTTTTTACTTAGACTAACAATGTTGTTTGTAGAATACCATGAAGCAGTGAACTTATATTTGCACCTATAACCTTTTGGTATATGAAATCTTAAATTAAAATTAATTGGGAAATAATTGTGTCAGAAATATGTTTGAAAAATGTTAGTGGTTGAAATTTACTATTTATAAGGAGGTCATGAGTAACAAATTAAGGTAGTTTTTTTGTACCTCTTGTAAAGATAAAAAAATTGAGTTAAGCGGTATTAGAACTTGCATGATGATATTTTATCTATATTCATGTAGGTAGTATTTTATCTTGGCTATAAATCTTTTTACAATCAGACTCTCTGTCAATTGTCCTGATGTGATGACTAGACAAAAGAAATAGGCAGAACTGGAGTTAAAATGATATTTTGGTTCACAGTAAAGTGACATATTTGCAGCTTTTCTTCATTTCTTATTTTTAATGAATCTTTTTTTTTATAAATAAATTAATAAATATTATTATTTTTGAATGATCAAATGAAGAAAAACTCCTCAAATTTGGGGTTTAGTGTTAGATGAATACATAGAATATACATACATATAACTCCTTAAGTTGAATACCAAAATTTAATAGAAAAATCCTTCTTTCACTGTTTGCCTTTTTTTTTTAAATTAATTTATTTCTTAAATCTGCCAATATGAACTACTCTAAAATTTGAATTTTTTTCTTTCTATAGAGGTTACATAGAATCGAAAAGCGGAATTAAATAAAAATATTTTATACTCAGTTTTATTAAAACAATGATTTATTAAATTGTGGATTGATGGTTGACTGTAGTAGTTAGGATCACCCTAACCATCCATCTCTTCAACGATTTATTAATTATTTTATCCGTTTTAAGTTGAATGAAATAAAGGTTATTAACTTCAGAGGCAATATTCTGCTTTTAAATCTTGTATGTAGTTATAATTAAAGAAAAAATGACAGAAATTTATTCTTTTTTTGTTGAAACAACACAAGAGTAAAAGTTTCAAAAAAATGTTTAGATCATCTAATGATATATGCACTGCTAAAATCTACTTATTTATTTATGCACATAACAATGTAAAATTTGTATATATTTTATTAACATTTTTACTTTCTAAAATCTTAGTATAATATAGATTTTCGCAGTTTTTCCCGAAAAACATAAAAATATCACATATGTTGTTTCTGAAATCACTGATTCAAATATATTATACACATACAACAGATCTTTACAAATGATATAAACAATATAATTTCATGTTTAACTCTCATCAGAATAACTGTAAATAAAATACCATGGAGCATATTGCAGTTAGATCATTCTCAAACCAATAACTTTGGAAAGTTGTCGGTATTTAAAACTATCGCACTGCTTGTTTCTTTATTTTTCTTCTGATGCCATTAAAATTCTTTTGGAACATAAATAACATTGTTGTGGGTGATTTCTGAGTGAATACTTAATTTGTCCAATTTTGTTGCTTGGAACCTTTTCAGGCCACGTAGTGTTGATTCAAGAATAATTTATACTTACAAGGTTTATAATTATAACTCATCAGTATGAAATCTATGAAATGACAGTTAATTATCTTTTCAAGATTTTGGTCTATTTTGTAGAAATATAAGAGTTTTGAACTCACTATGTGATACCAAATGCTTTCTAAGAATGTATTTCCTTTCAAACTAGCTATTATGAAGAGGTGATTAGAAAAACATGTTCATTGAAAGTTCAGTTTGAAAATCAAAGAGCATATTAGGATTAATTAATAAAACTAGATTATTTCCACCCATGTTTTATTACTGTTATTTAGAAAATTAGTTACTTCTTGTGATACCACTTACTTCCCCATTAGTAACATCCTAGATATCTCATGTTAAGTAGATATTATATAAATTAATAAATAATTACAAAATTGAGTTTTAGCATCTCAATAAGGCCCTATTTACCTATTAATTGGTAAAAAATATTTATGATCATATTTTGTTTGTAGTTTTCTGTTTAATATGTATAAGTTGTAATCATTATATATTTTTATTGATTACAGAAAAGTTTAGAAACATCAATACCTCATAACTAATTTATGTATGTGTATAAAATGTGTTTGTATATGATTTTATGTTAAATTTTTATGAAGGTAAATTATCCTTACTTGAATCTACTTTGGGATGGAAAATAAATTTCTTCTAATGCAATTTTTAACTATCATGGATTTTAATATAAAATACCCTTTTATGGGAGCCTTTTTTTCAATAGTAAATTTCATTTCTATAACAAATCTATTTTTATTTGTTTCTATTTGACTATGTTTTATGTATAGAATAATATTAATCATGAGGATATATTTTAATTATTTGTGAAGGTAAGATAATATTTCAAAATTATATAAGAATTCAGAAAGCTTCTTAATGCTTTCAGACTTCTTTCCACCCTTATTAAATGTCCAAGATTAAAAGGTGAATATTCGATAAAGATAGAAAAAAGTCTAAGATGCAAATTGAGTTTCCTCAATTCTTAAATATTTCGAAGTTGTTAATTATTGTCTTTATTTAAGTATACTTCAATGGTATAGCTTCTTTGTGAGCTGGAGAGTTTTTAATTGGAGTTGGGTTCCTGAAGCAGCCATGCTCTATTTATAAAAATATATCTAAGGCCCCACCTAATATCATTGTTATTTTTCTACAGGAAGGAGGCAGTTCTCCTGGATTCATATTTAGGTTTTACAAAAAGTTTGGCATTTATTGGAAGTAAGTTATTTTATTTTTATTATTTTTTAAAATAATATTTGCTAAAATTTTATCTTTCACATTCCCTCAAAAAAAAAAATAAGAAATATATATACTTTAAACCCCATTATTGTGCTAAATATAAAAATGAGATCATAGTTATATTTAGATCTTTTAAAATGCCACCTGGACCCTGGCCTTGCCATTAGTAAGTTCATTTTTTTAAAATAATTGTGCTTTATTCTTATAATTTTTTTGTTTTATTTTGTAATCTAACCATTTTAAACCGACTTTATGGAAATTTTTATAAAAATGAGTACTTTATATCTTTATAACCATTGTGTTATTGGTGTTCTATTTATACACTTCTAAAAATTTGGTGAAAATTAATGCGGGTCTTATTTTTAGCAAACTTGTGTGATAGTTTTATTTCTAGAATGGTTGCAGTTTCAAGGCTATTGGATGTTGGCTTCTATATTGAGGTCAACGTTTCGTTATCCCTACTGTGTGACCTTAGCCGTTAACGGGACTGTTATCAAACAATTTTATATTTTTAATGTAGTTTATCTTTTATCTATAGCAATTTTTATAGTGAATAATTTTTATTTTAATGAAATAAAGACTCATTATTGTTTTCCTTCATTAATTTTACAATAGATAATGATTAATTGGTTTTATTTTACAATTTTAGTTGCAATATTTACCAGCTTAATAACTCATATCACTCTATCATCAATAGAATATGCTAACATTACTAGGTTATATTATAACTTGTGTTTATTTTTATCTTGATTGTATTCAGTACTACGTTATGTTACACTGCTATTAATCTAAAAGCTAGAACATATTACATGTAATGCATGAAACTAGAATTTGGTGAGTTTAATTGACAAATAGCGAATAACTACCTTGTAGTATTTTATTTAGTTTTGATTTTGTTAGTATTTCGGTTCTTTAGCTTAGCTTATTTACTTCAGTATGATGCTGTGAAGTTTAATTAACATTTATTTTAAAACTTGCATTGTTACTAATTGAAGTCTAAATATCAGTTATAAACTGCCAAAACTAAAGACTGAGTTTGACAGTTCGAGACCTGCTAAATTCCATTACCCACAGCCCAAAAAGTGGGTCAAATGTCACAAACAATAATCTTGATTTTCTCTATTAGTTATTGAGGAATTCAGTCTGCTTTATAGGCTGTTGGGAATGGTATTTAGTTTTCCTGAAATTGTCTAACTCAATCTTTTGTTTTGGCACCTAGCCCATTATTGATTCCCAGGCTTTAATTGTCAAAAAATTGTACTGTAATTATAAATAAGTAGCATTTATAACCAATTAATAAAAATTCAAATGGAATAAAGAAAGCAAATGAGATCCATTATCAGATTTGTAACACCATTTTAGGCCAACGAGAAGTATGTAATCAAGTTAAACTTCATATTTTAAAAGTAGTTTTTCTCCCTACCCTAATATATGGAATAGAGAGTTGGGTCTCAAGTTACAAAATTATGAGCTGAATTACCACAGTTGAGATGAAATACCTATACAAAATGAGAAGATATTGTGTTAAGAATAAAAGGATGAAAGGATAAGAGAAGACCTAAGAATCCCTGCATTAATAGATACTTTACACAAACGTCAGCTGTGGTGATTTAGACAAGTACATGTATGCAGGAAGAGTAAGGACCGAGTCCTTAGGAAGATGGCGGCTATATCCTCAGGCACAAGACCACGAGGAATACCCAAGATTACATATAGTAAATATATCCGCAAGCTCATATTCATATTTATTCCTCCCTTTCTTGCCTTTCGGCTACACGGGATTTTGCAGGGATGGCATATCACACACCTGCATGCCATTCCTGCTATTAAACGAAAAAAACATCATCAATTTGGTTTTGTTTTTTCAAAAACTTTTCTTGTTTCATTATTCTTATTTTCACCATATTAGTCTGGCAGCCTTCCATTAGCAGGTCCTCTTCTTCACAGATTATAGTGTAAGGGCCCCAGAGCTTTCCACCCATACACGAAATCTTTGTAATACGGGTAATTCTGCTCTGCCACTAACTGGGGAAATTCATCCTCCGTGAGGCCATAGGCTCCAATTTTTCTCATCATTTCGGCCCTTAGTCCATTAAAGGTGGTGCAGTTGACTATGATGTGCTCAGCCATCTCCAGTACTCCGCAAGTGGAGCATAGGGGATCTATGTCTTTTCCAAAACTATGCAACTTAGCACGGAAACACCCATGCCCAGTAAGGAATTGAGAGACCCAGAATTCCAGGAGAACCCACTTCGCATTCAAGCGACTTCAAATGGTAGGGAAATATTTTCTTAAAGTTGCTCCTTTCGAGGTAGTTACACACCGCCGATTCCACTCATCTGTGGTATCCTCTCGGATAATCCTTTTCCATTTTCTTGGGTCTTCTACAATCCTCACCCGGATATTCTCTGGAAGTCCTGCTGAGCCTTCTCTTTCTAACTTAAATATCAATGAGACTTGGTGAAACGCAACAGAGCCATACATTGAATTGTCGCCAACCTGTGTTTCTGACGGTGTGAGAGATTCTGAGACCACGCAGGAGTGGTGTACCTCAGAATACCCAGTATCATTCCATTGTAAATGGTCCTCGTAGCTGGATATCTGAGGCTCCAAAATGCACCCCCTAGGCGACTAAGGCCATTCAAGGCTAGGGCCACCCTATTTCCTAAGTAGTCCAAATGAGAGGTCATATTAAATCCTCTTCCAAACCTTATGCCAAGTTAGGTGACCACCTCACTTGAACATCCTCTCGTTCCCTGTATACATAGATTGATAGAGTGTCCTGGAGGTAGCTACTTACAAGGGCGTATAGGTTTCTGGGGGCATCGTACTTCTGTAACTGCTGGAGTGCTCGCGTCCACCAGACAGATATATCTGCAATCTGGGAGAAAAAAATAGGGAAAAATCTTGCTCAAGTGAGACAGTTCACTCAAGACAGACAAGAATAGATCAGATGGATCGAGGTCTCCCCACGAAGTGAAACATTTAAAAAAAATAATGACATCGATATTAAAACTAATTGATATGAAAAATCTAAGATTCAATTCAATGTTAATTCAATCCTGTTTCCTTATTGCAAAGATGAAAACACCATGATATAGAAAAAGGAAATCGAAAATGACAGTTATACCAATCTATTTTAAAGCTGAGATTAGGGAGGAAAAGAAAGTACCCTATAACATTTTCCTGTACAAATATTTGGCAGTATTTACTGGTATTTTAGGAGCTTATAGAATCCCATAATCATATCCTGACCTACTTAAGATAAAAACAGTTAATGTTTATGGAAATATTTTTACTATTAGAAAAATTAACTTACATATGAATTTATGTATCTATTTTTTAATTTAAATATTTATTAGTCTTTTTCCGAAGTTATGGAGACCGATCTATTTTAAAGCTGGGATTAAAGAGGAGAAAAAGTACTCTGTAACATTTTCCTGTACAGATATTTGGCATTATTTACTGGCATTTGAGAAACATGTGCTTTTAGAACCCTATAAAAATATATATTAATCTACTTAAGATATAAATATTTAATGTTTATGTAAATATTTTACTATTAGAGAAACTAACTTATATATGAATATGTATATTTTTTATTCATTTTTTAATTTTATTTTTTATTAGTGTTTTTCCGAAGACGGATTACTGTTACCTTCCAGGGTCACCAGATTACAATAAAGAAATCAGCCCTGGAATACCTAAAGTGCCCAATCTTTCACGTCATCCTCTTTCATCTTTTATAAATCGCAGTGTTGGTATGTAACATGACTTATTTCTGTTATTTAAAATTGATAGGCATAACAATAAGTTAGTAACAATAACTACAAGTTTGTTTTTCTACCTTTATTGATTGTCAAATTCAGTATCAACTTACATCAGCTGAACTATGATTACAAATTTCAAGATTTATTATTAATTTAAAAACTAAATATTGTGATGTGTTTAAATTATAACCTTTATTTCATGCATTATTTTTGTCTTTAAAAACTAATTTAATTGCACTTTGATACATTAATACTTTGGCAGTGATATACAAGCTTGTATTTGTTTGTTTTCTTTTTTCTTCTGCTAACAAACTTCTTAAAAACTAATATTATGAATAAAAAAATCAGGTGCACGCAACATACAACTTTCGCTTACCGCTCTACTTTGAATAGAAATTACTTTCTGGCCATGCTGGGCTATTATTAAATTTTTGAATTGCATTTTTAACAGAGCTAAAGCTAAAAGCGTACAGCTAACAAATAATAAATACCATTAAAATAACAAAAGTCCTATTTATTATATCACCGGTTGATCATGGGTTGTACGATCCGTTAATTATGGATTGTATGAATATTAATTATTAAACTGTTATTTTCCATTGCAAAGTTTACTAAAATGAAATTAAGAGATTTGCATTGTCTGTCATAGACAGGTCAAAAGTTGTCACACTAATTGGAAGTGGATACTGTTGGAATATCACATAAGGAAAATTCATCAAATTACTCATTAATTTAATTTTCTAAAAGGTTACATGATGATTTTTTGGAATAAATGGACGATAGATACCTAATTATTTAAATATAATATCAGATCTAGAGTTATTAAACTACAGTAAATATATTTAAGGTTATAAAAATACCAATGAAATATTTTCGTATTTCACTTCACACAAGTACAATGAAATAGTATCTTAAACAGTGTTATTGCCTTGAATCCATGAATTTTAAATACTTTTTCAAACTAAAAAAAAAAATGATAAAAGTTTACATTTAGTAAGAAAATTTCATTTCATTTCCTCGAAAACATGTGATTAATGTTAAATAATGTTGGTTTTTAGAAATTAATATTTATATTTTTTTCGCCACTCTTCGTTACCTTCTACAATTTTCTATATTAGATATTGTTTTTGTTTTGTTTTTTCAATTTTCCACTTTCCAACGATATATTATACAACATAGTTGATATATAAGTCCTTGTTTTAAAGCCCTTCTTGGATAACATTATGAACTGTTCTCGTTTTTATATACTGTTTATGTAAACAAAGAACAAATGTTTGACTGTTTTTGTTGCCTAATATACCCAACTATTTATTTTGTATTTTAATTGGAAGTATTTTGACTGATTTTATAGCATATTAGAGAGAGGTAGAAGTAAAGAGTTTTAATTATTTTCCCCTCTTTTCTTTCTCTTTTTCATCCTATTAATACCTTTATTATTTGTTACATTTAAATTTCTTTTTAATGATTTTATAAATTTTAAATTATAAACTTATTCCATTGTTCTTTTTAATATAAAAATAACTTAATAGTTTCTTGAATGGGTTTAAGTGAACAAATGTTTCACATCTCTCATCATAATAGCAAACTTTAAGCAAATCTTAATGTTAAACCAGATCATCAGTATGTTAAAATATATTATTTTTATTCCAGGAATTATTTTATTTACAGATATTATATTGATTCCAGGTATCAGGTCAAGGACAGTTAACAAATATGATTCAACGGCAGATCTTAATCTTTCAGATTCATCACTCATTTCTTCTACTAAAATTAATAATATTTCTCAGAGTTTCTTCTCTACAGAAAGTGGCGAGAATGTGGAAACACGGCAGAACATCATTAATAATATTTGTATGTTATTCAAAGTAGTAATTGGTACTGTATCGATTAATATTTTATGTTATTGGTTGAGATTACATTTGGTTTATTTGTTATTTTAGTAAGCAAGGAACAGAGAGAAAGAAGTAGTTGGACAACTATAAGAAGTTTAACTCGCACTTGTGTGACCTTAATCAACAGGACCATAATTATGACATTGTCTGCAATGACTAAAGCTGTTACTTCTTCATCACAAATGAGCAATTTTCGGATACCCTTACTGCTCCTTATTTTTCTTTTACCATTTTTATTATTCTCAATTCTTGGATTTGGTAATAACTTTAGAATCACTTAGTTAATTCTTTTATTTCTACTTCATTCTATTATTTTGATATAAATTACAAAATATGTGAATGTCTGTTCTAGTTTTGTTATCTCATTATTCAATTAATTTTTTTTTTTTTTTTTTTTGTTAGAAAAGCTGTTGTAATGTTTATCCAAGTTTATTTATTTTTGTTTCTAGCTTTTCTTAATTTATAATATTTTGCCTATTAAGAATGAATGTTTATACTTTACTAATTATGAACTATCAAGTCAGACCTAAGATAGATTAATCAGTAGATAATGAACAAAAACTTATCTTAATACATTATTATCTATGTTCCAGCTGTTGTTTATGTAAGTTCATTTGTCTTTAAAGCTTTGTTGGCCAACTAATTATTGATTTTTTTTTTTGCAGTAATTTAATAATCTTTAATCAAAAACTTATTTCCTATTTCCATATTTAATAATACATATATACCAGACTTCGATTTTTCTTGTCTTGTTCTGTAAGGAGCTAGTCTTTAGCCACCCCCTCCTTTTTTAGTCCTAATCATCATAAAAATTCACTCATTAGAGCTTATTTATATTCAAGTCAATTTGCAGGCTGTTTGTATTTTAATAAGTTTGATTCAGTTGTTGGTAACTTCCATAAATAAAACATCAATTATATTATAGTGAATATAGTTAAACAAATTTTAAATCTATTTCTGATTTTTTTTTTATTTAGTTTTAATATTTTTAGGCACACTGCAGTAATTTGCGTACTCTAACATTTCCCCTTGACTCTGTCCATGGTTTTACTGCAAAAATTCTATGTTAACTGCAATATTATTAACCACCCTTCTGTTATGCTTTATATTGCATGTTTCAACATGAATTTTTATAAATCAAATCATGCAAAACTTATTTTTTCCCATTTCTCAAATTCGTATGCTCTATTTTGCAACTCATATTCTGCTGCTCCCCAAAACTGGTGCCCTGGGCAAATTCCTTTTCTCCCCCTTTATTAATTAGGGCCTTATATAAATTAATTTTTGGTTTATTTTCAATAATGGACCTTTTATTTGACCTAAAAAAATATTTTATGGCCCATTAAAAGTTTGAGCTTATACTTTTCAAGAACGTATAATCCAAAAATAAAAAATAAAAATCATCCATACTTTTCTTTGGGTCACAGATCACTCCAGTATAATTCTTGAAACATATTACCGTCCACCATTCTCTTTTCAAATTGTTTAAATGACTGATCCAAAGCCAACTAAAAAAAGTCTGCCAACTAAGGTCAGTATAGTTTCCTCACTGTTTTCATTGAATCAAAAATATCTATATTACAAGATCTAAATTTTTTCATATGAGAATAAAATCCTTGGAAGAAACCGTTTTCGGAGATTCAGTAATCCCTCAACATATACGGGTTTGGCATCCATGAGTTTTATTCATCAGGGAATACCAAAATGCAAAAGAGTTCCGCATTTGCAGATTTGATTTGTGATTAAAAAAATCAGTGCATACTGAACATTAATATCACTACTGTTAGTGCAAAAGATCGTATGTAAAAATTGAGTATTCTACAGGAGAGCATAAAAACTAATTGTTTCTTTATGATTTATTAGTATAATTTCATATTTTATTGTCCTCTGCTATTATCCATCGTAGCAGACTGCTTTTGTCAGTTGCAGATTATAAAATGTCACCTTTAGCACAAATAGAATAAAATCTGAAAATTTTTACATTTGCCCTTTTTCACTAACAGTAGTGATATATAAATAGATATATAGATAGATAGTTTATTGGCTAATATATACATCTTTAGCCATGTAATTTGGCCCATTTGGTGTTAGTAGTTGTCATTAGTATTGAAAGACAATGAAAGCATATCTAAGCAGATATAAATACGTATATATTGGTAAATTCCTATTGCTTACTGTAACATCTCAATATAGTTTAATAATACAACGAATTAAATTTGTATTCGTAATATATAATTAAATAGTTATTCCTAATACTATATAGATAATTAAATAGTTATTCCTAATACAACATAGAAAGTGTACATCTTAATATAATTTAAAAATATAATGAATTAACGTTTCAAGCCTCGCCCTTGACAGAGTCCCTATTTTTGGTATTTATTAAGTAGTAATCGGTTTGTTTCACAAATTATGTGGATTCGTTGTTACTTTAAGTATATATAGTTTTTATCAAAAAGAGATAGATCTTATTTAGATTATCCACATTATCAATATTTAGAAGATTTTCTAAGGATGATTGTTTACTGTTTTGAACTATATAATTCCCCAGGTAATTTTCCCTGTCAATACTCAGTGTGGGACATTGCAATAACAAGTATTCTAAGTTTTGGATGACCATCTACATTTTTCCCTTGTTTTTATAATACAAGCAGTATTCTTATGAAAAAGTTAACAGTAGTGATATATATTTAATCGGTATTTTTTCACTTGTAAAATGTATGGAACAAAAAATCCATAGGAAAATTCAACTTTTTTTTTTGTTCAGGGTTAACGAGACCAATATTTTTCTTTAATTAGAACAAAACTAATTATGCTGGAATATAAAAATATGAGGAAGTTCACAGAACCTTGATATTCATGAAGGAAGTCAAGACCACGATGAGCTGGTTGAACTTCATTAGAAATAAACAAAATCACCAATAAGACTTTTTTGTTTTTCAAACTTTTTTTGGAGTAGTCGATAGAATTTGATAAAAATTTATACGTACTCGATTATCTATTTACCAATCCCTAACTTTCCTCCAAATCTGAGCAAAATCGAACAGGCGGTTTTAGAGATTTAGACGTATCAAGGAAAACACGTTTTTGCATATATTAGAGAAAGCAGTAGACAGAAATCAATAAAATTGACACTACATTATTTTTTCACCAATACCTACCTTTTATCCAACTTTGAGCCAAATCAAACAAGCCGTTTCAGAAATACTGGCATATCTAAAATTTCATGAAAATTCAGATGAACGGTAGTAGATGATATGCCCGGCACATCGATTTGACTTATGACAGATACCGAACCAAATTTGATCCTTGGTGTCTGGAACGTAAAACACGAGTAGAAATTTTCGATTCTGAGCACAAATTTTTTTTAACCTCTCGCACAAATACAATGCTTCCCTACCTCCGGTAATGAGAAAGCAAAAAATAAATAAAGTAAAAATCAATTCTAATAGATTCTTTATATATATTTATTTGATATTTTATGTATATAGTTCATATAAAAATTTATTAATGTCATTCTCCAGTCACTATTTATCTAACCAGTTGTGGGACTGATCTGTTTTTATAAGTAAATAAATAGATTTATATCATTGACTGAAACTTATTTATATTATTTTTTTTGTAGGTAATGAAATCAAAACAACTGAAAGTATAAGTGAAGAAAGCATTCCAATGAAATTGATATCCTGGATTATTGGTAGCTTTACATCTTTTTTATGTCTAGTCAAAGATTCATTCCTATTAATTCCTACGATTTTCCAACAGCTGGCAGCTTTTTTTTTAACAATGTATAATACAGAAACTGCAGTCCTTGTAAGATCAAAATATTATCGTGAACTACCCATTTATAATTTACAAGTTATATTTTTAAAAATTTATTTATTTCAGAACGAAGCTGTCAGTATTAAATCTACTGAGAAGTTATCTACTCCTCTTGTTCCTATCGCTGCAAACTTTTCCCGAGAATTAACTAAGGAAGAACTGATAACATTACAGTCTGGAATAATAGAAAGAATAAAAAAAGAATTAGCTGGTCAAGAAAATCATATGTCTTTAAGAATAGACAAACTACAGAAACAGGTAATTTTTTGATCAAAGAAAAATTGAAACAGCATCTCGTAATGTGGGAAGTAGGAGAGCATTTTTTTATGTTCAGTAAAAACCATTAATTGACTGCCTCTCATTTGTGAAACTTACAAATGTTTTTTCGTGTCGCACATGTTTACACATTCTGAGTTATCAAATGGTACTGGGAGGTGGTTTATGGTTAAAGAAAATTTTAATTTAATTTGTTTTTGAATGTTATTGGTAGTGTTTAGTTTCAATGTAGTCATTATTTTTCAACTGATTGAATTTCTTAAATAATTAAATTAGAACCAAGCTAGAATACTTTTGTAAGAATTCTCAAATTAGATGTCTATCCTCCATCTCTCTAATATATTTGAAGTTTAAATGCAATTAGAAAAACATTTTTATTTGTACAAAGAATATGTTATTATCAAAAAGGTCTAGCTTACAATTGGTGAAGTCCATACTTTATAATGACTATGTTGAAGTAACAGTTTAATTAATTAGCTTGCTCTAGAGGAAAATATTTCTCCATTTGAACAATAATACATTGTTAAGACATAAGTAAATTAATATTATCTCAGTATTATATTCATAGAGACCAATACATTTAGTGCAATAGAGTAGGCTTCTGTTGTGTGTGTAGTTCTCTCACTGAAATATATTGGAATATTGAGTTATTTTACAGGAGAGCCTATAAATCTATTATTTCTTCATGATTTATTAGTATAATTTCATATTTTATTTTCCTCTGATATTTTCCTATTTAGCAAACTACTTAAAGCACTTGTAGACTATACCTTTAGCGCAAAGAAAATAAACATGTAAAATTGTTACATACGATATTTTGTATTAGCAGTAGCGATATGTACACAAAAAGCGTGTTTATTTTTATTACAAATATCAAAAAGTTTCCTTTTGTTCTCTCCAAGGTACCCAAAGGAATCTCAGAACTGTTTTCCTTTGTCTACCTTTTTGATAGAATTTTAATTTATAAAAACTTAACCCACTTATGGCAACCATAACACTTGGAAGGATTTCGGCAAGAGCCACGGTTTATATTGCAAACAGTACATTTTCACACAAATTGTACTGGGAGAGACGATTATCTAACTTAACTAACAGCAACATTTTTGCTAAACCAAACCATTCATTTTATTTCTCTTGTTACCGACAACAGATGGAAAATAAAAACAAGAAACAAAAATTCTACCATACTGAAATAACCATTTATATATTTGTTTGTCCCATAGTTTGTGAAACGTCTCAACGCACCTTTAGGGTATTAAAGTACAGGGCTTGATATTTGTTTCAAAATCTTTAAAACAAAATTTTTCCTGTCAACTCGTCAACATTGGAGTTTTGTAGCTTCTTACTTTTTTCAATGCCTTTTATTAAAATTGTAGTTCATTAAAATTTTAATTTAAGGATCGACATTTGAATTTTTATTTCTTCATGAAGTTCCTTTTAAAATCTATCACTCCTCAAGAGGGATCTATATTACTATATTAAATACGTAGTAGATTATATATTTTTATTTATCTAAGATATATTTTTTTCTTCTTTTAGATGGAACAGCTGACAGAAGACATTAAAAAAATGAGTGGGTCATTTGAGGTAAGTTGTTCTTATCTGGCTATTCTCAAGAGATTATAAGTCTACTATGAATATTTTTTCCTTAACATCTGATTGAATTTATTTTTCTCAAACTTCATGGAAGAATGTTCCTCTGTTTCATACTTTTAATTTACAAGTTTGTGATAATATATATATTGATCAAGATATTTTTTTATAGCTCTATTAAACTAGATGTTGTATTATTTTTTATTTTAATTGTTTTTAATTAATATAATCTACTTCATAATTTTTTTAGGCTGATTGGAAAAACCGTTTCACCAAATTGGAAGATGAAATAAAGCTGGAATTATCAGGTATTTTGTTTGTTAATTGTTATTTATTTTTTCTGTTGGCTTTTCAGGCCTTGTATAACTTTTGCTACCAAAATCCATCACTGCCTATCTTGGGCTTTAGCTTTTCAGTTACCTGCATGCAACATGTGCAGTATTTGTGTTGATTTGATCTGTCCATCATCTGCTATTGAGGCATTCATTCTTTCTCTTTTTTTTATTTTTTTTTTCATTTGGACTTCCTAATCTTCATATCATAAGATCTTAAGTTTCTGTAAGCAGTTCTTTATTGGTTTTTATCTTCCAGGTGTTGGTACTCTGATCCCAGATCGCTTCGGTTATTATACTAAGGATTTTTCTCTCAAATCTTTCAATATTTCTTTCTAGAGTACTGGTTAGATCTAGGTCTTGCAGTCTTCTACAGAACTGCCTTTGTCATACCCTAAGTTTTAGATTCCTAGAGATTTACAAGTGATTAGATCTAAGGGATCATAATAAGGGTGGTTAGAGTTGGGATAGCTACTCCAATACTTATTTGTGATAAGAAAAAATAAACAGTTATTATGAAGTTGTCCAGTTTATTAATGAATGAACTCCAAAATTATTGAATATAGTATGAACATTTTGTTTTAAAATTAAGCTATTAAAATTGAGGATGTGATGACTGAGCACATTTAGGAGGATGGTCTGAAAAGTTTCCAACCGCAACGTAAAGATGGCAGCACTTGCAAATAAAAGCAAGTGAATTTTGTTGTTCATCTATTGACAGTTACCCACCAAAGTTTCAGCCATTTTGGACGCGCAGTTTTTTATGTAACAGTCGTTTGAGTGAGTTAATGTGAGTGTTTTTGTGAAAATGAACAAAATTGAGTATCGAGCTGTCATTAAATATTTTTGAAAAGCAATACGCCTATGTGATTGCCAAGATGAGTTGGATTCTGTGAATGGGGACCCTGCACCATCATTTACCACTGTGAAATTTTGGGCAGCTGAATTTAAACATGGCTGTAAGAACTTGGGAGACAATGAACGTTCTGGATGTCCAAAAACTGCAACTACCAACAAAAGCATCCCCAAAGTTAACCAAATGGGGTGCTAGACGACTGCCAAATTAAAGTGAGAGAGATAGCAGAGGTTATGAACATGTCAAAAGAACATGTTACATATTAAATCAACGCTTAGATATGAGAAAGCTGTCTGCATGTTGGTTGCCGTGTTAAATTAAATCAAAAATGTGTTTGAATGAACATTTTCAACGCTCTGTTGGCGCAGTTTAGGTGCAATAAATCCGAGTTTTGGCGCCGATTAATTACTGTAGATGAAACTTGGATACACCATTATATTCCCAAAACAAAAATACAGTCACTACAAAGAGGGAACCGGTTCCAAAAAAAGCAAAAAACTGTTTTCTCGTCTGGGAAAGTGATGGCAACTGTTTTCTGGGCAACTGTAGTCATGGAGTTATTTTAATTAACTATCTTCAAAAAGGAAAAACTAATACAGGAGCATACTATGCACCATTACTTGACAAGCTGAAGGCAGAACTTGCGGAAAGACGGCCACATTTGCAAAAATAGAAAATCCTGTTCCACTAAGACAACACACCGTCTCACACCTCAGATGTTGCCATGGCAAAAATATACGAATTACGGTTTCAACTGCTTGACCTTACTCACCAGATCTAGCCCCAAGCAACTTCTTTTTGTTCCCTTATCTAAAAACTACACTCGGAGGACAGAGATTTTCGTCAAATGAAGAGGCAATCACCTTCACGAACAGTTATTTTGCAGAGAAAAACGGAGCGTACTTTTTGGATGGGTTACAGAGATAGGAGCATCGCTGGGAGAAGTGTATAGAGTTACAAGAAGACTATGTTGAAAAATTAAAAAAAAAAAATGAAAAAAATGTCTTCTGTTAGGTCGGAAACTCAGACCACCCTCGTAGATCAGGATTCCAAAGTGCTTGTTTAGAACATAGTAGGTTCGCTTCCTACCTGCTCGCTGCATACAACATCTAAAATTTTGGGAGATAGAAACGCTGAACCTCCTCAACGTTGAGCCAAGAATTGATGAGAGCCTCCCTATAAGTGATACCTCTCGACGCCCTAGGAAGATGAAAAGAGAAAGTGAGTATTTCCTCATAATTTCATCTCAAAGTTGGTGCTCATTATGGTGTAAACACTAGGCTTTACAGCATAACGACTTTATACTTTAGGTTTTATTTTATGCAAAAATAAAATTACTTGAATTGCTCATCATCTAATCAAGGACATCCAATATAAAAATTTGCATATTCAATTGAACACGTTAATTCAAGAGTGATAGTTTAAACCTGTAAAATTTAAGAATGGCTCTTGCCAAAGATTGCAAAATATTTCCTTGTTTTAGTTATATTATACTTTTAAAGAGGGAAAGAAGAATCTTGCAAGGTATTCAAGTCAAGGAAAATTGTACTATAGAGAAAAATTCCTTTAAAAAAAAAGAAAAGAAAGTATACTATCAATTAAATAAAACCAATGTATAATTAATTTTATACTTTATTTGGAAATCAATGGAAGGGTTGTGGTTATTAGAAAATTGGTTATAAATATACATGTACAGTTTGTTTGTTTGCAATATTTATCGAGGCATCTCTCTTCTGCTATGTGCCTAAAAGATCTTTTCAAATATATTGTATTAATGATTGCTACCTCATATTGAGGGCATCCTATGGAAATGTGGTTTCTGTAAAAGGAAGTCTGCTACAGATCAAATATTTACCTTATAAACCATTCTAGAGCGAGGAAGAGAATATGAAATCTAAACACACCATCTGTTTTTTGATTTTAGTTTCACCGAATAAATTATATTAGATTTTGTTCAGGTGGGCTCTTATTCATTTCGAACGCGTTGATGGGTTTTTTACCTGGGTACACAGCTAAAACAAATAATGATATCTCTGCTAAGATAAGGAGATGATTAGCATCAGCTAATAGGTGCTATTTTGGACTGCATCAGCATCTGGGAGTTGCGCATTATCAAGAGCTACAAAAACAAGGCTCTATAAGACACTGATCAGACTAATAGTTACTCACGGGCCTTCTCAAAGACTGGTGAAAGGGACTTCCTAACTTTTGAAAGGAAAGAATGGTCCAAAGTGTAGAAGGCGCACAAATAGGGAAATGTACTCCTTACTTGAATGGGCCTGATGTAGCTGTTATACTCAGTACGTTGGTTGCACTGAGCAGGCTGTCACCAGGATGGGACTGCATGAGATACAAAAAAAAAATTGCTTGACGAAAATCTGCATGGGACCCAACCGAGAGCCTGTGATGGGTGGATGGTGTAGGAGATGATTCAAGAACCCTGCTTAGACTTCGGAATTTTAGGAAGTTTGCACTTCACCGATTAAGCTGGCTTAAGGAGGCCAATAACCAGTGATGGGTTGTCACACAGATTGAGTAGTAGTAGTATAGTTTGTTCATATAAATGTTTAAATGGTTTTTATATAAATGTCATTTAGTAACATTTCATAAAATTAAATAATTAGGTACTTTGATTACCGTACTTATACTCACCTACTGCACTGTTTTATCTGATTCTTTTAAAAATGAAATTACCTTAATATTTAATGGAAAACAAAAAAAGTTTCTCATTTTATAAAAAAGTTAATCTTAGTTATTGCTTAGTTGTGTCAGAAAAAAATACTTGGCATTCAAAATGTTCAAAAAATAATTTACGTTATTAATTTTGTTTATATTTATACATTTGCTTTATATCACATGTAATAAATGTATTCATAAAGACTTACCTTGTTACGACGATGTTCGAACAACAATCTTCACTAAAGCTCCATTACAACCGGACTAATCTGAAACACGAGTATTCGAAATAAAATAAAATAAGAATTTTCATTCTGTGGAATCAGAATATTGTGCAGTCAGTGTAAATAGCTGTGTTATAATAAGGTTTGTGTCATTTTTATGTACTTCCTTGGTTTTACATTAATAAATTAAACCAATTTCACTAAAAATAGTCAGTGTGTGTGTGTGTGTGTGTGTGTGTGTGTGTGTGTGTGTGTGTGTGTGTGTGTGTGTGTGTGTGTGTGTGTGTGTGTGCGTGCGTGCGTGCGTGCGTGCGTGCGTGCGTGCGTGCGTGCGTGTGTGTGTGTATATATAAATTCTATGATTGATGTATTGATTAAAATGACTGGTTTAAAAAAAAAATTAAAGTATCTGCTCTTCTTTTTATTTTATATGTGTGTTTAAAGTGTTAAAATTTTAGGGTATGGTTCATAGTGTGATGGTGGTACAAGTATAGTGAGTGTTTATTGGTGAATCGTACCCTTTTCAGCATTTCTTGTCCTGGCAAAATAATCCTTGTCCTGGGTCCTGAGAGCAATTTGGCTGAAAGTAATTCTGTGAGAGTTTTAAAAGCACTAATTTATTGGCAAATTCTTCTATGCATATACTATTAATATGTCTAAATTTACCTTACATATTTCAAATAAGAACTATTACAGAAATATCATAATTACCTTGAAATGATTTTATTTTTCACTAATACTCTATAATTAAAATGCTTCATTATATCAAATTGGTTTATTTTTTTAGATATCAGAAAATCTGTTGATGAATTTGGAGAAAGAGCAGTTGGAGGGTTTGTGGCTACTCCAGCTAAAATGGTTGAAAAGGCTGTTGCTAAATATCATGCAGATAGAACAGGTATGTTTTAAAATAATAATTTTAGGTTGTTAAAAAAAGTTTGCATTTTATACATATAATTAAATTATATTAAAAAAGAGAAGATATGATATAATATTATAAACAACTCTGTTTAATTTTTAGTACTCATATTTTTTTTTAAATAGCTTTCAAATGTAAATATGCGTCATTTTCATATTCAATTTTCAGGTTTACTAAATTGTTCTCTAAATATCTGTTTGTGTGGATTATTATTATAACGTTCTTTAAAATTTAATATTTTTATTTCATTTATTAGGGAAACCAGACTATGCTCTCCAATCTTCTGGTGGTTATATTGTGCGAGTTAGGTGTACTCAGGTTTATTCTAAAACTACTGCAAAATTTTATTTATTTGGTTTGCCATTACCATGGGATGTATTTAATGGTCCAGATACTATAATAAAGGTAAGCCTATTAGAAAGATGCATTTTCCTTTTTTACTTTTTCATTATCATATATAGGCAATTACTGTGAAGGAGTAGTTACCGTTAAGACAAAATATAATATTAAAACCTTATTAGAGTTAGCATTTTTTTTTTTAAATTTGTTATAGAGAATTAAATTACCTTAATTTAATTTAAAATAAAATGGTCTCTAGAATTATTTTAAAGTACTTACAAAATTGGTATGTACTAGGTTAATTAAAAGGTTAATAAAACGCAACATGTTTTACACAACTTGAGGTGAATCTCAACATATTTTTTAATAAACCCTCAGCATTAATAATATTACCTTAAAGCTTATTAAACTAGGAAGTTTTTCAACAGTTTTCAAGGAAGTTCAAGAAAAAATCTTGAATAATTAATGATATTTTTAAAAACAGAACTTAGCATAGTTCATCGGCTCATAAGTGGTTTTAACAAACTACCTTTATTTGAAGTAAATTTTGTCTACTTTATTATGAGGTAATTTTTAATTATTTTAGTTAAATAGTTTTTAGTTATCACTTTCTACTCAAAAAAAATATAACACTTAAAAAACAGAAAACTTTAATTTCCAACTTTCCTACTGAAAATCAGGTCATTGTTTGTATAAACTTTATAGTAGATCTTGAAGTCTGTTATCACTTCTCCTCTACTTACATGACATCCTGTATATATTGGTTTATTTTAAAAAATTGATTTTACATGAAAATCCTGGTTATATTTTTTGTTATTTCAGAAACATATCCTTTGTAGTAAATTCTTATTTAAACATAATTTTCTAGTTTTATATGAACTTACTTAATTTATGAGTTTTAAACACTGAACTAGAACGAGATTTAAAAATTAAATATTTTGAAAATTTTTAATTGATTCCTTCCAGCCCGGTGTTATGCCAGGAGAGTGTTGGGCATTTGAAGGATCATATGCTCAAGTTACACTTCACTTAGCCACCAAAATAAAGGTCACAGGGTTCTCTATTGAACACTCTCCTCGTGAACTTTCTCTTCATGGCCACATACTGTCTGCTCCAAAACAGTTCTCTGTCTGGGTGAGCAATAAATAATAAATTTTAACATTAAAATTATGGGAAACTTTGATTTATTCATTGTTTTGATTACATTTGTTTTTGTTTAGGAATAATTTTTACTAATTAATATTAATTTTATCAATGTGATAATTTACAGGCTTTAGATGGCGAAGAAGATGAAAACCCTGTACTGCTTGGAAGGTTCACTTTCTTAGATAATGGAGAAAGCCTTCAAGAATTTGAAGCCATGGTAAGTGATATTTTTGAGATCTTTGTTTAATTTAATTATGTTTTTGTATTTACTTTTTTTTGTTGTTGCATATTATTAATCTTGGAAAGTGTAAAATAACTACAGTGGAGTCTCAGTTATCCAAAATGATTGAGACCAGGCCCATTTCAAATTAACCAATTTTTTGGCTCAAGTTGTCGAGGTATATGTGTAGATGATAGATTTACCAGTAGGCCTCGACAGAGCGTGTTCAATATAGAGGGTAAAATGACTGAGTGGATGGAGGAAAATAGAAGGATAACCTTAAGTGTCAGGCGGATCAGCATCCATATCACTCTTGGTCTGTGGTGTAAGGGATCAACTTTTATACTCAGTACACATGGTAGCCACAAACAGAGGGATCAATCTCCAGACTTTGTGGGAGGATGAAATACTAACAGAGGGATCAATCTCCTGACTTAATATATAGGAATACAAGCTGACGGATCAGCATCCAGACTTGCATGGAGTAAGAAAAGAGTAAAAAAAGGTTATTGGACATAGAGAAATGAAAAGGCAAAATGATGAGAACAAAAAGCATATATGAAGCATATACTGATCATCTGCATATAAGGTCTACACCCCGAAGGGCGAAGACTCAAAAACCTTACAACTTTGAAAAATGACTGCAGTCTTCATTCCGACAAGACTAAATCGGCTATCAAGAGCCGTTACAATAACACTTCTTTTTAAGCTTTGATCAGTATATGTTATCGCCATTAAACTTTATTGATAAAAAGTATTTACCATGTATATACATACTTAAATTTACAATTTGAGTGTTTTTATCATATAACAATAAGAAATAAAAATACAATTTTTGGTACATTGCCGGGCGAGCTTGTATGACGTTGCAAGGTAGCAGGTAGGCGAACTGGTTGTCCTCTGTAGCAAGAGGTGAGAATCTGTTGCCGCTACAATGTATTGAGTGATTATAGTGAATCAATCACAGCTACATTTTAATATATGTGGGCTGGTTGGCCGAACGGACTAACGTGTGTGCACAGCACTGCTGTTTCCCGGCAACCTGATCTATGAAACAATGGATTTAAAATAGTCACGAGATCGCGTCCCCACATCCCCTGGCCTGGAAAAATCCTGTATAGCCTTAAAGGCGAGGACAAAACAAACATTTATGTAATAGCAGCATAATTTAACTTCAAGAAAGAGTTATTTTTCTTTCCAACAAAATAATTTAACAGACTTTTCCCCACCAATGTAATACAATTCATGGTCTACCTTGAAAGTTTCTAAAATATGGTTTTAAAAAAAAATGAAAATATTAAATATTTAATAGTTGACTGTTGCGTTATAAAGGAAGGAGATGGTCCGGGGTGGTGGCGGTCATAAATAGGCCAAATAGTGGTTAAACTATTTTTATTAAAAGCCAACGTTTCGACCCGACTTTGTTTGTCTTTTTCAGGGAGGTGTGTTCAGCTAGGAGTTTCACTTAGAACTGATTTTACCACTATTTAGCCTATCTATGACCGCTACCCCGGACCATCTCCTTCCTTTAAAAATGAAAATACATAATTAAAAATAATATTAAATAAAAATATTGCATTAGCAGAAATACAGAGTAGTTTATTTATTGAAATGACAAAAATTATTACATGTCATTGAAAATTAAACTCACATGAGTTTTTTAAGAAAGAAATATAAAAAAACAAAGAAATACAAATGAACTAGTAATATTAAGATGAATAATTCATTTTATTCTTTAATTTAAAAAATGTATTTGTTACAGTTTAAAATTTTTACTTTCACTTACGTATATATGTAATATATAGTAAGTATAAGTATTGCGATCAAGAAAATTTTTGAATCTGAGTTTTCGACGGATTTATACGTTTTAAGGTACCCTGAGTCGAAATGACCAAGTCCCGAAAAATGGTCTGTGTGTTTGTATGTTAGCAGTCTAGCTCAAAAACGAAAAGTCCTATGAAACTGATATCACGTATTTAAGATAGGTATATGCCTTAGTTGTGATGGCAACTTTTTCCTTAAAATCGGCTTACCGGAAGTGCCATTTTATATCAACGCTGAAACACATTTTCACAGTTTTCTCAAAAACGGCTCTAACGATTTTGATTAAACTCGATGTATCATTGTATAATTAAGTGGTCTTTAATATAAATTAGGTCTTATCCCCATTGATGTCACTTTACAGGGCTTTAATGCCCAATGTTCACATACGTCTTCCTCTAAAGTACCTTTAATATGGTTTATTTTAAAAAGATAATTATTTCGCATTATTCAGAGTTACGAAAAAATGCTAAATATAACTTTTGAAAGAATTTGATAAGTTAATAAAGGAGAAAAAAAAATAAAAATGCAGAAGAACTTAGCTATGGACTGTAGCACCTAAACGAATGTACCGATTTCATTGAAACTTCGCTAAAGTCATTTTCTCGACACCCTTCAAATTTATCTATACAACATTCATCAGCGAAAAGAAGTTAAAAAAACGTTACCAGGGATGGTAAAATTAAATTCCGAATAACTCAAAAAGTATACACTTTTTTGGGAATGTTGTATATGGTTTTCTAAAAGTTTATGGAATAGCCTTAAAAAAAAAAAAAAAAATTGTTAAAATCGGACAATTAGGAGATAAGATATGGTCTCTAGTTTTTTTTTTAATATGTTCTGCTGCAATGGTTATATCCTTTGTTTCGGTTTTTGAATTTTGAATGTGTTAATAAGGTAATGCTAATTTTTTTTAAATGTATTTAAAATCCACCTAAGCAAGTTGATAGCATTGTTAAAAAACTATTTCAGTGTACTTGTGTGAAAGAAGAAATAAAATATAAAATCATTTCATGGATGTATAAATCATGTGTTTATAATATTAAATAAATTTACTGTAGTTTAGTAATTATGTATTAAATTTTAAATTGGTCCATAATCGTCTTATCTTTTTGGCTACATTCAAGGAATTGCTGTGTTATATATGTGTGCGATGTTATATTGCGTTCCTGGCGTTTGAGAATTTAAAGAGAAAAAAGGAATTTTTTTTTATTTTGGGAAAGTGTTTATTATGCTATGTCTATTGTTTAATATGGTTTATTGTTGATAATTTGTAAGAGTATTGTTATGAAGGGGGAGAAAAAAAAGAAAAATATAATATAAAATTAATGTCCGTATGGATTGATAAGTATGCTGTGTACGAAGCAACCCTATGTAGTAGGGCAGCATTACTTTTAATAAAGTATTTCTCTATAAATAATTAGGTATTAAAGTTAATTCCAAAATATTGTCATATAACTTTTTAGAAAACTAAATTAGTGAATAATTCGATAGATCTTCTCTTTGTGATATTCCACTACCATTTCATTGTACTTGTGTGAAAAAAGAAGTGAAATACAAAAATATTTCATAGATACGTTTATAACCCTAAATATATTTACTGTAGTTTAATAACTCTAGATCTCATAATATATTTAAATATTTAGATATCTATCGTCCGTTTATTCCGAAAAATTATCATATAACCTTTTAGAAAATTAAATTAGTGAATAGTTTGATAATTTTTCTTTTTGCGATATTCCAACAGAATCCACTTACAATTAGTGTGACAACTTTTGAACTGTCTATGACAGACACTGCAAATCTCTTAATGCCATTTTAATAAACTTTGCAATGGAAAATAACAGTTTAATGACTTATAGTCGTACAATCCATAATCAATGGATCGAACAATCCATAATCAACGAATCGTACAATCCATAATCAACCGGTGATATAATAAATAGGACTTTGGTTATTTTAATAGCATTTGTGTTTTTTTAGCTTTAGCTCAGTTTAAAATGCAATTTAAAACACTTTATAATAGCCTAACATGGCCAGAAAATAATTATTATTCAAAGTTCAAAGAGTAAGTGAAAGTTGTGTGTTGTGCGCACCAGATTTTTAATAATAAAATAATGTTAGATTGCAACCTTGGTGATAAGGCAAAACATCACAGTGATTCTATAATATTTTATTAATAAAGTATATTTAAAAAGGAAGATTTTAGCTTCACATTTTATTTATCATTGGTAGCATTTCCAAAATTAATGATTCAATATGAAAATTCACAATTGATAATGAAATATATTTTCTATTATTTATTATCACTATATTTTTATTGTAACCATTGGTCTTCTTTGCTTCAAAGAAAATACACACATTTAAATTTTATGTATTTTCAGATTATCTGGACTCCACTGTATTTTTTAATGATGAAACAAAGTTTATTTTTATAGCAGATAAACAAAACAGCAATAATTTTAAAATACTTCATTGATATCAGTTCATATTAATATATTGTACTATTTTTTGTTTTGCGCAGGAATATGACAAAACCATCGACCTGGTTGAATTGAAGGTTGAAAGCAATCATGGGCATCCTGAGTATACCTGCTTGTATAGATTCAGAGTATATGGCATACCACCACCGGTACAGTAATTTAGAGGGTATTAACTCTTTCTCTTTGCTCTGTAATTAACTTATTACATTTTAACATTTCGCAAGACAACATATTACAAGATTAACAATTATCATTCACATACAAGACTTCTCTAGATTAATAAGCTAATGTCATTAAACTATGAAAAAGTGTCCACTAGATACAGAATGTCTGGAGTTTATTGTTAAAAAACTGATCCAATTGGTTTTTGATGCCCTCTTTAGTCTGTGGGCCTAACCCCCTACCATGCATTCCTCCCCCTCCCCGCATCCCTATAAATTGCATATCGTTGTGTTCCTTGTAACTATTTATTTTAAAAAAACCAATGTTTCCACAAAAAAAAGTGAACTAACTGCCCCATAATGGGTACTGATCCTTATTTTCTTTTCCAAAATTTTGACACTTCCTTTCTCGTTTGCTTAATGTATTTTTGCAATGTTTGGGTTCAATTTCACGTTTTTCCTCATTTTGAGACCAAATACTAATAATCAGTCCGGTTATCTAGAAGAATTTATAGCTTCGCCCTTTCCATCTCTTTGTGCAGAGAGAATAATGCATTCAATATCTAAATTTCCTATCTTTTTATGATATGATCCAACTTCCGAACAAAATAAAAATTAATTTTTTTATTAGTGATGTATGAGTTTTACTTAACAATCCATCAACTATTGTAGTTCAAATTAGGTATATATTATTTTAGTTTATAAAACAGGTATAAATATGACTCATTTCTGGGGAAGTATATACAATTTAAATTACCTATAAGAATCAGTAAATATACAAAACAAAGTGTTAAATTGCAAACGTCAAATAAATAATTCAAGATATTCAGAAAAGTATTTTTGAATTGTTTTACTATTACAATTATATCATTTTTACAATAGAGGCCTTTTTAAACGACCTCCATATAGAATAAAGGAAGTTAAATTAAAAATAAATAAAATAATAAATTTTAAAAAAAAAATGTTTAATTTGTTTGGACAGTTAAATTATTGCATTAATATTTGTTCGTTAATACAATCAATATAATGTACCAAGAACGTTATTATAACACTATAACTAAGCCATTTATGAGTACTGAATGGTGTAGTAGAGAACTGCTTCAAATATTTTAAAAAGTAATCATTGTTTTAGAAAGAAAAATATATTCTCTAGATGTTTTATTTCAACAAGTTTTGTGATATTGTTGGCCGTTAAATTACAAATGACGCTTGATTTTCAACTTGAAAATTTTGTTGCTAAAAAAGTTGACTTTACTGATGTTTTTTATTTATTGTTTTTATTTATAATTTGTCTAAGCCAATTATTTTTTAATATTTGTTCATGTTTTACTATTCTCTGACTATCCAGCATTAGTAAAAGATCAACTATGACGAAATTAAGCTAAATGCTGATTCTCAGTGACCAAAAAACTAAATAAAGTCAAAGTCATTTGGAGGCCATTTTGGGACTGCATTCACTGTTTTTGTGGGAACATTGGCTTTTTTTAAATAAATAGTTACAAGGAACACAACAATTTGCAATTTATAGGTATAGGGGTGCACGTTAGGAGGGTCTGGCCCACCGTGTACTTCCTTTTGAAATTTCTTTCCATTCATGACCTGCAAAAACATGCTTTATTTAGGCTTTTACTGCGCTGCTATCTTGCGGCACACTACTCTTGAGGCACAAGCAAAAGTTTTATGAAAACAAGAATTTTGAAGAAAAAAAAGTAATGGAAATAAATTAAATCTATCTGCACGAGTGTAATCAACTAGGGTTCTCAAAGTGCTGCAAGATTGAAGCCTACACAAAGCACGCTTTTGCAGACTGAACCAGCACGGTGTATCCATCACGGAATCACCACAAACTAAATTTTACCCGATGTCCTAAAGTTACCCACCCAGTCCCAAAGTTACCCCATCTTACGGTATAAATTCTCTTTTCTTTTAAAAAGTAATGAGGACCTGTACTAGCGTTTATGTCGCGCAGTGCGTTAGCAATACTCTTAAATACATTCAGACAGGCACAACATCCTTTGACAATGGTCTTAACATTGCTTGTTTCAATTTCATGTGGGCGACCAGACTGTTAAGCATCATTGATGTCAACATTTTCTGAATGAAATTTGGCAAACCATTTTTGAGAGGTGCAGTGTTAATGTTCAGTTAAGGCATCATCCCCATAAACATTGCAAATTTTTCTATGAGCTTCTGGAGCACGCTTGTCTTTTTTAAAATAATACAACGAAATATGCCGATAATCAATGATTCTCTTTAATATTCACAGTGCAATAGAAAACACAATACTAAGTTAGTTTCAACATGAGTTAACAGATATAGTAATAAAGAGTTGTTGACATATTACAAACAGGATAAACAATCCATCTTCGGGTTTAATTCATCAGATAAGAAGTGTACCATAGTGACATAAAAATAAATAGAAAAACACAAAGGACTTATTTGCCAACCCAATACTTCCTATTGTGTTTTTGAGCACCTCTTTTAAGATCAAGATCTGGTCTAGCATGCTCCTTCCTCTCTTGAATCCTGCTTGATGGTCAGCTACTAGTTTTTTATAATACAGATAAATCTGATTTAGAAATATATTAGTCATTATTTTATAAGCAATCAGAAGAAGTACTATGCCTCTGTTATTACCACATTCATACATGTTGCCCTTCTTTAGGATAGAACAGATTAAATCTGTGTTCCACGCCATTGAACTGCTTCCCTTCATATCATGGTATATTGATTGACCAGTTTCTGTAAGCAGTTCTTTATTGGTCCTTCTCTGCTATGTTTCAGTATTCTGATTGATCCCTTATCCCTCCAGTTATCATGCAGAAGTTTTTCCTCTAAAATCTTTCAATACTTATTTCTAGGGTACTGGTTAGTGTCCAGGTCTCGTAGCTATATATGAAAACTATACTTTATCATAGCATTGTCCACCTTTAATTTGATATTTCTAGAGTTTTTTTTTTAGGATTTCATTACCTTTAGAAGAGAGAAGTAACCTCTTAACAGTATGAAATTATAGGATGATCTTATTAAAAAAAATCTATTTAAAACCTAACCATTTTGAACTTCTACTCATATAGGAAAAACATATTTTTGTTTTTTTAATTTTTTTATTTGATATTTTTCAGATTGAACGAATTTCAATGAACAGTTCAATTAATCAAAATCAACATTCTTCAATACCTCATTGAAGTAGTTGTAAACCCTGACTTTAATTGATAATTAGATTAAGTACTAGTAGAGGAATGTAATGTTTTGTTTTTAAACTGTGTTCATTTTATTTGAAGTTAATTTGAAAATACATAATTACATAAAAATTTATACTATTTTTTAGTGATAGGGTTGACTATAAAATTGATTTTTTTTTCATGTATAAATAAACTCTAAATTCACTTCAACATAAATTGTTTTGGTATGACAGTTAATAATAGTTTTTTTTTTCTCTTTCTTTAAAGAGAAATTTTGTATCATATAATTAGTTACCATGTCCAAAGACTTTTAAATTGTTTTAATATTCTTATTTGAATGTTAGTTTTGATATTTCAAATTATTACATTAGTATGCTTTATGTACCATTGTCATGTAAATATGTCACTTATTTATTTTGTATATTTTGAGTAAATTTCTTCCAGATTTATATATTTATATTTTTTCTTATTGATGTGAGTTAAGTAAATACTACATAAGTCTTATGCTTTTCCAAGAAATAGATAATATAGTTTGAATTTTGTAAAACGAATATACAATAGAAAATTGTTTAGGGTGGGGTGTTATAAATTAGTATTTATAGAGACCAATATTATCAACAACCTATTATCATTTAACTAATTGACTGTCAAACACAAGTTATTATTTTTCTTATGTTTTGAATTTTCTCAATGTTAGATTGACATACTGATAAATGTATAATAATCATATGGGATGGACAATTCCTAATGGTTCTTTGCTTATGAAAAATATTTACGTAATATTTTATTACAAGGTTATAAAAACAAAAAGTCATTGTAAGAGCGAATTGTAATTATATATCTTAATTCACTGTTATATGTATAGTGAAGACTAATGTAGGCAATATATTGTGTTTCTTGACAGTTGTTTTTTGATAGCACCAAAAAACCAAAACAGACCAAATTTGGTCTCAAACGTTTTGTGGTAGGGGTACTGTCCATATAGGAAAACTAAGTTTGTGTAAAATTAAACAAACACATTTTAAAGGAGTAGTATGTTTGTTTAATTTGATACATTGGTATAGAAACAACATTTTTCCATTTAGGACAGTTTTATTCCAAAAACGCTTTTGGCATTCAATGTGTTATTTTGCAAATAAAAACTCATCATGAATGACAGTATAGTATCTTTTGTTAGAATGCATTATAATAAGTTATAAAAACTTTTCCTGAACAGCGGTTAAAATAACATATAATTTCTCTAATATTAAAAAAAAAAAAAACTTCCAGTTTTTGTATTAACATATAAAAAAATGTGTTACTGATCTAATTTTATTGAAATCCAACTACCCGGATGGATTGCTAATCATTTTAAAGATTTAAAAAAACAAACAAAACTAAAATGTTAATCGGTTATTTTAGATTGCCATTATTTTCAGTCGAAAATCCCTCTCCCCTCCCATCAAATGAATATGGTAAAAGAAGTGTTGTACTTATTCTTTTTCTAATGGCAATAATGATAATTCATTATTAGCCATTGAAATTCACACGTTGCCTTAAAATAAAGAATGAATATTTATATTATATTTTTCTTATATGGTTTTTTAGTATTGTAGAGGTATTACAATAGATTGTAATGGATTATGAGCATTTTTGTCAGTTAGTATATATTGTTACTAGGTTAACATAAACTGTACTATCAGTAAAGTTTAAGTAATATGTGTGTTTATAGTTTTAAACTCTGTCAAGTTGCTTTTCACAATTATAGAATTAGAATCTCATAATTTGTCGTGTAGTATACACTGTTTAAATTATTGTTTTAAAATGTAAAATTTCTGAAATTAATATACTACTTACAAGTTCTAAGCTAGTCATTAGAGTAAGATATAAAAAACAATAAATATTTTTTATCAAACAGTTCATATTTAAAATAATAAAATAGAAGTTTAAACTTCAGTTGCAATAAAAACACACACACACATAATATATGTGTATATATAAATTTTAAATCTGCCTCTTGTGCCTATTTAAAATTGGTATTTTGAATATTTATTGGTTATTTGTTTTTCTAAAGTTTTATTATAAATTTTAAGAATCAATTTATAATGTACAGTTTCAAATTTTAATCATAATTTATTTGTTTGTATTTATGTAATATGTATTAAAATTTATAATTTTTCTAATTATTGTTTTGTTATTAGTCACGAGTTCTGTGAACTCATTTTTGTAAATCAAAATAGTATATATTTCTAATATGTAATTTAAACTATAGTTATAAGGATTTTAGATGTTTCAAATGATATTAATTTCAAATAAATCAATTTGAACATATAATCTGTAGTTTAGGTGCAGGTGAAAAAATAATATCAAATCGTCCAACCTACTGATTCTAAAAGTAAAACTGAGGTTGTACCATTATCAATCTTCTAGTAATCCGTGAACATCACATTATATAAAATTGAAATTAAAAACCACACTAAGACTATCCGTTACTACTACCTATCCATTGGTTTATCAGATTACTTTTGAGTCAAATAATAATATCTTGTTTTTGAGTGTAAGTAATTTTTACCATACAGCAGCAGAGCCACAAGGAAAATTATATGTTTAGGATGAATGCTAAAAGGTTTGTACCGATTTTCTGAGCAAATGGCTGGTATTTAAGTTAAATAACTCAAATTATTCTCTGAAATGTATTTTATCAATCCACTAAAGCATATTAAATCATTGTGTGAACAGCTTTGACCTGTTTTTTAAGTTTAATGGCTCGAGTTACTGAAAAAAAATATTTTTTAAGTATTCTCAAATGTTAGTGGTGGTTTCATGTATCATATCTATTGAATATAAATTGTTAATACTTGAAAAATATTTTCATAAAAATATGCAGAAATAACTATATACATTCTAAGAGAATGTACTTGCTTACCTCCTTCAACACAAACCGAAAGTGGCACTTAATATTATCGATTTAAGACATTTTTACGATTTTTTCAAAAACAGCTCTAACGAATTTCATTAAACTTGGTGTATCGATGTAATCTTTAATATCATTTAGGTCTTATCCCTATTGGTGTTACTTAACAGAGCTTAAATGCCTAATGTTCAAAACGTCTTCCTATAAAACACCTTTATTTTGGTCTATTTTAAATAATTAACTATCTCTCATTGTTAGGAGTTATAAAAAAATGCTAAATATAACTTTTGAAAGAATTTGATAATTGAATAAAGAAGGACAAAATAAGATAAGTAGTTAGAAGGTAAAGGTATAATATACACTGACAGCCAAAAAATTCCACCCACTTGATTTTTTCATGTTTTCATCTAAAAATATTTCTGCTTTGGATTGGTCTATTGTTTTTAATGAATAAATAGGTAATCTTTTTGTTTGTTTTCAATTAGGAATGTTAATATAGAGGACAATAAACCTTAATCCTTAATTCAATGAAATGATTCTAGATTCCAATATTTACTTTCTATGGAGTCAAAATGTTTATTCAGTATCATTAGTTCAGTGCCGTTTCTTGCAGCACATTTCTTAGTCTCCGGCTTTTAATTTTTCAATATTAAGTTCAAAAATGCCTCTTAGTGCTGTGGATGTTGCGCGTAGTGTGGCACTTATTGATGATGGACGTTCCATTAGATATGCAGCTAATGTCATCAGAGTTCCATATGAAACTTTACGAGACGCCATCAGGCGTTTTTGGGAAACTGGTTCTTACAATAGAAGGCCTGGTTCTGGACGACCTAGGGTAACAGAATCACGGGATGACTAGTTTTTTACTTTGAGAATTTTATGAAACCCGCACCTTACCGTTGTTCAAGCGATTCATCAGCCCAAAGAAGTTCGAGGTGTGCAAATTTCTGAACGTAACGCTCAGAGAAGATTAAATGAGTATGGATTAATGGATTTTCGTCCAGTAAGAGGACCAGAACTCACAGAGTAACACGGCTGGCTTTTGCTCGAGAACACAACCATTGGACTATGGACGAATGAAGTGCTGTACTTTTTACAGATGAGTCAAGATTCGCTCTTCGATCTCCAGACGGGCATGAAAGGGTGTGGAGAAGAAGAAACGAAAGATATGCAGCCTTTAATTTTTCCAACTGTTTCCTTAATGGGTAACAAGTGGGTGGAATTTTTTGCCTGTCAGTGTATATTTGGAAAGTGGAGAATTTTAGAAAAAAATTAGTAATATGTAATAAATAAAGTTGTAGAACGGTGACGAAAAAATATAAATAATAATTTCTGAAAACTAATATTATTTAATGTAAATCACATGTTTCCAAGGAAATTAAATGAAATTTTCGTACTGAATGTAAACTTTTTTTGTTGAGTTTGAAAAAGAATTTAAAATTCGTCGAATCAAGGCAATGACATTGTTAAAAATATTATTTCATGGATATGTTTATAACCTTAAATACATTTACTGTAGTTTAATAACACTACATCTGATATTATATTTAAATAATTAGGTATCTATCATCCGTTTATTCCGAAAAATCATCATCTAACTTTTTAGAAAATTAAATTAGTAAATAATTTGAGGAATTTTCCCTTTTGTGATCCCAACAGTATCCACTTAAATTACTGTGACAACTTTTGACTATGACAAGCAATGCAAGTCTCATAATTCCATTTTAGTAAACTTCGCAACAGATAACAGTGTACTCCTGCAATCCATAATCAACCATTGATATAACAAATAGGATTCTTATTTCAATGGTATTAATGAATATGTTAGGTGTAAGCTTTAGCTCTGTTAAAACATGCAATTCAAAAATTTTATAATAGCCCAACATTTGGCAGTGTTCTGAATTTCTGGCGAAAATAATTTCTATTCAGAGTAGTAATATCTAGTTGTGTGTAGCGTACACCAGATTTTTTTTTATACAATACAATTTTGGTTATCTAGATGAAATTGTATTTTTAAAATTATTCTAGGTTTAATTTTAATTTGAACATTGTTTTTGGAATGAATTTGAGAGCCAAGGTGTGCAAAGTATGTAATACACATCAATGTTACCTCCCTTGCCGTCCATTGTCACTCTCCAAAACCCTCTCACTGATTTCTGAGATCTTCCAATGGCATGCTGGATCACTCTATTACACATATTATTGTAAATCTTCATGCTGAAATCTCTAATGGTCTTTTCCAATGCAAGTCAAAATAAATCCTGTGTGGATCTAAGATTTCATTTAGTTCAGACTGTACCCTTACTTGCGATGCTCTCTCTGTTATTCACTTATTACCTAAAGAACTTTTATTTCCCAAACAATGGAGTGAGTTCTTGTTAATTAGCACATGGTGACATTGAACATATGTAAAAAATAAGCAGATTGGTATCTAGTAAATGAGTGAGGGATTGATTAATTGTGGATATATGGCTACCCGCAGTGTTTAATCCAAAATATTACTTCTTAAGTGGCATATATGGGTCTTCTTGCCACCAGTTTCTTTCTTAAGAGCTAAGCTAGACAAATTAGTTAACAAAGATAATTTCTTCAAAAGCACTGGTGTTGGAAGGATCTCCATTTAAAAGATTCTTGATCTTCTAGATGTTTGTAAGTTGAGAAATAAACTCGTGCGGCAATTTTTTAGAATTATAGAAAACCTTTTCATCTGCTTTCAAAAATATTCCTCAGACAGAAGATTGATGTTGAAGCTGTGCAGATTGTTCTTAAATTTTTTTATAACATATCCCACCAAGGAGCTAGTAATTTCAGAAAGAAATAAATTAAACCAACAAAAATATTATAAATATTATATTTTAAAAAAGTGTATACAAAAATATTATGTAAATTCAGATATTTCTCATTTTACAAACAACTTTTATAAACTAATAACAACCACCAAGGATTCACAAATACTTTCAACAAAAAAAATTCTACTAGAATGAAAATTACTTTCCTTCAGTAACTATTCATAAAATATGTGTTTACTATTGCTAACTTAGAAGAGCTTATGCTAGTTTCATCTTCAATCTTAAAATAAAAATAATTAATAATGGACGGAATCCTCAATGTAAAAGTAATGTCAGTCTTTCAATGGTTTCATTAGATTTTATTTTAAGTTAGTGAAAATATTTCCAAATCAAATAATGTTGTTTTATACATACATTATAAAAGATGTATGTTGGTTTTATAAAAACAGTCCTATATTCTTTTTTTTTTTTTATAGAGCATATTTTACTGTTATTCAAACATATTAATTTTCTGAAATTTGGTTATTTAAGGCAATTTCATTCAATAGTTTATGCAATCAATTAAGAATAGTATTATTTACAAAAGGGTGAAGAAAATTTAACACAGATGACTACAAAATAAGTAGTAAAACTTTAGTACAGCCGCTTTGCAATTTAACACACTAAGTAATTCTGTTACTTTATCTTTTTATGGAGTTTAAAATTTAATAAATTATTAAAATTCAAGTAAATGAACAATTTTGGTAAAAAAACTTATATAACTAATTGCATACACAATATCTATGAAACATATAAACATACAGAATGGAACAATGTAAATTAATATCCTCTTAAAGAAAGTTTAAAAAATACATAAATAAAATAAAACAAAACAAAACTTTCAACATGATCACACATAACAAGCAGTAGCTCATAAAAATATAAGAATGGAATTATTAAGTATTTTTTTAAAAAGTATTATACCACTCAACAGAAAATTACATCAAAGCTATCATATTTTCTTCTGGTACATATATGTCAAAAATCAACCTGTGGGAGACATTAGATTCTGTAACAAATATTCTTTTAGCATATTTAATCATACTTTCCAGAATATTATATTTTAAAAAAAAGGTTTTTCATGTCAGACTTAATAACAAATTGGTATATAGTTTAAAACTTAATAATTTAAATAAACTATTTTTCCTCTAAAAATTAAAAGAAGAATAGAAAACGGAGATCAGAAGAAAAATATTTTAACTGGTTATTTATCAAAATTTACAAAATTTAATCATTCAGTAATACAATTATAACATAAACTTAAATTGTTAAACCATTAAATTAATTCTAATTACCTAATAATTAGCAAAAAAGTTAAAAGATTAATACAAAGCTTTATTAAGAGATAGAGATATTTAGTTTTAAAATATTCATGTGTTGATTGCAGAATGCTTATTATATACAGAACATAAATTCTAAGATCTTTGGTAAGTAGGACATGTTCTAATGGAAATTATTAGATCTGCTTAAATCCAAGAAAGAACATAAATAAGTGTGGGAACATGATCCAACATTTAACAGCTTTCCTTTTAACTACAGTTAAGCACACAAACGCCATATTCTGTTCAAGAGACGTTAAATTTAATTTTACTTCTGAAATAAATTATGCCACTTTATTACAATAAAAAAATATGAATAAATATTTTTGGAATCCAATAATTAAATTGACACTTATTTAATATCTAATAATTCACTAATTAGAGTGAAGACATTGAAAATGTTGGCTTGAAAAAAATTCTTTCAAAACAAACATAATTTGAGATTTAAAAATGCAAAAATATTATTTATTGAAATTACATATGAAGAAACTTCAGGTTCAAAATCTTCATCAACATTTGTAACAATACAAGTAGTATCTTCACAGTTAATTTGTGCGGTAACAAAGAGTCCAAAATTCTGAGATCAAAAACAAAATCTTTTCATATAAAATTCAAGTGTTAAATTTATTTAATCAATTCTAATTTGATTCTTCAGGCAAGATGAAGCTGTAATATGAGTTACTTTTCAACAAATTATTTATAAATAAGATATGGCTCATTCTGAATATAAAAATAATAAACAATTCTTTTAAACATTTTTCAGCCATTTAATGTATATGGTTAATATAAGCTGAAGGAAATATCCAACAATAAATGTTATTAACAGATATTCACTATTATCAACTTAAAGAAGTATGAATTTACGAATTAAGTATTTAAAAAGGAATTATAACAAGTGTCTGAAAACTGTTTCTATGAGATTTGTCAATGCTCTCATTGTTATAAGCCATAATAAAGCTAGTATTCAAATTAATACAAAATGTAGATTAAAAGAAAACACTTATAACTAAAAACAAGATATGTATACATTATATATATATAAAACTATCAACATAATGAAACTAAACAGGTTAAAGAAACAACAGAAAATTTAAAGAATAAACTAAACTCTGATAAAGCTTCAAGATATAAAAATATTTATACACTCAATATCTGATATTGAATGATTTTTCTTTTTTTTATAAAACAATTTCATCATCCTTGTCGAATTATTTTTGATCTCATTATGAGATAAATTCACTAATATATTTAAATTTATAGTTTTAAAATCGATCTTTGCTTGCTGTTAAGCCTTCCAAATCATTTAAATTCTGTATTTCTTCAAGCTCTTGGAGTTTTTCATGATCTCTGATATGAGCATAATTTGCAGATAAACACATTAAATAATGGACCTAAAACAAAAACAAACATTTAGTAGAAATTGGAATAAATTTATTTTCTATGTGTAAAATTATGCACTCCATAAATTTCTGATGTGAAGCAGTATCAGACTTCAAATCATGGAGGCAAATTTAATATGTAGAACTAGAATTTAAAAGAAGGTCAATTTAATTTTATAAAGGTAACTGAGTACCTTACTCAGTAAGTGAAAAGAAATCAAGGATGTTGATAATTTAAATAATTAGACTTAGATTTAATTTCATTAATAGTCTATATAACTGAACAAACATTTTGTGAAGTCAACAACTAATAAAATACCAATCAATAACTGAATGGTAAGTCTTTTAATTGGATATATATATATTTTTTTTTTTAGGTTGGCGCTACAGACCATGATGATCTTTGACCGCGAGTGTGGTCTCCTAAATACTGAGTATATTGTTATTTTCAAAACCAATCCTTCAAGTCTAATTCAGTAGATTATCTTTAGGGTAGGCAATTAGTAATAGGAAACATCATTATAGCATATATAGTGTTACACAATAGCAGGCTTTAAATTGTCCATATGGTTGAGGTAAACGTAGGATTTTAATAAGAAAAAATAATATAAACTCGATGTTGTATTTATAAGAAACTTTGCCCAAAAATCATATGATTCTAAATTTCAGTACAGTCAACTACACCGATCACTTTTAATGCCATAAAGCTGAAATTGTACAATGTTAAAATTCTATTAATGTTCAAATTTTAGTATATTTATCATTAATTTTCAGCAATTTAACATCTCTAAAATTTCTTTCACATAATTCATTACTTTTGATGTTTCAGGCTCATCATGCTCATTTTGAAGTCTGTTCCGTACTTATTTTGATATTTATTTTCTGTTCATATTTAACAAGTCATAAATAAATAAATAAGTTAAACATTAATTAATCTTGTTATTTACCAGGCTTAATATGACAAGCATACAAGCAAATACAGCCAGTATAAACATAAATTCAGCCTTTTCAACGTAATCCTTACAAAAAAGTTTTATTTCCTGAGGAGGGCAAACTTCCAAATCTTCTGGCCTTATAGTTGAAGGAAACATAAAACCTAAACATATTTCATTTGGTTAAAAAAGTTAATAAACATATTTATATGTACTCATGGCAAATTACTTCATAAAGAAACTTACTAAACTGAGTAAAGTCTATGCACCGCTTTTCCTTAATTACTCTGTCTGATGTACATAATGCCCAAAATATAGTATAGAAAACAGTTACAATTGCAAGGCAGACAAATATAACTAACCATGCAAGCTGGAGTACGTATATTATAGACATGAACTAAAAAGTTAAATAATTAAACAAATAAAAAATAAAATAATCATTTACAATATTTTATTTTATTAACAAAAAAAATAAATAAAGAGTACTACCGGCAGAAAATAAATATGTAATCAACAATGAAATAAAGGTAGAAACATTTAATACTAATCTCGCCTTTCATTTATATGAAGGAAAAAAAAAGAAGAGGGTGGAAGCAAATCAATGCTAAATGAATTACATAAATAAAACATATGAATATTAAGCATTCTTATCAAAAATATTTATCAAAATAATTTAAGAGAAGATTGGTTGGAGTGATCAGTCAAAATAAAAAAGAATTTAAAAATAAATAAATATATTTATTTTTATTTTTGTCAACATTCCAGCTCAAAGTTCAGGCCTTCATCAGGGCTTAGAAAAAAACAGATGACAATAGGTATGATAAGCATTAACATTAAAAAGAAATAATAATATGTAGATGAAAGGTATGGTCTAAAAAATGTTGGTAGAATAAACTTAAGTTAGAATAAAGGAGTTAGAATAAACTTAAAGGAAATATAAAATAACAAATATAACAAAGTTAGGGATAGAAAGTAGCGGAAGCAAAGTTAGAAAATATAACATAACGGTAACAAAGTTAGGAAATTATGAATAAAATAATAACAGTAACAGATAACTATGAAATAAATAATAACAACAACAAAGTAGGGACTAATGAAATAAACATATTGAAAAACTAAGATATTGTAAAATCTATCAAAACATACTGACTGTGTATAAGAGAATAAAAATTAAAATAATATTAATAAAATGTAATAAACAAATATATCAATATACAAAAAATAGAGGTGGAGATATGGAAAACAAAGTAAAAGGAAAAAGGAATAAGAGGAGAGAAGATAAAAGAAATAGAAAGACCTGGTCAAACGAAAGATTTCCGCAAGACAGCATTGTTGGGATAAGAAAAAGTAGAACTTATGCCCTCTGTAACGGTTAACTGAAACGTATATAATGGACAAGAGGTTAATTTTAGATAAATTCTAAGAGCTTATTAAACAAATGTGTACTTGAAAGAGAATGGAAATAGGGTATCTGGAGATAGCATAATGCAGAGATAATAAATATTAAATAATAATGGAGTATTACTGAGATAAATGTAAAACGTGAGATTAAAGAAAACCAAAAATTAACTAAATTAAAGAGAAAGTATAATATAATATATATATATAAATTAAGGAGATAGTATAATGCAGATATAATAAATATTAAATAATAATGGAGTATTAATGAAATAAATGTGAAACATGAGATTAAAGAAAACGAAAAATGAATTAAATTAAAAGAAAATGAGAAAGTTGTCACAGAAAAGAAAGGGGTAATGTAAAAAAAAATTACAGAGGGCACTACATAAGTTTTACTTCTTCTTACTACAACAATGTTGTCTTGCGGAAATCTTTTGTTTGACAAGATCTTTCTATTTCTTTTATCTTACTTTTCTCATCTTATTCCTTTTCCATATCTCCACCTCTATTTTGTGTATATATTGATAGTTTATATATTACATCTTATTTACATTATCTTAATTTTGATTCTCTTATGTGTAGTCAGTATGTTTAGATAGATTTTACACTATCTTAATTTTTCATTATGTTTATTTCATTAGTCCCTACTTTGTTGCCATCATTATTTATTTTATAGTTCTCTGTTATTGTTACTCATAATTTGCTAACTTTGATACTATTATGTTATATCTTAACTTTGCTTCTGCTACTTTCTACCCCTAACTTTGTTATCGTTATTTTATACTTCCTTTAAGTTTATTCTACCTACTTTATTTCACTTCAAGTTTATTCCAACTATATTTTTTAGACTATACCTTTCACCTACATATTATTATTTCTCTTTAATGTTAATGTTTCTCATACCTATTGTTATCTGTTTTTTTCTTAGTCCTGATGAAGGCCTGAACTTTGGGCCAAACCGTGGGCAAAAATAAAAATAAATATACTTATTTATTTTTACAATTTTTTTTTTTTGTTGCTGATCACCCCAACCAATCTTCTCTTCAATTATTCACTACGGTCAACCATCAAACCACAAACAATAAAATAAGTGAAAGGCCCATGTAACTAGTGATTAGATTAACTTTGTAATTTAGATTTCGTTTTTCAGGACAAATTAATTAGATTGACTGGAAATTATTGCTAAAATTGTATGATATCAATAAATGACTATTATCAAAGAAAAATGTATATATTTGCAATTAATTAATTATTAGATATTAAAAAATATATATATTCAAAATAATGTGAGGAGTTGATCGGGGGGTGTGGTCAAATAAATACTAAATTAAACAAATGGTATTATTTATTTTTTGCCGACGTTTCGACCCGATTTGCAGGTCTTCATCAGGGCGTAGAATGTAGCACTGCGGGAGGCAGTTGAAACACTCAACAGTGTTTTAACTGCCTCCCGCAAAGTGGACTCAAAGTAAACTCCGCCCTGATGAAGACCTGCAAAGTGGGTCGAAATATCGGCAAAAATTAAATAATACCATTTGTTTAATTTAGTATTTATTTAACCGCACTCCCCGATCAACTCCTTCTCATATTATATCTACAGTCAACCATCTCTACATCATGATTCAAAATAATGAATTATGGTTGAATAAAAACTATAAAAAGAATTAATTACTGCATGACAAACAATTTTTTTTCAGGCTTTGTGTTTAAAATAATCTTATTTTTTATATGGTTACTAGTGAGGGCTGTTTTTCTAGTTAAAAATGTTTTATATTTTAGAAAAAATATTGGTATGCGACAATCAAATTTTAATATTGATAAATCAAAACAGTAAGCGTTGGTTGAAAATGTCGATATTTCAATATTTTTTCATCATCCCTCCATTTCCACCCAGTCTCTACAAAGGGGAGTCTAATGATTGGAGGAAAATTAGGCTATTCAGCTCTTCAAGTATCCATTCCAGTAATAACTCAGCCCAAGACCTTTCAAGAAAATAAAAGGATTTTCTCACTTTGAATAAGTAAATTTAACATAACCAGTTAACATTTTAGGCATCATCAGGACAGAAAAAAAAATCCTATTAGTGCAGTTTAATTTTTTCATATTTCACAGCCTACAAAACAGGAACAACCTACTTGGCTCAGACAAATGTATGGGGTATTTTATGGCTATCCCCAAAAATAGACATCCATAAAAAAAAAAAAAAATCATACGTAAAATAGGAGACATTGATATAAACAATAAACTACTGAAACAAAGTAGTAAAAATTAAAACTCTCGAATGGAAGGCAGACATTTAATAAAATCTTTTTTTAAACAAACACACCTGTAATTGTGAACAGGGCTCTGTAACAAATATAAGAAGCTATAATTCACTAGGAAAAATTTGGAACATCATGGGGAAGTCGAATGAGCTATATCAAGAGAAGCAGGTTCAAAAAGTTACCCAATTGTTTTTCAGCATCGCTCAAAGAATTTGGGTTACCACTTATGGTGTACAATTAACTGGTTAACTCCCAATGGTCTCGATTAATAATTCGTTCACAATCCCTTACATAATTATTATATTAAATAGCAACCAAAATTACAATAGAAATTTATTAGTTAGTTGTTCATTATAATAATATTCTTACCACTGCACATGAAATTCTACCACCAATTCGGGCACCTGATCCTCTATAAACCTTATGCCTGGTAGCACCTGTGGCTAGACATCCAACAAAAAGCGCCATTAGCCCAAGTGCTCCCATACTTGCTCCAATAACAACACAGGCAGTTTGTAATGGCTCTAACCTATAATAACCATTTCAATAACTTATTATTTACTATGAATAAGTCATTAAAATAAATAAGTTACCTTCGATCGTTGGTGATGAAAAGTTTGTTATAATTGTTATCAAGGCTAACTAAAAGTGACTTAAAAATATATTGTATTATATATATGGAATAATTGATTGTATTGATATTCGAGAAGATGACTTATAACACAGTGAGGACTCCAAAAAAACAGTAGAAACTATTTCTTTCTAAATAGTTTCTAAGAATAAATAATATGAATAAGAATTATTTGTTCTACTAAATTTTGGAATTTTCTTGACTGACACTCAGACCATCTCAGTTAAGTGGTTTTGAATGTAGACAGAGAAGCAACTGATACCAATTACTCAGGATCCTATATCAAGAAATAAACAAACCGCAAGGGATCTTTTTCAGTTGTTTTCAGGAAACTATATCAGAGGAAATGGGTCCTTTTCATCATCAAAGGTTTCAAAAGGATCCACCTCCAGAGACAATGATCCCTGCCAAATAAAGACAAGATGAAGGTTTTTCTACCTATTGAGCCAATGCATCAAGTTGAAGTCATTTACCACTAAATAGTAGAATTTTGCTGGTACAGTCCACCATAATGGCTTGCAGTAACCATTATTTTTAACTGTTAATACTTGTGCTTTTCTTTGAAACTGTTAAATCAAAATGCAAGGCTCAAATTTAACTTCTTTCTCTTATCCCAGAAAAAACATAAACAATGGTAGATACATACTGTTGTGATCTTATTTAATTATTTAATAATGCAAGAGACTTTGCCTAGTTTTAAGTTAACTATAAGGCTAGGTTATGTTTGTATAACAAAATGTTGACTATAATGTACCAATAATATGTAGAATAAATGTCAAAAATAATTTTTCTGTTTTAAGTAAGTAAACAATTATAAATTAAGGGGAGAAGTATAACTCGGAGAAGGTTCCATAGCAACATCTTTGATGAAATGTGTAAAAAAAAACAAAAACATGATGAATCAAGATCTAAGTAACCACAAATTAAGAAAAATTGAAAATAATTTAATCAGAGAAAGTGATTTATCCAGCTTTATACCTGAATTTGATAACAAGTTTATTTGCAAAAGTTGATTTTTATTATATCTTCATACTAATCCAACACTCTCCTGATAAAATTTGTTGCAGACACCGCACTGGTTTGATCTGCCCCATAGGAGTAAAATTTCAGAAGAAATACCACAAAATGATTCCTTGATTTATGAGGTAAGGCATTAATTAAGTGAAATTATATTGTACTATATATAAGTATCAATGGATGTCAAACAGATAATAGCAAATATTATCTAATGACATAGTTAACTGAGAGCTTATAGTGCTATGTATTGCTATCAGTTTGAAACCAACATAACCTTTTCAGTAATATAGCCAAGACATACCAACTTAAGATGTTAACAGGCTACTATTTTACAAGTGTTGCTCCACTTTGATAGGTGACTAGTTGTCTAATAAGGCCCAAACCTCAAGTGTAAAGGTCCCACAGATTTTTTTTATCCCTTTGGAACGAGACTTGTGGAAGTCGTAAGGGGTAAGCACGATGTATTTAAAGATAATTAAGGTCCCAGTTGGGAATTTGTGGAAGTCATTAATTGCAATCGAAATAAAGAGTGGGGTACTAGTTCCCTAGCAATTGACATAGCTCGTTTGGCTTCAAAACAAAATGCTAAAATGTATAATTAAGATTCTCATACTTAGGGAGAAAATACATATAAATTAAATATATTAGAAAAAATAGGTTATTAAAATTAAATTTCTCCTTCTTATTGATAGATACAGAAATATGTACAATGAAGAAATTACATATAATAATAAAATTTATGAATTAACGAAATGGTAATGTTTTTATTTTATTGATTATTTATCTAATTAAAGATTTTAACAAAAAAATAAAGACACATATCGACAGTTACACTGCAAAAGCCAGTATGTACAAAAACTAAAATTATTCATCAGCCGAAATAAATTTATGAATTAATTTTATGAACCCTTTTTTTCTGTTCAATTTTTAAAGCCCGAAGAAAGATGTAATATTTTAAATAACTTTTTACTTACCGACAGCTACGCGAAGGTAAGAAAAGTATTGTGATTGGATCAAATTTTCGAAGTCCGGTTTTCAACAGATTTTTACGTTTCAGAGTCTATTGAGTTCAAAAAAAGAAAATCATTTTCAACCATTGGTCTGTCTATGCCGAACTTATTGCGGGAAAGACTAGATTGATTTTGTTGCTTTTTTTATTGAAAGGTTTGGCTGCTGATGCCTGTGACACAAATTGGGTGCTCCCTGCGCACTAGCTGCTGCGAAATAAATGAAAAACATATTTTTCTATAACTAGAGCAAAAAGGGTCCTAACTCATTTGATGAAGCTTTTCTATAAAATTCTACTTAAAATCCTTTCAATTTTCATACATGTAGTGAATTCCCGATAATATTTAGGAAAAAAAGTTCTGAAAAAAGGGGGAAGAAAACAACAACTAAATTCTGGTCAATCTTTGCCTCATGTCTGTTGTAAGGCTCAATCCAAAATTTCAATTTTGATGAAAATAGTTAGCTTTCTTTGGACATTTTAAATAAACAGAAATATGATCTCTTGCAAATAATGTAATGAAATGAAAATATTTTATCATCCTGGAACTGTTGTCCCTTTAGAACAAAGTATAAATACTGAGAAAATGACTGTGTGGCCATCCATTAAATTAAATATTTACAAAATAATATCTAATTAAAAAATAGAAATATAGGAAGAAAAACGAACAAAACAAAAGCATACACACACACATATATATATAATTTCTGGGGATCTTAAGAAGTTCTCTAATGTACATTTCGTGATCAGTCAGATTGGGAAAGGAGTAGGTGCTTAAAAAGGAAAGATTTAAATGAGGAAACTGATTGTGCATGTCAACTATCAGAAGGGATAGAATTCCAAAAGGAGACGGCTTGTATTGCAAAGGATTTGTCAAATGCAGCAGTTCGGTGAGGAGGAGGATAGAGGTCAGAAGTACGGGATCTGATGGGACAGGATTGAATGGAGGATTTGTATTGTAGGCTCTGAAGAATATAAGAATGCCGCTGACTTCTAATGGCCTGATATAGAAAGGTAGCAAGGAAGTACTGATGGCGATAGGATGGATAAAGCCACTTCAACTCGGCATAATACTCGGTAATATGCGTATCTCTTGAGATCCCGAAGATAAAGTGTATCGAGCTATTCATTATGCGTTTAAGTTTAGCTTCGAGTTCTCCCGAGAGTCCACCGAATACCATACAACCATAGTCCAAATGGGGGAAAACAAGAAAGGAAACCAGGAGTTGATGAATTTTGTATGGAAATAGATAGCGTTGACGTTTGAACTGTTAGGGTAGAAATAGTACCATGGGAAATTTGGGAGATGTGTGGTTTCCAGGAGAGGGTTTGATAAAAAATAACACCAAGGTTTTTAATGGAAGTTTGGAATGAAATAGGTGAGTGGTTTAGGGTGAGCCTATTGCGATTTGCCCAAGCACAGATTCTGTCCATATCTTCCTGAAGTTGTGGGATTGCTGCATTGGAATCAGCCAAATCGAAAGAAAGGTAAATTTGGACGTCATCGGCATACAGATGGTATAGGCTGTGCAGGATAGAGGACGGAAGGTCATTGATATACACGGAAAAAAAGGGTGGGAGATAAGGAAGACTCCTGGGGAACGCCTCTAGACAAAGATAGAGACTCTGATGGGGGATTATTAGGGACTACAACATACTGGGAGTGACCGGTAAGGAAGGATTGGAACCATTTAAGGACAATAGAAGATAAGAAGATATTTTTAAGTTTGGTAAGGAGTATATTGTGATTTACTTAGTCAAAGGCTTTGGAAAAATCAAGGAGAATAAGGATGGTGAATTTCTGTTGGTCAATAGCTGTATCGAGATCTTGGGAGATTTTAATAAGGGCAGAATGGGTGGAGTAGTCAGGTCTAAAACCGGATTGGTGGTAGTTCAGGTTATTTTGCGCGAGATAGTGGGATTGTAGGCAACAAACTGAAATGTAAACTTAAAATGATGTATATTTACAAGGGACAACAAGGGAAAATGGATTTCAGAAAATCGGTGAACATCTATAAAGAGAATTATTGAAGGGATAGCAGAAGGTAGGTACAAAGTCAACAAATGTGGTAGATTTTGTTGTTTCGTTCATTTAAAATAAACCTATGATTGTAATCTTGAATCGCATCTTCAATGTTGCATTTTAATTTGTATATATAAATAAATATTTCTTTACATATACATATATACATATTATTTATTTCATTAAATTGATCAAAATATGCAATCATCCTCAAATGTATAATTATCCTCAAATATGCAAAATAAAATTTGGCTAATTGCATCACCGTGTTCTAATTTGTATAGATATTTGATCAGTAGTTAAAAGAAAACATGCAAATACAATATAAAATTGCATAAAAATCCAGGTCTTGATTATAACTGACTATAAATTTTCTTCTCGAAATGGTGGGTAATTTATGATAACGAGTTCAGAACCAGTAGGATCTGTCTTCTTTTGGACAATTCCAAGTATTTTTGGGAATCTAGGAGTAGCATGCTCTAAGTGATCTTGAAACTAACCAGATATCTTGGAGTAGCCAAAGGAAATTATAACCATAAACCACTTTTCAACATTCAGTCAGGGAACTAGTACCAAGGGTGGTTATAACCATGAACCAGTTGTCAATATTTAGTCACTCTCCAAATTTCATTTATAGTGGCATCATAAGATCTTGTAACAAGATGCGGGATGAGCAAGCGGGCTAACACATATGCACAGCACTGCCATTGCTTGGTAACTTGATATATGAAATAATTTGATTACAAATAATTACGAGTTCGCCTCCCAGAGAGAGTCTGTCTGAGAGAGAATGTTATGACATCAGCTCTTCTCTTAACATTTCCTTTTGAAGCATATTTGAAAAACTCAAGTATTCCCATCATAAAACTTCCTTATTTATTAAAATTATTATCTCTAAATTTGTAAACTATTAATTTTTATTATAACGGTAATTAATCTGGAAGAAAATATATATAATGCTATTTGAGTCATTCTTAAAGGCCTGTTAAAAAAAAAACTTTTAGGAATAAAATGTTTGTTGACAGGTGCTTACATGTAGTAGCTGCAAATACGTATATACTGTTATAGATTATCTTTTATAACTGCACAAAAAAAATTTTTTTTATCATTGGATAATTAATAATCTGAAATTAACTATTATCTTTTTATTCGTTACTTGGATTTTTCAAATAAAATTTGGGGTAATTTAATTTAATTTTTTCTTTTAGAAATCCGCAATCTTCAATCTAGTTTATATAACTTTTTGGATTTCTTAGATATAACAGTCATCATTTTCTAGTTGATAACGCTATTCATGAAAATAGTGTCTGATTTGAGATTTCGCATCAAATTTATGTAACTTTATTTATTTCTTCGATATAAAGACCCACTTTTTTCTAGTATTCGGTTTATGAAAATACTGAAAATTTTTATGAAAATACTGCCGGATTTGAGATTGTGCATACAATTTTTGCAGATCTTTGGATTTCTTAGATATAAGAGTCCATTATTATGTGGTCAAGGATGATTTTTATGAAAATACTGACAGATTAAAGATTGCATTATATAAGTGGATTCTATATAAATACAACTAAAATAAGAAATAAAACTCGATGTGTGATTGCACACCATCTTGAATCTGACAGTATTCTCATAAAATGCTGTGGCCCAACAACATAACAGTAGACGCATATATCAAAGAAATCCAAAAAGTACTAGAATAATAGATAATAGAAGATTCAGAATATCTGAAAATAATGAATAAATCATTTGATAAATGCCATCAAATAACGAATAAAATTTACCTTTTAATTGCTATCTAGATAAATATTTACTCCAATAATGGCCAATCCCTATGGAGCAATAGATCTGTCAATTAACTGGTCTATACTGTTAACTTAAAATTTATTCTCTCATTTTAATTGATATCCTATTTATTGAATGAATTAGCCGCATAATTATTGTTATTCCTAGTTGTTTGGCTTAATAATCTGATAATTGGGACTGATTGTAGTAAAAAAAAAATTGTGTTTATTTGGATGTTTATTTCGGAGGAAGGAATGAACGTGTTGAGGAAACAGCTGACTAAGAATATCTGAAAATTCCAAAATAACGAATAATGGAGATCATCAATGAGAAAAATAAATATCGTAAATAGCATTCAGTGATATAATAATTAAAAGGTTTTTATCTGTTACTGTTTCTTCAGAAATTTAGGTTACATCACGTAACCTTAATCGAACTTATACATATCGCTAAAGACCATATGTAACAATTTTCTATGATAATTCGATTTGTGCTAAACACTAATGGATCCAGAATTTAATTAGAGAAGGGCTTCAGTCCGAATTTTATATATATAATATATATATATATATATATATATATATATATATATATATATATATATATATATAACAAAAAGAAAGAAACTAACTACCTCTATGAAATGGAGTTTTAAGTGATTCTTGAAGTTCTATTAAATATAATCACACGAAAAAAAATGTTTTTAGAGATAATTTTATCATAAGACACGGTTATATTTTACCATTGTAGGCACCTTCAGCCCGAAAGCCCTCCCCCTCCTTAGAACCGCCAGTGGTGTTAAAGATGACATTTTATGGTCTGCTACTATAGAAAATAATATAGGGAAATAAAATGTGAAAATTTACTAATAAATCATAAAAAATTATCAGTTTGTATGCTCTTTTGCTCAAATTTTACATACAACCTATTCCATTAACAGTAACAGTATATTATATAGCAGTGGGAAAGAAATAGTGATATAAATAGAATTAAAACCTTTAATTATTATATCACTGAATGCTATGTCACATTTATTTTTCTGGTTGATGATCTATTCATGGGAAACGTGTTGTTAGGTCAACAGCTGACATCATATAACATTTGGGAACGTTGGACTGTTTTCGGCATTTTATAAACAAGTGTGATCGAAGTGATTGTGAAACACACGTAATCTGTGTGGAGCTCATGAGAACTAGTACCAAAAAGAATTAGAAAACATACAATCCTATACATACATCAATAAGAATAAATAAGTAAAAATATTACCAGGTTAATCTTTGATTAAAAACCTCTAACATCATTAAACCAGTCAATGTTGTTCCTCTATAGATAGTTCCACAGAATACTCCAACTCCAAGAATACACATTATAGTTGCTATAAGGGTAGCGTATGGGACTCTTGTCATACATTCATCACACTTACTCCCTACACATAATAAGAAAAAGATATATTTAAGTAACCAGAGTAAAATATATGAATAGAATAAAATATTAAAATAGAAAACCAACGAGATGCATATTCTGAACCCAATGAACTTTCAAGAGAATATCTATATCTATTTCTTAATTGATTGTTCCGAATATTAGACATTTCAAATTTACTGGGTGGTCCTCGTTGCATGATAACAACCAGTAACAAAACTGGGGTAATCTAAGTGACGAAGTATGATTCTATAATGTAAATAAGATAAGGAAAGTACACAACATAAACAATAACTTCTGAGGTAACAGGCACACCCTAATCCGATGCTCAAACAAATAACGTTACTTATTGCACGCAAATTAATTTTTTACCTAGCACTTACCCATACTGTTTTATTATAATCCAAATAACAAAACAAAGTAACAAAATATTAAAAATAATCTTAATTTAAAATGGTGAAAGTACGGGAAGGGTCATTCAATTGACATTATGTATAAGTTATGTATAGGTTTTGTTTACCTTACTATTGACAGCTATCTTCAGCAGAAATAACTAGAAGGCTGTGAATTAATGCTCAGTGGGAAGTTTTCGAGGGAAAGGTTCTGTGTTAAGAAATTCAAATTAAAGTAGTTGTTTTGTATGAAAGTATTACATGTTGCTGCTTCGTTGTTTGAATAATGAACCCCGAAAAGGTTCTACCTCCTGGGGTAAATGGAAAAATAACTGGTTACCTTATGGTCAAAGTTGATGAAATATTTTGGGCCAGGAATTCTCCTGGTGAAGTTGTTGTTCAACTACAGTGGTGGGGTGAAAAAGATTGTGTTGTTTTTAGGCCTGAAGATATTACTCTTAATGAGCCAAAGAAAAAACATGACAATTCTGTGATATACAATATTAAGACAAGCCCTGGACTTTTTGAAAGCTACTTGAGAAATTGTGGTAGAATAACATTTACTGTTCTTAGAGGACTAAATAAAAATGTCATTTTGGGATCTGCTGTTATCAAAGAAGTTGAGCAGATCTTAGCTCTTAAACATTATCATTCATATTTTTCTATTTTTTCTCCTAAAGGCAATAGAATTGGTGATCTACATGTTAGTTTTGAGTTAACGTTTAAACAAACTGGTACGCGCCCAACACTGCGAAAGCCCATTGAAGAATGCCTTAAAGTTAAGCCTGAAAACAACCATAAAATAACTTACTCAGATCAACTTTCTAGCCACGAGTGTAATCCAGTCAATCTCCAAGAGGATAAATTATTTTCTAACATTTTGCAAAAAGGATATGAACTACGAAAAGCCATGGTTATGTCCGTTCTAGCTGATTGTCCTATTGATAATCTAGATTCTGTTGGCAGTTGTGATCCAGACTTGAACTTTATGAAACAATGTTCCCGAGAAGAGGAGACCAAATTAGTCGATTTTCTTTTAGGTAATGATTATGGTTTATTGGTAATACAGTAGTATCCATTAAGTACTAGCCCATAATCATGTATTGTTTTGTTGGATTATTATTGTTTTTGTTTGATAATCAGATCTTCTCATGATCTCTGGTAAAAGAATGCCTTAAGAAGGTTGATTTTAATTCTTTCTAAGGTACTATTTTACAAATGTCACTTCAATGTAGTGGATCGGCAAAAGCTAACCCAGTATGTCAGTCTTTTGATAGGTAAAGGTTCTATTTTGTTGATACTGCCCACTTAAATTTAATGGTTTTTATATTAATAGGAAGGGCAGCAATACATAAGATGGTTGACTTTTGATCTTATTTAATTAATTCATGCCATTTTTTCTGGTATTTAAGTTTAATAATGAAATGAGGTCATGTTTGTACCATAAAATGTTAACCAGTATCTACATATTAGTACCACCTACGAATTGATAGTTTGTTGTAATATTTTGAATAGAAAATATCAGATAATTAATTGAAAGAGTATGATGAAATATTATTTTAAGAATTGATGGTATATCTCTGAATTTAAATTTATTTCTTGTTAAAATTACAAGCATTTCATTTATATTTGTAATGCAACTACAATAGTTAATTTTTTGTAATTAGTAAATCAGCACTTTGGTGCTATTAAACAAATGCAATTCCACTTTTATAGATGGTGCAAAATCTCATGATCTTCACCATAAATAGAATCTCAAGAATGCCTGAGTATGTTCAAAAATAGACAGAAGTAACTGATCCCTATAAGGCCCTGACCTCAACTGAAAAGGGCCTGGTGTGGGTATTTTATATTTCTTTAAAAGGAGCTTAGCAAGGGTAGGTCCAAAGCAGGAATTTAATTAAAGCTAATCAATCATGATCTGAATCTAGGGATGTTATACTGTGGACATACTGTCAACCTCAGTTATTCTCAAAATCTCAATTATACAGTGAAAAGCTAAAAAGTAACATCAATTTTGTTTCCCACTAAAAAAATAGTTAATTTAGATACCGAGCTAATTTGGAAAAAATATTATATTTTCTAGATAGCTTTTATACATACATATGTGGCGCGACATCCCATTACCGAGACTGTGCCTCCTCCAAGAGCCTCTGCCAGTTGGCTCTGTCTTCTGTTGCAGCTCTCCAGTTCCGTATGCCAAGCAGAGTTCTCGCATCATAGGCCACATTGTCCAACCATCTTGTCCTCAGCCTTCCTAACCGTTTTGCGAGGTGCAGCTCCTCTAACATTATTTTCTTGGGTATTTCAACGGTGCTCATTCTGGCCACATGCCCTGCCCATCTTAGTCTGGCAAGCTTAATATACATGACTACGTCGATGTTTGTATATAGAGAACTGAGCTCCCTATTTTTTCTTTTCCTCCAGACATCACCCTCCTTTATTGGGCCATATATCCTGAGGACTCCTCGCTCAAACACGATCAGTTTCATCTCATCACTTTTTGTCATCATCCAAGCCTCTGAGCCATATGTCAAAACAGGCCTTACAAGGGTCTTATATCAGCTTGGTCTTCTTTGCGAGATACCTACTTCTTAAGTGTCAGCCAAGTCCAAAGACACATCTATTGGCAGCCGTGATCCTTCTCTGTATTTCTTGAGCCATGTCATTTTTTCTATTTCAGACCCAAGATATATAAAGCTTTTTACTCTCTCAAACTTGGAAGAACCTACCTCAAATGGAGAGTTCAGATCCACCTCACCACCAATTCTCATATACTTAGTTTTCTTCTTATTGACTTCTAGACCAAGTCGTCTTGCAGCTTCTTCAAGGGCTATAAACGCTTCTCTGAGAGCCCGTTCAGACCTTCCTATAATGTCAATATCATCAGCAAAACCCAGAAGTTGTGTCAGGCGATTGAAGATTATATCGCTGGTCTGAATACCGGAATCTCTTATAGCTTTCTCCTCTGCCAAGTTGAACAATAGACAGGCAAGGGCATCTTCTTGCCGAACCCCTCTGCTCATTTTAAACTCTTCGCAGTCATCAGAACTGACGCGTATTCTACATTTCGAGCTGTCCATGGTCATCTTGATTAGGCGTATAAGCTTCTGAGGGATACTTAGCTCCTCCAAGGCATAGTATAGTTGTATTCTATCAACGCTATCGTATGCTTCTTTAAAGTCAAGGAATAAATGGTGGGTGACTACGTTACGCTCCTTAGTCTTTTCTAGGATCATCCTGAGAGAGAACAGTTGATCAGTGGTTGAGTGTCCTCATCGAAATCCAGCCTGATCTTTCCCCAGTTCCTTTTCAGAATACGGGAGGATCCTCTCAAAAAGAATGTTAGAGAGCAGCTTATAAGCACACGAAAGGAGTGAGATTCCTCTGTAGTTAGTGCATTCCGTTTGATCTCCCTTATTATGTATTGGGCAGATAATGGCTGTAGCCCATTCCGTTGGCATAGCTTCCCTCTCCTAGATGGTCAGCATTAAATCATGCAGAGCTTTCTTGAGTTCTTCACCTCCACATTTCAGCAGCTCTGACTGGATTCCGTCCGGGCCTGGCGCTTTTCCATTTTTCAATTTCCTCAGGGCCTTTTCCATTTCATCCTCATCCAGGGGTTCAATTGAGTTCAGGGATTCTTCCTTCATTACCCCTACTTCTTCAGGCACCGTTCCTCTATTTAATGTGTCCTTGAAGTGTTGCACCCATCTCTTTAGTATGTCATATTTGTGGCATAAAAGAGTTCCGTCCGTGTCTTTGCATGCCGTCACTCTGGGCCTGAAAGCTGCCCTACCCTCATTTATTCTCTGAAAGAACAGCCGACTTTCATTTTGACCGTGTAATGCCTCTTGAGTCCTCCATGTTCTTATTTTCCCAAGCTCTTCTCTTTCCACGGAATAATCTCTTCTCTTCGCATCTTTTTCTTCGATATGTTTCTTGGGAGAGCCTTGTGGGACCTTCTTTCTGTAGGCTTCATTTTTCACTTTTACTGCTTGAAGGCACTTAGCATCATACCATGGGGGCCTTCTAGATTTAAGTCTCGTAGCCAAGAGATTCTCCTGCTGCCTGTTTGATTGCGTTGCTTCCACTGTTCATCGACCACAGAGCTCTCATTAATTACTTCTTCATTAAGTTTCGTCTCCACAGCTTGTTTAAGATCTTGCATTTATCACGTTGTACTTGTGATGGGCACTAATGAGTACATGGTCTATCTGCGATTTTGTTTGCCCATTCGTGGAGATCCATGTTGCTTTGTGAATATTCTTTCGAGGAAAAAGAGTTGTTCCAACAACCAGTCCATGCAATGTAGCAAAGTTCACCATCCGGAGCCCATTATCATTACTGGTCTCATGCAAGCTGTGGGTTCCTATGGTCAGCATGAGTGCCACCTCCTTACCAACTTGGGCGTTAAAGTCATCAAGAATGATTTTAACATCATTTTTGGGGCAGCTTTCTGTCACACGTCCAAGTTCTTCATAGAATGTTTCCTTATCCCCCTCAGGTGACACCTCTGTTGGGGCATGGCAGTTAATTAGAGAGAAATTAAAAATTTTTCTCTAAGCCGAATGTAGCATAACCTTTGGTTAATAGGAGTAAATCGCATCACTAGCTGTCGAGCTCTGCCTCTCACAACAAATCCGGTACCGAAGATGTGATGCTTTTCATGGCAGCTATAGTAGAGTGTATGATACTTCTCAATAATTCCCTGTCCTATCGATCGGACCTCTTGGATAGCTGCTATGTCGATTCTGTATGTGTCCACTTCTGCAAGGAGCACACGAAGTGCTCCTAGTCTATGCAATGATAAAATGTGCCAAAATCCAATTCTTAGGTCATTTAGGCGTTTCCTGGGTCTGTTACTGACCTTTGTCTGTTGTTTTTAGGTGTTGTAGTGTGCTTTATAAAGTGTACTTGGTGTGTGAGTGTTCGTGTAAGTGTTCCCCCAACCTGGAGGGCCAGTGGCTGGTTGCTGTACAATAACCGGGCGATGGGACCGCCACCTCCCTACCCCACAGATAGCTTTTATATGGGAACAAATTAGAGTAACCTACATAGCATTGTAGATGTAAATATTGCTTCCTCACTACCGAAGGTAGGGAAGCATAGTATTTGTGTGAGAGGTTAAAAAAAAAATTGTGCTCAGAATCGAAAATTTCCACTCGCGTTTTACATTTCAGACATCAAGGATCAAATTTGGTTCGGTGTCTGTCCGTCTATAGTCAAATCGATGTAACGGGCATATCACCTACCACTGTTCATTTGATTTTCATGAAATTTTCAGGGATTGTGCGGGTTGGTGTCTAGATGGTCCCATATCAATTTTATAAAATTCTAACCAGCACATCCGCTTATGTGCCCACAAATGCATTTTTGCAGATATGCCAATATTTCAAAAATGGCTCGTTCGATTTGGCTCAAAATTAGACAAAAAGTAGGTATTTGCGAAAAAATAATGTAGGGTCAATTTTATTGAATTCTGTCTGTTGCTTTCTCTTACATATATTTCTCAATCGTGTTTTCCTTGATACGTCTATATCTCTAAAACCTCATGTTTGATTTGGTTCAAATTTGGAGGGAATTTAGTTATTGATAAACGTGAAATGAAATAGGCATCAATTTTATCAAATTCTAACTACTATTAAAGAAAAAAATACTTCCGCTTTCAGATCAGGAAATGTGTTATTTGATATGCCTATAGTTTGAAAACGGCGCATTCGATTTGACCCAAACTTGGAGGAACTTTAGAGACCAGTATAGAAATAACTTGGTATTCCATTTAATAATTAAAATTAATATAAATAATTGTTTACAATATAATGGTTGTGAAATGTTATCGCACTGATCATATGGAGTGGGAGTTAGGTTATTACAATATTGTTATAGGGTTATAAAATTTTAGGTTTCATTCAAAAAATTAATTGATTCTGTATTGTTTGGTCGATTCCAAACGTTACTGACATGACACATACTGCCGTTAATTAGATTTAGTGTAATTTGCAGTACATTTAAAATAATTTTTACTCTTTGTAAAAAT